ACAGAGGCGCGTTTTAATCGAATTCTCTGCATTCAAGGAGGTCCCCTATACGTTGTTCTGTACGGCGATGTTATTTGGCTATATTGGTTTCTTCAACCCGATCTTCTACATTGAAGCGTATGCTATCCAGAAGCATGCCATGGGAGAGGCACTTGCATTCTACCTTGTCTCGATCCTAAATGCCGCCTCAATTCCGGGTCGGATCGTTCCTGGCCTTCTTGGCTTGCGTTTTGGTCCGTTAAATATTCTTCTAGGAAGTGCGATCATCAGCGGCATCCTTTCACTCTGCTGGGTAGCCGTCTGTAACGCCGGCGGCCTAATAGCGTTTGCCGTCTTGTACGGCTTTTTCTCCGGCGCTTTCGTCTCACTCCCGGCGGTTGCATTGACGGCCTTGACACCAAATCTCCAGACACTTGGAACTCGAATGGGAATGTGCTCTCTGTTGTGTGGTTTTGGATCTCTGTGCGGTGCGCCGGTTGCAGGTGCCATCCTGGACGATACGCGATCGTATCTAGGGGTTCAGCTATATTCGGGGCTCACCATCGGTACGACGAGTGTTCTCCTCCTTTGCGCAAGCCTTCTTAAGAAAAGAACTAATTAGGGACCGACTCGTCCTTGTGGCCAGGGAAGCACTCTGGTTTTGTTGCATGTCCATGGGTTAGTTCGACGCATTGGCCTGCTCATTGCTACTGGCGTTCCAACTCATTATAGTCGGTGCGAGATAGAATAGGCCTTTTTTCGCTGCATCTCGAGATCTATTTTTTCTCCCCTGTTCAGACTGTATACTCGACATAATCGCAGTTATAGGAACACCGAGAATTATGAGAAAACTAAGAATCTCAGTACAAAATTGAGCTCAGCGCCATCAAGATCCATTATGCTGTACCATGTAGTCTCAGAGAATCGAGTCTGCAATCACGCACCATCGGCTAGACTCCATCCCAGTCAACCCAGTCAAAAGTATTTAAAAGTTCAAGGTGTGGAAAATTAGTAATAGCACTCTCTTCCGAGAATGGTCGATCAAAGAGAGTATCAGGACTAGGTTGGTGGGAATCCAGAACAGAGGGCACATTGAGAATACGATCCAGACACCGACCAAGGATCCTTCGAATAAACGAAACCGTATCTCCGCAAGATGCCGAAGGCTGGATCCAGTCGAGGTACGCAATAAGCAAACTGAGGTTCTGGATAATGTCCGAGCGTGGGATGTGTACGATATATTCTGGTCTCAGCAGTTCGAGGCAGAGGATCCCACTAGGGGGAACGGCGTACGACATTGCCTGCCTTCGTCAGCGGGTTACCCGTGTAGTGAAGGTAGAGATAGGAACATGCCAGCCACTCAAAATCACTGTAGAGGCCAACGAAACGATCCTTTTTCTTCCAGAATACCAAGGTCAGTTCCAGCATCCCCTGGCTCACGTTGACTAGGTCCTCCGTGGCGTTTGCCTTCTGACGCGTCAAGAGGCGTTCCAGCAGAAACAAATTCAGCAGACACTCAAGCTTGGTGAGTATTTGTGCGTAGAGATCATACCCTGGAACGCCTGCACTGTCTACCTTACTTGATGAGAATATGATCGACTCTGGTAGCTGCCTGTATGTGTCATGCGTCCTCTGCTTCAGTCTCCTGTATGGCGTTTAGTATTATATGGGTTCGGCGGGGAAGACGCACATGGCTTGCTCTACCAACTGTTCTGGCGGGGCATCCAACGAAGCTTGCACAAGCTCCAGTATCTCATGTCGTATCCGTGCGAACATGGTACGGGATCGCAGGATTGTCGTGGAGTAAATTCGGCCGTATTTGTTCCATCCTTGTGAGTCCAGCTCAGCGGCTGCAGCCCGAAGATCGCCTGACAGCAGCGCCTCATCGCTCAGGTCTAGTGGGAGACATGTCGAGGAACATGCTTGACTCAGCATTGGCGGTCTGCCGGTGAAGGTTGATATGACCTTGTCGATGTTAAAGACTGCAGCGAAAACCCTCCTTTTCATCTCGTGTTGCAGCGTCGGTAGTTTTGACGCAGCTGTCAACTCTCGATGTAATCCGATGGACGTGGTAACCGCAACGAGCTCGCCATGCTGCGTCCAACATGAGAGACCTGTTTAGTTAGTATCTTGCTATCTATTCCCACGTACCGTCGAACTACATACTTTTGTCACCGTTTAGGATACCTTCTAAGATATTGTGCTTGTAGAGCAGATACACAAACAGCACGTTGACTGAGCCAAGCTGCCGGCACAAGTCAATGCACAAGAACGCATAATGCTTTAGGTGGGCCGTCAGCTGTTTCGGTCCCATGACAGACAGATGCTCCTGGCAGTACCGAAAGACGGCCTCGCTCTGCGGAGACGAGGATATCGCTCCGAAAGCCCAGTAGGTGTACAAGATGCCGAGGGTTTCCCACCGCATCTGCCTCCCGGTAAATGACGCCAGCCACGCTTGAGGATCTTGCTCCCCGCTCAATGTTGCCTTGCTATTTGCTGAAATATGGGCAGCGAGAGTCAGCAATTTGTCTGTCGACCGTCGGGTTAGGGACGGGCGGAATGCATTCCACATCCCCTCCGACGAGTGATGGGCGGCTAATCGAATCCAGCCATCATTTGGGTTGACATGTCTCAAGAAAAGATTCGAACAATCCCGCTCCCCGGGTATCTGTTGTAGAACTTCGGCACCGAGCTGCAGCCGCTGCCTGTCCGCAGCGTACTTCGGTTGTGGAGGCAAATTCAGATCAGGGTCAGTGACACGGTCTGCCTGACTCCCTGATGCTCTAACTGCATCCTCCAACTCAAACCGATCACCATGCTCCATAAAAACCGACGTAAAGCTCGTCGGACCCAGATACTCCGTGGGGCTGTCGATCACAGGTGTGGTCTGCTGTGGAACCCGCGGATTCTCCGACGCATATGGCACATGGACTGGGTCCCTGGACGGGCTGGGCGACTGTCCTACCTCTTCGCTGATCCTATCTACCCTTGTGTCTGCCAATGAACGGTCAAAATAGAGGCATTTCATGGAGAGCTTTTGACATCGTTGGCACGTAGGGTAACTGTGGTCACATGCTAATTTCCGCCTTCGGCAAGCCTCACAGGCGGCCTTGCGACCGTTTCGGCGCCGGAGAGGAGTGGTCATTGGGAAAATGTAGAGAGTGGTACGTCGCAGGTAAGGTCAACGTGAGAGAGGGAGTCAAAGGTCGAAGTCAGACTTGAATTCGACCTCCACAAATCGCGGTTTCGCTCCCCGCGGCCTTTTTCCCAACGGGCTTTTTTGCTTTGTTGGGCCTGGAGTCTCGCCTTTTCCTTTGTTCCATTTTGGTTGGTACTTTGTTAGAAGCCACTTCCTCGGATAAATTAGGCACCATGTGCGGACGATGTAACATGGGACATGGATTCTCTGCACTGAATTTTCCAACCCACGACGATATCAAGCCACACAGTACCTATCCAAGGTTTTGTGACTGGCAACTCACAGCTAATAATAACTGGGGTTCAGGATAAAATGGACAGCATATTTATCTATGGAGTAGTACTTGCATCAGTCAGGAAGTTGGCACCAATCCAGTCTCTTGATTCATACCACTAGAAAAACCTAAGCCCCGCAGCCACTTATGTTGTAGTATTAGATGCTGAATACGTGTTTCATCCTGATAGTTCTTGCCTAATTACGGGAGGTTGCGCTATCAGATGCATAAGAAGAAAGAAAAGTGAGCGGGGAAATAGCATCTGAATTACAGGGACGGCTTCCTGGTGCTGATAACCTTGCCACGATCTGAACCTTGTGGCTCTTGGCCGGCTTTTAGGAGAGAATTAAATAAAAGGCTCTTGAGCACTTATATACTGCCCATACAAGGCGAGAATAGCTGCTAGCTATTGGAGTTAACCACTCACAAATCCAAACGTAAAGGACAATCTACGAGGAAGGAAAAGAAAAGTCCCAGGGTCTCCATTTCATGATTTTTCGGATCCAGAGCTCGGTAAGTCGTTTCCTCGTGGGTGAGACTAGGGTAAGTGACTTGGTGCATAGAGAGCCCATGCACCCTGCAGGCGTTGTGCCTGTTCAACAAAAGCCACATCGTCTTCTACGACGTGTGCTGGGTTGTGCGTTCGTACCGCGCTGAGGTGGATGAGGCTGCGGACGTCACTGGTGTATATGATTATATCCTGAATGAGCATCCAAGCTGGATCCATGGAAAGATAGGCAAGGACTACAAATGGGGAGCAACCTTGAGTCCGCCATATCTGCAGGACGACTATGATGAAACCGAGAGTGAGGGGAGTGCAGATGATAATGAATAAGGAGATCATACATAGTGTAGGTTGCACTGTGGAATTTCCAATTAAGGAACTCCTGTTGGTCATAGTAATGAACAATGTTCCTCCAAACAAGGGTCTTGTACTCGCCCGGGACCTCCAGCAAGGGAGGCAAAACGAGCGCGACAATCTGTCTTGCGCCTACCTCCCTCCCCAAGGCGCAAGCGGGCAATAGAAGCAGCTACTTTAAGGTTAGCAACGACGAAAGCACTTTGGTTCTCGACATTCCCCCAGAAACAATGGCCGTCAGGTGCAATGAATCCCATTCGCGTCCTCCGAAGAGGGAGGAAATCTTCAAGCTGCACCAAGCTCCTAAGCGGACTGTGTGACGTGCACCCCAATCAACCAGCAGACCATCCAGGGAGCGTGCCACAATAAGTATATGGATATATATACATATCGATTTATTGATGTATACCACGAGCTAATAGGCGCACTATTATCTATCTATATATGTAAAATATATTCGTATCTACCTAGGTTGAGGTTGGTTAAGCTTATTAGTTCTAAGAGCCCATAGGTCAGGACTCACAAGCGTTTGATGGGTTATTCACGTCCGTCCAGATTGAGTAGCTTAATCCAGTTAGATATAGGTTGGATCACCTACCTGGATCTAATCAGAGCGCAGATTGGGTGGGTTGGATATGGATATGCGGACTGGGTCAGCCAGTCTATTTGTACCCTCGGATGAAGCCAGCATGCGGGGTAATACGCAATTTGAGCAACACCTCCAGCATCTTCAACTGTCCAACTCTTCCACTCAGCCCGTTGCAACACTCAACATGCACAGCTGGCTCGATCGACCTCTTCGTGATGGAAAAGACGCGGATGAGTGGAAACCCACTGAATCCGAAGCCGCCGCCAACATCGACGAGTGGTATCAAGCAGGACGACTGCTCTTTCCCCCCGATTCCCTCCTGGATGTGCGCGACCAGCTGCGGAAGCCTCTCAAATATGGCGACTCCATTTATGTGAAAGCGTTCGATGGGTCGATCTACGAATGGCCGGTGAGAACCGGCGACATCAAAACGCATTTGGAGCCCGACGGTGACAGGGGAGAGGAAACATCGGTGGAATGGGTGCTGTGAGAATAGACTTCCCTTTTGTATCCCTTTTTTGACGACACGAGCAACAAGAAATCTTGGCTAATGCGACGATATGTTTCAAGGACCACCCCCCACATTTTTTATCGCTCATTTGAAGGGCTCAAAGAGCAGTTGGAATACGACTGTCTGTCACGGGCGTATTGTAGCGTGTGAATAGAACACTGGATGACCCGCGTCGGTCAAGTGCCTGAGCATGAACCTCTGGGGAATCTTAATTCAGGCCTGAAATTCCTGGACACCACCCTGCGAGACTGGGAAGGGAGCGAAGCATGGAGGGACATCAAATCCTCCCTCTTGTCGTTGAATCTCAATATCAAGATCGCCAAAGTGATAGGTATGGCATGCGGGACTTTCACCCCGACATTGGAGTTCCCAGGATCCAGAAGATCGGCTGTTCAACATGCACTCCTCTTGACTCTGAGGAGCTTTCTGCAGGAAAGCAATTTGGGCACCGGTGAGGTCGCGTGCTATGTCCAGGACCCAGGATATTCCAAGACGGATAGGCTAGTTCTTGAGAAATCGGATATCAAGGCGCTGGAGGATCCGGAAGGTTTCCTCGAAATGGATGATGCGTCCCTTGTGTTTTCCTGCGCTCCCAACATTTGTGTCAAGGAGATTGTTGCGGACATTGTCCGACCGTCCATTCTCATCTGGTGTACTGTCAAAGAGGAAGATCCGAAATTCCCCCTGTACGTTTTCTTTGCACCTGTGGTGACCTTGGTTGATTAATGTTGGTAACAGCACCGGTCCAGACTCTCCGCGGGTCAGAACGATGATACGAGCGTGTTATGATCAGTTCCCGTTCCCTGAGGATCACGACGATAACTTTACGTGCATGACGATATATGTTAAGAAACAGTGCCAAGGTTCCCAGTAGAAGTGAGAAGCTCACGGGTTATTTATTCCCTTGAAGCTCAGGACTTGTCACAGTGAAGTGCTCCAAACTGTCAAGTTGCCAAACTCTTAGCTCTGTTAGGGGCTAGATTGACCTTCAACACTGGATTTGTAATCGGGACGAGTATCGGTGAACGAACCACCGTTCCGGAAGAGACTCGGGAATTGAACAGTATATTTCTCAGAGTATTGGTTAGCATCTAAGCGAGCCGTTCAGGAAGACCAGTAACATGGACTGCGGATTAGCTGTGCAGTGGTCAACCATAGAGGAACTTCCCGTATTTAGCATCGTCCAAAAAGGAGATGAGATGAATTACTGTATTATTAATTTTAAACAACTCAAGCATAAGTCATTAATACCTAGAATAAGATATTAATATCTAGTAGGGATTCTAAGAGTATTATATAGCTATACTATCTATATACATAAAGGCAATAAGCCTATAAGGCTATAAGTATCAATTAGTATAGAATAAGAAATATATAATAGGTGGTGTCTATCTTAGTAAAGAACGTAGCTACCTTATGGTAGACCCTATCTATTGTATTATCTAAATAGTAATATACTTAATACTACTTAAATCTAGAAATATTGTAACTACCTATATAACTATAGCCTAAACAGACAAATAATAAGTATAGTTAATGGCCGACGCAGGCATCGGATCACTTCATTTGTAGTCAATCGGCTTGCCATTGGGCCAGCCAGGCGCTCTTGTTGAACCTCATCAACGTCATCTTAAACAACGTTATGATTCAAAAGAATATAAGTTTCTAAAGGCGAGAACTACTAGTAGTCCTCCCTTCCAACATTTGACCAATCTGGGGATGGACTTTGCTAAACATCTCCATGACGGCTTTCTTCAGCGGAGCTGGCACACCATCCAAAGTCTCGGCCACATTCGCTATCCACTGCCTCTTCTCGGTCTCATTAAAGACTCTGTTCCACAGCTCACGAGGCTGAACATAGTCCTCATCATCAACCTGAATCTCATTCTGGCCGAGGGTCGCATTGTGTTGGATGCGCTCGGTGTGTCGCACGTCAGAAGGCACCGGGCTGGGCACGCCCCCGCTCAAGGTACTACGCACATAGTTTGGGTCACCGCCGTAGTTCTTGGTCACGGTGCCCATACCATCGCGCTCGAACGGCGCGTAGACAGGACATATGGCCCGATTGGGAGGGAGCTGGGTGTAATTTACCCCCAGGCGGTATCGGTGAGCGTCCGGATAGGCAAACATGCGTGCCTGCAGCACTATGCCAGCCAATGTACTTAGTTACGTGTTAAAAAACTCCCAGGGGATCCAGTTCTGACTCACTCGGGTCGGGGGTCATTGCAATGCCAGGGACCATATTAGAAGGCGAGAATGCCGCTTGTTCGATCTCAGCAAAGTAGTTCTCTGGCTGCAGTTTCCGGCGTCAGCATCTGCTCGTCGCTCCCCATGAGTAGCGGTCATCATACGTTCTTGTTCAGGGTCATTTGGCCGACTTCAATCAAGGGGAACTCCGCGTGGGGCCAGACTTTGGTGATGTCGAACAGGGCGCGGCCATAAGTCTCGGCCTGCTCAGGCTTCATGACCTGCACGTAGAGTTTCCATGCGGGGAATTCTCCCCGAGCGATGGCATCCCATAGGTCCTGGTTGTGGAAGTCGGGATTGGCCCCAGCCATCAATGTGGCTTCTTTTCCAGAAAAATGGGTGATGCTTTGCGTCGGCCGGAAGTGGAATTTGCAATACCGAAAACTCCCATCCGCTGACACCATCTTGAAGGTATGCACACCAAAACCCGTCACCCGACGGATGGAATCCGGGATGCCGCGAGAGCCAAACAGGTGCATCAAAGCATGGACACTCTCTGGCTGGTTGACATGAAAGTCCCAAAACTGAAAGAAGAGATGAGCGCCACTGGCAGAGCCGTAAGAGTATCAACACACACTCACCATTGTCCAATCCGGCCGGTTAGTGGCGGGATGTCTTTTGTGGCTGCGATTGAGAGAAGGAAATCTCACTGGATCCCGCACGAAGAACACCGGCTGGACAAGAATTAGAAGGCCACGACTGGCAGACTTAAGAAATACAAACTCACAATATGATTCCCTACAATGTCGTGATTACCCTGCTCAGTGAAGAACTTGACGGAAAAGCCTCGCACGTCCCGCACGGTGTCGGCGCTGCCCTTTTCACCACCAGTCGTGCTCAGACGGAAAAGCACCGGCGTTTTCTTGCCCACGCCATTGAGGAACTTGGCCGCCGAGAGAGAAGATATATCCCTAGTGACCTCAAATTCTCCCCAAGCACCTGCAGCCTTAGCATGCACCACCCTGCTCAAAGTTAGCTCAAGTGGAGGATCACGGGTGGAACGGCTCCTGACCTTTCAGGGATACGCTCACGGTTAAAATGCGCAAGCGTCTCAAGGAGGAGTGTATCGCCCAAGGTTGTAAGGCCACCGCTGCCAAATGTGGGCAAGGTAGTACTGACAGATGGATCTGCAATTGGCTGGCCTTGCAGGCTATTAGTGGTTGAACGTTACTGGGAGACTGTACGTTTCGCACCTTCTGCCAAAGTAAAAATAGGCTTCGACATAGCAAATAACTTGTGCTGGCGTGTCCGACTCTGGTGGTGTGAATGTCAGATGAATTGGTCCATCTCCAAGCGTGGAGGGATGTCCTTTATATATTCAAAGCAACATCCTGGAATCCAGCACTCTCTCCTAGAAATTGGGTGATGACGACCTGAGTCCGTGTACGACAGATTCCGGATATCGCCTTTCACATGAGGGGAGCCGTGAGGGGGAGTAGAGAGACACAACAATGGACGGATGTGCCTCCTCACAGAATCATCTGTATACACGGTACAGCAGAAACTGCCTGCAAGGCTACAACATGACAAAGTGGATCTCTGTCATGAGATGACATGTGGATTATGACGAAAAGTCAGTTCGATCACTAAGAGCTTGTATAGAATTGCGGCTCGGTTGTGTGGGCCCGAATTGGATCCGTCAGCTATTAGGCATGGGCCGAGTGGACACCGAATCTTCGCCGGCCCAATCTGTTAGTCATGGGCCGAGTGGACACCGAGTCTTTGCCGGCCTTCGTATCCCCTCACACTGACAAAGACGCACACATTAGAGTGATCACCTGTATTATTGTTGCTGACATGTTTATGTAGGATACACTCACGTACAAATGAAAGTGAGTAATTGATGATAATCATGAGCATGGCTTATATGGTTGTGCGTTGTGCACACTTAAGTTGCTAATATAGTTCATAGATCCCTATGGGTCACACAGTTATGCATGCTTGGCTTATTAGATTATTATTAGTAGCACATCTTACAAGATTATGCAGTGTTCTTTTCCCCTCATGCGGAGATTTCTTCTTTCCCCTCATGAAGGCGGCAAAACATTTCTGCTATGGCTGTTCCATTGACCCCTGTTGATGCTATCCAGGCTCCTTTCGCAGTGAGCACCTACGCTGAGGCATTTCCAGTACCATCACCAATGCGACGGCCGAATGCTGTCAGATTCTGCACGGAAGTCGGCAAAGATGGGAAAATACAAAGGTATAAAATCTACCATCTGCCTGGCCATTCTCTGCTCGTTATTCAACACAGACATCAAGTCATTTAGGCATTAATCAAAGCGCAATCTTAATATCTCTTCCATCATCAAAGACAAGCCCTGACAATGGCAACCGTTTCCAATGGCTCTGAGTTTGACTTCATCATCGTCGGCGGTGGCACGGCAGGCAATGCTGTTGCTGGTCGTCTCGCTGAAAACGCCGACGTCCGGATCCTGGTAGTTGAAGCTGGGATCCCCAATCCAGACCAAATCGAGCAGATCACCACGCCGTCAAAAGCTTTTACCCTGCGAGGAAGCAAGTATGACTGGGCCTACAAAACGACGATGATCAAACGCGACGACTACGAGCGCGTCGAAAAGCCCAACACCCGCGGAAAAGCCCTCGGTGGAAGTACCTGCGCCAACTACTTTACCTGGATCCCTGGTTCGAAGCCTACCTTTGATGAATGGGAGGCGTTTGGCGGCCGGGACTGGAACTGGGAGGGCTGTGTGGATTACCTGCGCAAGTGCGCCACCTACCACGACGAGGAGAAGCTCTATCCGGCCGAACTGAGCAAGATTGGAACCGGAGGCCCGGTGCAGATCTCTCATGCCGACCTGGTGCCGGAGATGCAGCCCTTCCGCGACGCGCTGATTCAAGCGTGGGTTTCCAAGGGCCAGCCTCTCACTGAGGACATCTTTTCGGGCGAAATGAAAGGGCTGACGCACTGTGTGGACACCATCCACCGCGGCGTGCGCCAAGGGAGCTTCCTGTACCTGAAGGACAAGCCGAACGTGACCATCCTATATGGCGTCCACTCGAAGCACCTCATCATCGATCCCGTAACCCGCATCTGCTCCGGCGTCACCGTCATCAGCGAAGCTTACAACACTGAGATCAGTGTCTATGCCAGCCGGGAAGTCATTGTGTCGCAGGGCGTGTTTGAGACGCCCAAGCTGCTCATGCTGAGCGGTATTGGCCCGGCTGCGGAACTTGCCAAGCACCAAATCAGCCAAATTGTTGACTCCCCTCATGTCGGCCAGCATCTCCTGGACCATCCCATTGTGCCTTTCGTCCTCGAGCTCAAAGAGGGATACGGCCTGGATGACCACGTCCTCCGCCCCGGTCCTCTCAATGACAAAGCGCTGGCTGCTTACCAGCGTGACAAGACGGGCCCTGCCAGCTCCGGGTTTCTGGAGCTGGTCGGCTTCCCTCGTATCGACGAGCGACTGGAGCGGTATCCGGCCTACCGCGAGGCTATGGCCGCCAACGGCGGACTAGATCCCTTTGGGCCCGCAGGTCAACCGCACTTCGAGCTTGATTTCGTCGGCCTGTTCAGCACCGCCTTCCAGTGGCACTTCCCCATGCCAGAGCAGGGTAACTACATGACTGTCATTGTGGATCTTCTGCGGCCCCTGTCCGAGGGCGAGGTGACGCTGAACAGTGCGAACGCGATGGTCCAGCCCCACATCAACCTCAACTTCTTCGCGAACGACTTGGATATTCTGGCCATGCGGGAGGGCGTACGCTGGACCTACGATGTTTTGACTACGGGTACTGGGTTCAAGGACATCATCGTCCGCGAGTACCCATGGAAGATGCCTCTGCATTCCGACGAGCAGATGGACAAGGCAATTCTGGAACGAAACCAGACTGGATTCCGTAAGTGCACTCTTACTTCCCGGTAAATGGCACGATACTGACGAGGTCCCTTCTGGCAGACCCCTGCGGTACTGCACGGCTCTCAAAGAGCATTCATCAAGGTGTGGTTGACTCGAAGCTCCGCGTCCATGGGGTGCGTAACCTCAGGATTGCGGATGCCTCCATTATCCCTGTAATTCCGGACTGCCGTATTCAGAACTCAGTCTACATGATTGGCGAGAAGGTGAATAGCATGGCGAACTTAGTTGTATTTTGCGAGAAAGGCTGACCGGTGTACTAGTGCGCCGACATGATCAAATCCGAGCACAAGGACCTGTACGAGGCAAAGAATGTTCCTTATTCTATCCCGAGCAAGCTCTGATGGGCTTCATGTACTTGGATTGACGATTGCCATCCTCCACAGACTGGGTCTCGTGACTCTGTTTGCTCGGAAGGAGCGATGAGGGGTAGTTGATGAAAGAAGATAGCAACATAGCAGTCCCTCCTAACTTACTTCAGTAAAGGTACTCATATAGTCAGAGATTTCCAACCTCACTCAGGATATTCCCAGTGATGAAGGCAAGCATCACCAGCCATCCAATGTTATTCAGTGTATCTACTTGACAAGCACAGTGCAAAATTCATTGTGCATAAAGTTATGATACCTCTAACCATTCACTGCTTTTGCAAATTGTACATGGTTAAAAGGAGTATGCAATTACCAGGTTAGGTGCGACGTAACAGACTAAATGATCCTTAATTTCTGCCTCCCATCATTGCTAGCAATTATGTCCACCTAGTTATTTCCAGCAGAACGCTCCAGGACCACCCTTGCGTCGGCAACAGTCATCAAAAGCACCACTATTAAGGCAGTTTGTTCCACTTGCAGTGCACTAATACCCTTCTTAGTACACACTTATATTGGCTAATAGAGAAGGATAAGGCACGCACTTGATGATTAGGGCCTGGAAAATGGTTTAGCCCAACACATGTCAAAATGACAGTAGGGTCAAGGCAACAGGCGGCTGTTAGATCATTATACTGTGGACCTGTTCCACTTGGGTCTTGGCACTTGCAATTCTGGCCAGCCAAGGCACTGCTACTTGTTAGTAGGGAGAGATAATCAGTAGAGCAATGGTTCCTTTACCTTGCAGCCAGGGACAACACAAAAGCAAGAGTTAATCTCATTTTGATAAGAAAGCTCTATGTTAGAAGCTGCTGAGACTTGATTGATGCAGTCAATGTTTGTGGGATGATTTTAATGGAGTCTATGTGAGGGAAGATACCTTACTATATACCTCCAATTGTCGGCTCAGAGGAACTTGCTGCTTTTGTTACTTATGTTTCATGATGGATTCCCCTAACTACCAGACATTATGAATAGTAATCAGATTAGTGACAGATATTTAATCAAATATTAGTGAACAGGCCACATGTGACATGTGAAATCTAATTCTAGCAATAATAACTTTCTTATCTAACCTCACTGAGTACACTAAAGCCAGTCTATAGATCAAGTCTACATCACCCATAGTAGCCAAGAATCATGATTCAGAATTCTTTTCCTTTCAAAAAGAGAATAGTTTTGTCCACACGCTCATAGCCGAAGCGCTAAGGCCTGTTGACAGTGTTTCATGGGACGTAACGCCAAAGATCAATGAATCCTTCCATTCTCTAGCTCCTATGAGCAAGCGTCTGCTTTGTAACTTCTCGCAGGGTTCAATAGCAAAGCAGATTTCTTCCAATGTACAGTAGCTCCTGCCACATACAAATATTGTTGCTTCACCATCATTAATGATCGACTGTGTTGTCCTAAGTTGCAGGTCTTAATCTGGGAGAGGAGTGCGCCAGTGGACTTACCCCAGGGTCAAGAGTTGAAAGCGTCCCCCCATCATTATGCAAGCATCAACGGGCTGCGCGCGAATCATCTCTTCGGTATCCATACTCGTGAGACTGCGCAGAAACATGCTTGTGGGGGTGCGAGAACCCTTCATGCAAGCTTATCGTTGGGAAGTCAATAGCTATTGCCCAATTTAGATGAATGCCACGCTTAGCACCTTCCATCAGTTGGGGAGCGTTGCCGTGGCAGGGATTGGATCCGGATCCCGTGTTGATAATACTGATGATGGGTGGGTAGAGAGCATGCTTTGATGAAGACCTTGCGTAAGAAGAGAGAAAAGCGAGCGTCCCCGTACGATGTCAGCCGTTGTCGCATCCCTGTGGTAGAAAAAAATAGTTGCTGGAGCTCTTTGTCCCGCCTCGCCCGATCGCGCATGTCCATAGCTTTGTGACGGACAATGGCGGTTGAATTCGGACATCTTTGGTTGACTTCGGGTCGTAGCCTTTCACTGCCTAGATCAGCGGCTGCGACTTTAACGGAAGCAGCCGGATATCCTCCGTTTCAACGCGCGCGGAAGTGATCCGCTTAAACAAGAACACACAAAAAAGGGGCATAGGTATACAAGGATATCTGAATCAAGCCAGTGGCCGTGGGAAATTAAGCTTAGCTAGCTTTCAATTGGCTGGTTGACTATGAAATCACAACGAATATAGGTGCCGATTAAGTGCCATGGAGGAGAGACGTAGCGGTACACTGAACACTTATTGGAACCCATCCGCTTTGCATACACTCGCTGTGGACCACCCGCGGCCTGTGAACATGACCAGTAAACCAAATTAATCCACTAATATTTATATCTGCTTTTGCGTCATATTATGCCTTAACTTTTCAAGCATGTTGTGTTATACGTCCCAGAAAAAGAACATTTACTATACCCTCAACTTGCAATGACCTTGGTTCATATTGGTCAGTGGCAACTCCAGTTATGATAAACGTTATGCCAATGTTCACTTAATTTGTCACTCCAGTTCTGTTCAGATTCCGTCCTGATGTCAGTGACGAACATAAGAGCACCTTTGTTACCGAACTCAAGAAGTTAAAAAACCTTCCATGTGTTAAATCTGGACGTCTTCTTGTTGGAGGACCAAGCGTGACGGAACCGCTCGAGCGCAGTAAGGGTTTCCAGATTGCCCTTATAAGCTACCATGAGAACCAGGCAGCTCTGGCAGAGTATCAAGCCAGTAATGAGCATCACCGGTATGCACTGATTGGTCGCCCATTCAGCGACATTATCTCCTTACTCAAGACTAACCAGGGTATAGAGTAACTTCAACCTATATGTTTCCATACAAAGAAGATTTGGTCCGTTTTGATTTTGAAGTTGATCCTGAGGATGAATATATGTGCCGTTTTCTGTTGTGAAGATAGAAGTTGGACTTAGTAGTAATAGATAGCCTACGAATACTGAGTTGCTGCTTTGTTGACTCTCCATGGAACGGCGTCAGGCGATCAGGAATGGTAAGCGGTAGAATATATACCCGACGGGTTTTCCGCTCGGTTGACGGATGTGCCCCGCCAGACGTTTTCCTTGATTTCGCAAACTTGTGTTTCTTGAAGAAGTGATGTCTTGGGCAAATGCCATTGCGAGGCTGATTAGCGCTGGTTATTAGCAAACATACTGTATACTGTATGCTCTTCTGTGGCTTTTAATTATCTTTGAATTATCTTTTGAGCTTTTCCTTTGCTATTCACGAAGCGGATGGACTCGCAAAAGAGGGCTCGGAATCGGGCCGCATGCAGGCGTTGTCAGCGACGGAAAATCCGTGTAAGTGAATCCCAAAAGTTGCATCGTTCAACGAGAACTCATTTTGCATACAGTGCGACGGTAATTCGCCCTCCTGCGGCTCCTGCGAAAGGGCGGGAGTTTCCTGCATCAATGATGGAAAGCAGCAAGTCTATCGCTCGTCAGTCTCTCTCTCCGAGTCGTCCTCTTTAGCTACGCTGAATATCAGAGAAGATACATTTCCAATATGGAGAATCGAATACAATGGCTGGAGACCATTGTACGAGAGAGATGTTCCGATGTTGACCTAAGCCGTGCACCAGAAGTTCATGTAGGAGCTATAGACGAGACAAGACACCCTGGAACTCCTGATGGACCAGCCGAAAACGAATCCCACCATGGCCAGCCTCCACCACAGCCTTCGCCGCAAGAGACAGGGGCCAACATTACTGAGGAAGCTCCAACAAATATTGTCCCTCGTGAACAGGCAGCTGCGCAAACCATACCTACGATCAATGCAGTCAATGACGAACCTCAGCAGGCGCATGAGATTGGACTGGTCTCGCTGTCGCCTGGGGGGGATCCTCGGTATATTGGTCCCTCCAGCGGTTACTTCTTTGCGAAGCGAATCCTCTCTAGAGCTGGCTGTCGTGGTAGACAGAAAGCCGCACCGGGAGCCGCTTGGGACTCGACGCACCTATCAGTCGAACTACTGAATACACCAGCCTTACTGCCGCCCCAAAAAGAAATGGCTATAGAGCTCTCTACAAGATACTTCCAAACCGTTCATCTTCTTCACCCCTTTTTACACGAGCAATCGCATATGAAACTCATTGACCAAGTCTATGCATCACAGGAGGAGAGGCCGTTGGATAACTTCCAAGTCTACATGGTTTTGGCCGTCGCTGCCCTGAATCTATCACGCCAATGCAAGGTACATCTTCCGGTGGAAGGATATTATGCATCTGCATTGAAGTATGCCGATTATGCCTGCAACCATGGCTCCATCACTTCCCTTCAATGCCTATTGCTCCTCATGGTATATGCCTTGTATAACCCGTCCTGCAATATCAACATCTGGAACCTCAACTATCAATGCCTTGCGAGCGTGATTGATCTCGGGCTTCAGCGTGATGTGCGGGCATCTCAATCCCTCCATATCTCGGTATTCGACCAAGAAATGAGGACCCGTATCTTCTGGGTGGTGTATACCTTTGACCGAACAGTGTGCACTATGATGGGTCGACCGATCGGTATCAGAGACGAAGCTTGCGACATAAGGGTAAGCAAGTCAATTTCCTCCGCGTCGCCGCATCAACTAAAGGGAGAATGTAGTTTCCGCTTGCAATATCAGACAGCGATCTTATGAACATCGGTCCTGACCAGCAATACAAGGAATCGCCTTCGCACATGTCGTATTCAATCCATATATTTAGACTGGCCCAACTGATATCTGAAACGAAATACGTTATGCACAGCGTCAACCGTGGCGCGCCTGCCTATGCTTATCCCCAAGTCCGAGATATAGGCGACTGGCAAAAGGATATGATTAAATCCTTACAAGGCTGGCAATCGAGCATACCGCAGCAAGTGAGCGATGTCAACGGTGAAATGCCGCTTGTGTGTAAGATCAAGTATCATGACACAATGATTCTACTATTGCGACCCAGTCCCGGAATCCCAAATCCCTCGGACGAAAACCTCGAGCAGTGTTTTCAGGAGGCCATTATGCTGCTTCAGGGATTCGGGGATTTGTACGGAACAGGACATCTACTGTACAGCCGGCTTGTTGTGCATTCAATCTTTCTCGGCACGCTTGTCATGCTATACTGTATTTGGAGGTTACCCCAAACAGCGACAAAGATTCCAGTGGACGGCCTGATTACCAAATTCAACATCGCACAGAACATTCTGAGCAGCATTGGAGAGCACTGGGCCGAGGCTATTCGAGCTCGCGATTGTATCAATGAATTATCCAGCGTCACGATTCGAAGACTTCTAAAGAGCCAGCCTACGGTTACTGCTACTTCCCAGCCAGTTCAATTTATGGCGCATACACAACATGGCCACATTCACGGGCCTGAACCAGCGTCTCTTCCTATGTTGCAGCCGTATCAACTTGGCACTAGACAAGGACAGCCTTTCTTGGACGTACAAGGAAGCAACGCAGAGCCCTGGGTTGGGCAATCCCATACAACATCAGAGGAGGGCGTGTCCGATTTCTCAAATGTGTTCGACGACCTTTTACAAGGGGATTTCCCGGGTTGGAGCGGGGCGTTTGATATTGATGGGCTCATGGGGGAGATATTCAACAGCGTTCCGCACTGAGCATTCGCTATAGCAGTAAATACAAGGGTTCTGGGGGAGCGAATCGGGACGATCATGGCTCGTCCAGTGGAATCAAATATTTGGACTGTTACCAGTGCTGTACTCTAAACATATATCGGCTATGGGTCCCGATGCAGACGTTGGATGATTAGACCTCAAGACTCTTGAAGAATGCAGATGGCATAAGTGGCCGCGATTCAGAGGAGAAGACACATAGATGATCGATACTCTTACTTCTCCCACCAAAACATATGAATTTCGGATCTATCTAGTCGGTGGTTGAAATGCGGCGTCTCCCCGCCGTCGGAGTCGTTCCGGTGCGCGGATAGCAGCCCGTTCCGTTGTCGCCTTGGAAAAGCAGCCCACCGCAACAAAGAGAGAGATATATATATATTACCTTCGCAGTTAAAAAGCACTACATCCACATCCTACTTGGGAACAACAATTTCTCTGACATAAGTCAAGGTGTCAAACTAGGCAAAACGGACATTTCTTGAACTTGCCCTTAATCCCAAGATTTCTTCGCATCACTTCTCCAAAATGCCCGAAACCCTCCCTTCAAAGCAAGAAATGCATCACATCAAACATTCAGACCTCGAGAGGTTCATCCACGAAGTTCTCACAGGCAACGGTGTCCCGGACAAGCATGCTGCCATCGTGGCCAACTGTCTTGTCCAAGCCGACCTCCGCGGCGTGGATACGCACGGCGCAAATCGCATCCCCTCATACATCCAACGCATACGCCAGAAAGTCCTAGACCCCTCAGCGTCCCCAGAGCTGCAGCAGATCACACCGACTGCGGCACTGGTAGATGGGAAAAACACTTTTGGGTTCGTCGCAGCCCATCTGGGCATGCAGCGCGCGTGTGAGATGGCGCGAGAATTCGGCATCGGATTAGTCTCCATCAAGCACTCGAACCACTATGGGATGGCGGCCTGGCTTGTCCAGCAGGCGATTGATGCGGGGATGATGTCGCTTGTTTTCACGAATTCCTCGCCCGCGCTACCAGTTTGGGGCGGGAAGTCGAAACTTATGGGCGTTTCACCAATTGCCTGTGGAGCTCCCGCAGGGAAGGAAAGGCCATTTATCCTTGATATGGCACCTTCAGTAGCGGCAAGAGGGAAGATTTATAAAGCTCTCCGGCGCGGGGAGAAGATCCCCACGGACTGGGCGCTTGACGCGGAGGGGAAGAAGACAGATGATCCGGCCAAGGCGCTGGAGGGCGTGATGTTGCCCATGGGTGGACCGAAGGGGTCTGCCCTATCGATTATGATGGATGTGTTTTCTGGCGTGCTTTCAGGGTCGGCGTTTGCAGGGCATGTGACGGGTCCGTATGATCCTTCCAAGCCGGCGGATGTTGGGCACTTCCTGATGGCTATCAGGCCTGATTTGTTTATGAGTTTGGATGACTTCAAGGACCGGATGGACTATCTGTATCAGCGGGTAGTTGGGTGCGAGAAGATGTCAGGCGCGGATCGTATTTACTACCCGGGGGAGATTGAGCAGATTAACTGCGAGAAGCGGTTGGAAGAGGGCATTCCTTTTACCGAGTCGGAGATACAGAATTTGAATCGGGAGGCGGAGCTGGTGGGCGTGGAGAAGTTGAAGTTTGACTAGAAAGAGCATGAAAGAGAGAGAGAGAGAGAGAGAGAGAGAGAGAGAGACTCCCATGATATCAACGACAATGACATACTTTATGCAATACTCCAAGCTACACCCTCCCGGTGGATGAAGTAATTCCGCCATCCACAACCAACTTCTGCCCCGTGATATACCTCGCCTCATCAGACGCCAGAAACAAAACAGCATTAGCAACATCCCAGGCATCCCCCATCCGTCCCATAGGCACCTGCGTATCCCTCTTCCTCATATACTCCTCCTCATCGCCCCCGGGTGCATACCGTTTCGCAAGCTCTTTCGTATATGGCGTATAAATCAAGCCCGGCACAACCGTGTTCAACCTCACATTCCTCCCTGCATAAATCACAGCCGACATCTTCGTAAACTGCATAATCGCCGCCTTCGTAGCCGAATACGCAACCTGCGGTTTCCCGATGTACCTCATCCCCGCAATACTCGACACATTCACAATCGAGCCCCCAGTCTCCTGCTTCTCCATAATGGGCAGTACAAAATGACACGTCAAATACACGCTCTTGAGATTGACATCAACCTGCTGATCCCATACTTCCTCGGACATCTCTGCCGGACACCCTGGTTCCGATCTCCCCACATTATTGATGAGGATGTCGATGCGGCCGTGTTTCTGCATACAGCTGTCCACCAGGGCCTTGACAGACGCGGCGTCAGTAACATCTGTTTCTTGGATGTCGCATGTGCCACCGTCAGCCTCTATCCGGGCCTTTGTTCGCTCGGCCGCGGACAAGGTGCGGTTTCCGCCGAAGATGAGGGCGCCGTGTTGCGAGAGTTTTGTGGCGATTGCGGCGCCGATACCCCAGCCCTCTGGGGCTGTTTGGCCGAGGCCGGCGATAACGGCGACTTTGCCCTGTAAACTTATCATTGGGGAGAATGGAAAGCAAGGGAGTACAGGCGGAAGACTTGGACTTATGTGTACGGGAACCACGTGTACGAGCTCGAATACTGGGTTTAAACTGCCTGTGGTGTTGTTCCAGAACTGCTTCATACGTTGCGGATCGTTTCCGTCGGGGGGATATCCGTCGGCTATTTCCCGAAGTTCTTTGGACACTGTTTATATGAACAATTGTTTCGCTTATTCCCTGTGATCACGTCCATCTCTGTACCAGCCAAGATTGTTGTCATGTTTTACTCAGGTTGGCACGGGAGTCATCCGTCCCGACGCGACTCACCGTCGTATGCATGGAATTAGTTGATCGTCTCAAGATGGATATGTTGCGTCAACCGCTCTGGCCGCTAACAATAATGCTCCAGGTTTTCCCGGAAAATCCCTTTCCAAAGGCTGTTATGCCCAACAATATCGCTTGGATTTACAGCGTAACTCCGAATGGTTCACAGTGGGTTCCCACTTCCGCGCACCCGCGCCTCCCGCTGCCAAGGGCCCTACGTTACCGAGATTCTGTATCCCAAGATACTTACTTTGTGCTGGAAATGACACGATCTTGCGGAAAGCCTCCCCAGAAGCAAGCTCATCATGGACTAAGCAGTTTTACCTGGGATAAAAAGAAGCAGGGGTTAGTTTTGCTTCTGATTTTCAAAAGGGACATGTTGTACTGTAGTCAATGTCGAAGCAAAGGCGTGGACGGACATCGCAAGGCACGCAACCAATTCGGTCTGAAGGCTAGTTTGAAATCTGACCAGCGGACTAGGTCCAGCGCAACCTTATGCTTGCGGTATGAACACCTACACTATGAGGTCGGATAGCCTAGAACAGAGCGCTGGGTGGTAAGCTCAGATGCTGATGAGCTGAGTAGTAAGATTAAGTGCGTAGGACTTGTGATGTAACACCAGGCAGCAGGGAAGATTTGGAAATGGACCAATCAGCAAAATACCGGATTCCTAGCGTTTGCGACATTCCGCGTCATCTGCCCTGGATGTCCATCAGCACCATCCAATTAGACGCGATGCGCACTTATCTCAGACGCTTCACTACTTGAGGKGTCGCTTGGCAGTCGAAACCCTGCCGACCCCCCACCCCGGAAACCAGGCTACAATGAAATGGAGTTGAACCCGTGGTACCTTAAATAGGACCCTCGTGGTCAACAAAACATGGCAATCTATGGGCACCTTTGACCAAAATTGGCACAAAAGTAGGGTGACGCTTTGTTGGGATCTCCCCAAAGTTTTCAAATCAGTCGAGTGTATTAAGGTCATTTGACAACCATCTCTCCTCAAATCGAAACTGCATTGATAAATGGCATCAAAGTAAGTGTCATTGTTCGAATTCGAAGCGCCAATCTACCCAAGAAGAGGTAGATCGGGAGGGGTCAATATCAATTGAAGAACAGAAGCGAAAGGCCATCGATAGATACTCACTAAAAGTTTTCAAAGCACGATGCACAAGGAATCCCACGACATCACTATCGTGCAGGGAACAGTGGACGCAGTTCCAGCAGTCCTCCATCTCCTAGATACTGCGATCAAATGGCTGGTATCGCGTGACAGAATCGGGCAATGGGGAACAGCACCGTTTTCTGAGAATCCACAACGCGTCGAACGACTCAGAGAATTTGTAACCACAGGCCTTGGTCTTTGGCTCGCTATCAAGGTTACTGATGACACGCCCATGCTGGGTCAAGATGGACGCTCCAATATAAACCTCCAAACTATGAACGGAGAAGCTCCGGGGATCATCGTAGGAGCACTTGCTATTGGAGACAGGATGCCTTATGTGCCGCCTGTCTCGGAGCCTGAGCTTTACGTGCGATTATTAGTCACGGATCGACGATGGGCTGGCAACAAGATTGGCAAACGCCTTTTGGAACATGCACGTGGTCTTGCCAATAGGGCTGGAGTCTCATTACTACGGGTGGATTGCTATGCAGGTGGCGACGGTAAATTGATCCAATATTATGAGTCCCAGGGGTTTAAGCGATCTGAAAGTTTGAATCTGGAAGGCGACTGGCCTTGTCAAGTGCTTGCTCAACGGTTAGATGAGGTGAAAGAAGAAGAGAGAAGTTGATTCTTTCTTTGCTGGAGTATATTAGTGGCTCCGAAATGGACTTCCCCTCCCCTCGGCACGACCTAGGGATAACATGAAAGATGCAAGGCTTTAATTTAATCAGTATCAATGTCAATCCTGTGTCTTCTCTGGCGCACAATTGGCATTTATGCTGGCGAAGCTGAGAATGGCTGTCGCCCTGTTGCGGTTTACGGGTTTAGCATCCGTGCTATCCGCACTCCCATTAGCTAGGCCTCTACCTGATCTGGTTTAGTATTTCAGACCTTGCCAGGATGGGATCTGCTAGCACCTACCACCCAGCACAAGCCTACGACATCTATATAAACAGATAGTGTGTTACTCAACAGGCCATCCCCTGCTTTAAACTTCTTTTATTCATACCTAGGAGGCACTCCATACGGAACTAATATGTATTAATTGCTGTCGCCGGGGAAGGGGGGTGTGGAAAGGCACCGAACCGAGCCGACGGGGGCTGCGGGGCAGTGGGCTCTCGTAGCCTTCTACAATGCTGAGGCCTTCCCATACCTCCGAGGACTGATGGTTGTAAGATGGAGGCGGGTAGAAGGGGGCTTGCCAGGATCGAGGGGATGAGGTTGAGTAGTGTGAGAAGGACAGAGGCCTTGGTCATGTTGACGGGTGACTGATGATCATAACCTGTATTGATTTCCGGCTGGAGAACATGATGCAGCCTAAATACAGCCAAGGGCTCAGCTACTAAAGATAGGTTATGTAAAGGTAGGGATTAGTGCGCTTAAGGCACTACCTTAGGAAGTAACTATTTACTCTTTGTGCAATCATTGTTGTAGTCAGCAACCCCAAAAACAAAAGGAAAAGCCCCAGTAGTCGGAGTATATACACATATATCTATATATATGTGGAGAAACGTTTTCAATGTTTGGAAAGGATGCMTATTCAGAGACTATGAGGTTACTTCGCAGCTAGTAAATAATTCATACAAGTCCAGGTAGTATAACAAGTGAAAATCACTGTGAAAATGGTGTTAAAAGGATATAGAAAGAAGGCTATTCATCTTCAACTTCGCCTTCACTCACTGTCATCACCCAAAAAATTCATTTAACAGCGTCATCCCATTGAATCATGTCGCCAGGGTTCTCCACTGCATCAGCACTTTCGCCTTTTAGGTACGCTTCAACCCGTTCCAACTCGCGGCCTGTCGCCGCTCGGCTATCTGACACCATCTCCCACGAAGTATTCCTCTTCAACTATGCAGTGACCACGTTCTTCGACCGGAGGAACCTAAAGCCCAGCTTTTTGCCCCGCAGTGCGAATATCTGCTCGCTGGATGCTAAGTAACTCCGTCCACTGAGCGGGTTAGCTAGGTAGCCGCCCCTGAGTCTGGCAGCATCCAGCAGGCATTCAATCTGAACGAAGATATCTTCAAGTGGCTGAGTACCGAATATGAAGCAAAGGAATTGCCCCTAACTCTGGACGCCTAATTGCATGGGTATTCTGAAACCATAGCCACATCTCTCTGTAATATACAAGTCGACATTTACTTTCCACATCACCATCGCTGCTCTTGTATGTGCTGAATATGGATTGGGTTCGCCATCCTTGTGTGCAGCCAATGCTTAGTGTAATGAAAACTCCTCTGGTGAATGGGACATATTGCTATTGCAACTTCCTGGCAGACTTTGGTTGGTGTACGATCTCGCATAATAGATGCGAGGAGTGTACCTTGTATTAACAGCTCTTCTGAGCCAGACATAGGTTCGGCCTCATCAAACCCAGGTATGAGGTTAACGGCATTTATTTTGCACGGACCGGCTCTTACTAATCGAGGATATGTGGTGTGTCCCCGGTCACAATGGAGAGCTCTGTTGAACTTCGATGTACCGTAGGCCAAGAAGCAGCTTGCCTGGGCTGATCCGTGGTTCGGCACCGCGCGGTTGTCGGCCTCCTGGATGGTGTCATATCGCAGGCATCTGGCGGGCTCCCCAAACCGCATCGAGCTAGGAGGATAATTTTTCCTTTAAAGAGCTTTTATATATGAACTTACAGTCGTTTTGATATCCATATATATATGTGTATCATTTAGAGCAGCATAGCGTGCAGCAGAACTCGATCATTCTTGCAGTGTACTTAACATACGCGACGACCTTATAAGCTCTTCTGCACTACATTAGAGGTACTCCCGGTAACCACTTAAGTCTGACTTTATACTGTTTACGATGCTCAGCAGCTTGTTTTTATGAAGTTTTTCATGAGACATGAGCCGCTGAATTCTGTACTCGGAATGACTGCCGATCACTAATCATCCGCATCGGGATGAACCTCGGCAACTTAACTCATTGTATCTTAGCCAGGTGGAACCTCAGCAAATGGCTGAAGAGAAAAGAGTGTCTAAAAGCGGGCCGTGTCCTCTACGCTGAGTCAATGGAATATATCAACGAGTTGGCAGCGCCAGGCGCATGCCGGGGGAAGATCACCTCATCCGCCCACGTGGATCGGACGGATCACATAAACATGAAAAGGTCGCCGTCGAGGGAACTGGGTTGGCCAATATCGTCGGAGACGTTCCGGAGCCGACAAAATGAGCGTTCTATAAGCTGACTGTGAGGCTTTAAAATATGTTCGGAGAGTGGGCTCAACACTCTCGTCTCGGGGACTATTATACCCGCTTCGCCGTTGCACTAATGAATTAGTATACATTTTTCATATCTATCAATTTCGCCTAGTAGAATAAAACGCTGGGCCCCCTAGAGATGTCGGTAGTCCAGCAACTCTTAACTTGCAACTTGCAACATCTGTACGCCACTTGGTCAAAATGGAGGCTCCAAGCTCAGAGAAGTCTCTTCATGACCCCGACCTCAACCAGATACATTGGGATGATCCCCGAGAAAAGCGGAATCCTCAGAACTGGCCACTATGGAAGAAGCTCTTCCATACAGTGGTGCCATGCATTCTCGCCTTTGTGATGTAGGTGTGGTCCAATCAGAATCAGAAATAGAGCAGAACAAGGACTAAAGCTATGGGTTTATACAGCACCTTTGGAACATCTGTCAACGAAGCAGCGTTAGGAATACTTGCGAGGAAGTTCGAGGTATCCCGAACAGTATCCATGCTTACTCTCACGCTGTACACGCTCGGTTTGGCATTTGGGCCGCTATGCATCGCACCACTGTCAGAGATTGTCGGCCGCCGCTGGGTCTATATCATCACCTCATCGCTTCTGCTAGCTTTCAGTGCGGGCGCTGGGGCTGCAAATAACCTCGCAACTCTCCTCGTATGCCGTGGGTTGGCTGGATTGTTTGGGTCCGCTGGAGTAGCGATTGGTGCAGGAACCCTAGCTGACATCTGGTGTCTGGAGAAAGAAGGTGGTCTTGCATCCTTATTCTTCATTTTGGGTCCATTCTTAGGACCCACAATGGGCCCTCTTGCAGGCGCCTACGTTCTCCAGGACCATAATAACAACTGGAGATGGACACAGTGGGTGATGGCAATACTCTGCGCGCCAGTGTGGCTAGGCACAGTCCTGATGAGAGAAACCCTGAAGGAGAAAATTTTGGCGAAGTCGAATCTTCAAGAGAAAGCTCCATTGCAGAACAGTAAGCCCACGCTGGGTCAGCTCCTCACTGTTGGGCTTGGAAGGCCTGTGAAGATGTTGTGCACTGAGATCATTGTTTTCTCGTTGACCCTGTACACTGCTTTTGCCTACGCGATGATCTTCAGCTATTTCGCCAGCTCATCATATGTCTTGAGCATATACTATGGGTTCGACTGGCAGCAAATCGGATTGAGCTTTATCAGTGTCATCGTCGGATACCTTCTCGCTGCTTTCATGTTTGGAGTGTTCGATAAGACTCTTTATGCCAAGGCACGAGAAGCTGGCGGTGGTACTGCCGCTCCAGAGCATCGTCTCTATTCAGCGATGGCAGGTGGCATTTTATTGTCCATTGGGCTATTTTGGTAAGATGCAAATGAGCCCCTTCTTTTATACTCCCACTTACTCCCTATTCAGGTATTCCTGGGAGGCCCACGATGGTGGTCACTGGGCTGCGCTTGTCTGTTCGGGAATTCCCGTTGGAATAGGAGCCTTCTCTCTTTTCGTGAGTTGCCCAGTGGATGAAGGTTCGGTGTGAGTAACTAACTAGTCTTCTTAGCTGTCTACTATCACCTATCTCGTCGATGTCTACAAAGCCGGAGCCGCAGCCTCAGGTGAGAAATCATGTCTGGATGCTGCACTGTGCTCTGTTTATCTGCTGTACTGACCAAAATACTAGCTCTGGCTGCAAATGGAGTTATCAGATATATCTTAGGAGCAACATTCCCACTGTTTACAGTGCAAATGTACCAGAATCTCGGAGTCCATTGGGCAGGCAGCGTGTTTTCCTTTCTGTCTCTTCTTCTCTTACCAATTCCTTGGGTTCTATTCAAATATGGACCCTTCCTGCGAGGCAAAGGTCGTCCGTGATAGTATAAAGCTTGGGAAATGGGTGAGACACCGAGACACCGAGTCACCCTCTGACCAAATGATTTTTTAGACCTAACACAATTAACTCAGCAGGTTGTTGTGCAGGAGTTGGCTCAGAAATCTTTTTCAAGCCGTGAAAAAGCTTCCTTTCTTCTTCTTTTCTTTGCATCTTCGTCAACATTTTGGCTTATATTTCTTGGAGATATTTTTATACACACTGAGGGAGATATGTAATATACAGATATACATTTAGGTGAGATTCCCGTTTTACTGCCTAATGGAAAATATGCGCTCATCTCTAGCCTCTAGACTGCTGCCCTTCCTGATGACAGCAGCTATAGGGGTGAGATTACCTGCTAGGTTAGTCAGGGCCTATGGGCAGAGAATAATAGAAGCTCTACGCTCCATACAGACTCCCTGGGGTCGCTGCAGAGTATGAGAGTATCTGAGACAAAAATGCCGCGAACTCTTAAGCACTCGGTTGTGGATTACGTTAACGTATTTCCCGATCGAGCCGCCCATTTCTGTATTCCATACAAAGTGGCACTCTCAAGGCTCTGGTATCTCAGCCAGGCCTGTATATGCTTTAATTTGAGTAGTTTTATGGACTATATTTTATGGTCTAGAGTATACAAATACTCTTTACGAAGGTCCTGAAATACTATCCCTCTCTCTTGATGTTCAAGAACTTACTATTACCAAAACTACAGACGTAATCAATGTTATAATATACATATTCTAGTAGGATAAGGCTACATTTATAAGTTGGACCCTGTAGGTGCCTGGTTGTTGAGATATCAAAGCCTCGAAGAGTGCCATTCTATATGGGAAACGGAGGTGGGCGGCTCGGTTGGCAATTTCGCTATCAATTCTTGGAGTTGTTATCACTAAAATTAGGAGTTATTGAGCCCGAGATGATCATGGCATGTTCGATACGATTAATGGCAATCTTTCCTGATACGAAAGTGGCGTACTTCTGGACAGATCCTACAGCTCTGTGTAAAGATAGTAAATGAAAGTAAACGAAATTTAAAACAAAAGCATAGATATTACTGGGTTGACTTTATTTCAAATGCCATACAACTAAGTATGCAAGCCACTGTAATTTTCATTCGCCCGCTGGACGCACGAGTATCTTTCAACTGACCGAATAATTTGATTCAGGAAATAGACCAAAGATGCGGTATAAAACATAAGTGACTGACCTACTATTGAGTCTTAGAAAACATAATAAAACAGTTTGTTAGCATAATACTACAGCATAATGGCCGTAAGACAGCTCCGCAGACTAACTCTAACAACCCGCTTCCACCGTCCCATCCTGCCTCAAGCCCTTCATTTAAGTACAGCACAGACAAACTGCCGTCGATTCGACCACGAAACCGACATCCTAATCGTCGGCAGCGGCGCCGCAGGCCTCACCGCCGCTCTACGCGCCCACTCCCACGGGCTATCATCCCTAGTCATCGAGAAAGATGCCCAAGTAGGCGGCACCTCGGCCTACTCCGGCGGCGGCCTCTGGATCCCCAATAACCCGCTCGCCGTGGAGGCCGGTATAACCGACACCCCCGAGCAGGCAATGGCGTACCTGACGGCTGTCATCGACACTGACATCCCCGACGACACCGACGTCCGCCGCGCCTCATCCCCCGCCCGCAAACGCGCCTTTCTCACCCACGGCCCCCGCATGGTCTCCTTCCTCCGGGACCGGGGATTCGCTTGGCGCCTCAGCCCAGGCTGTCCAGATTACTATCCGCGCGCGCACGGCGCACTCCCCACCGGCGGGCGCTCCATAGAGCCGGACGTGTTCGACGCGCGGCAACTAGGGCTCGGCGAGAAATGGACAGAGGCTATTCGGCAGCGGCCTGGCCGGTCGCTCCCGCTATTCACGTATGAAGCCAGCAGCGCGACGCGCATGGGGGCGTCTTGGCGGGATATCACGACCGTGCTGCGCGTGCTACTTCGCAGCACATATCTTTCCCGTGTGCGGGGACAGATCCCCGTGACGATGGGCAAGTCACTTGTTGCGCAGCTGTGGTGTTTGCACAAGCAGCTTGGCCAGGGTCCAGTGCTCACTGATACGGCGCTGCGCCAGCTCATCGCTACCTCTGAAGGGGCCATTCTCGGGGCGCGCGTCGCGACACCAGACGGGGAGAGGAGCATCCGCGCTCGGCGCGGGGTGCTGCTCTGCGCTGGAGGGTTTGCGCATAACCAGGGGCTCCGTGAGCGGTATGGCCCGGCGCCTGCGAACGCCGAGTGGACCAATGCCGCGCCAGGCGACGACGGGGATGGCATTGTCGCAGGTGTGCGGGTCGGCGCAGCGACGGCCCTGATGGACGAGGCGTGGTGGGGCCCAGCGCTGCGAGACCCGGTCCGGGGGATGTATTACTTTGCGCTGCAGGAGCGAGCGCGGCCATTTGGTGTTATTGTTGACTCGTCTGGCAAGCGATTCATGAACGAGGCTGAGCCGTACACGGATGCCGGCCACCACCAGTATGCGCGGAATGCCATCCCGGCGTGGTTCGTCTTCGACTGGAACCATCGCAAGCGGTATGCGGTGGGCTCGCTAATGCCGCGGCAGCAGCCCCCTGTGCAAGCGCTGGAGGCGGGTTACGTCCACCGGGCAGAGACGATCGCGGAGCTGGCGCGGCAGATCGGGGTGGATGAGGACGGTCTGCAGGGTACGCTGGCGAGGTTCAACGAGATGGCCGACTGCGGGGTTGATAGCGACTTTGGACGCGGAGAGAGCGCCTTCGACAATTACTTTGGGGATCCGACTGTGCGGCCAAACCCGAATCTGGGGGCTGTGCGGACGCCGCCCTTTTACGCGATCCCTGTTGTGCCGGGCGATCTGGGCACCAAGGGGGGTCTGCTTACGGATGAGCATGCCCGGGTGATCAGGGAGGATGGGACGCCTGTGCAGGGGCTGTATGCGGCCGGCAACACGACTGCCAGCGTGATGGGACGGACATACCCAGGGGCAGGGGCTACGTTAGGACCAGCGATGACGTTTGCTTTCATAGCGATAGACCATATCTCTTCTGACCATGTAGAGTATCGCGATATCTTAGCATAGGGGCAATCTAATATAACATCTCCGTGAATTCATCCAGAAACCCCTTCGCCAACAACACCCGCATCACTCCCGGCCTCAACGTCAAGAACACTCGGGCACCGACACTATCCCCTCCAGGCCTAGGCGCAGGACAAACCACCGCAACCGTATTCGAATACGCCATCGGTGCAACCATCACCGGGCCCCTAGCCCCAAAATCCGCCTCGTAAAACCCTAGTCTGGACTGATTCGAAAACGCCTGCGACACCATCATCGCATACAGCACGTTCGCCTTGTCACCCACAAGAGCGATAGCCCGCAGGGCCCGCCGGATGAATCTCTGAATTGTGGCTCTATTGGCTGTATCCACGACGGCGCGCGACAGGAGGGCTGCTCGCGCGACGGATTCCGCGGAAAGCGGGGTTTGGAGGAGAGACCCCGGGATGGAGACGTACAGGCCGATTGCGCAGCTACCCGTGTAGTTGCTCGGGACGCCGATGCGGTGGCGAAAGTCGCAGGGGACAATGGCCTTGACGGTCTGCGTCCGGCGGGTGAGCAGGTGCTGGGTGTGCGCGAAGGCGAGGGTGAAGAGCGCGGTGATGATATCATGATCAGAAACGGGAGAGGACGGGTCGATGCGGGTGGCTTTATCGCGCAGCCTGTCCAGGGTGTGTCGGGGGACGGAGAAGAGATGGCTCTCGATCTCATCCGGGGGGGTTTTGTCGCCGAGAAAGCGTCTATACAGTCCGAGGAAGAGGATCAGTAGCGTTGATAATAGCCCTAGCAGCCATGATGCTGGATGCCACATCGAGCGAGGAGGAGCGGGCCGTGCATCCGCAGGAAGGTGCTCGTACATCACCCGACGGTCCATCAGCAGACGAGGCCTGCTCTCGCCCTCGGGTTGACAGCGGTTCCTGGCAAACCATCCCCAGGACTGCACAAAGTCCACAAACCCCTTGGCGTCTACCGCGCAATGGGCTATCCGCACCACCATCACCACGCCGCTCTCTTCGGCCAGCCGATGGACATACACCTTGAGCAACTCTCCATTGGGAGATGCACGCGGATCAACGACATTGGCGTCTTTGGGCCACACATCGCGATGGAACCCGTTGTCCTTCAGATGCCGGAAGTGAAGGTGCGGGTGTGTCTGCTCTTGGTAGAGCGGGAGGTTTAGATTACCGCGGTCAACAACAATCTGCATTGCATTGCGGCCGTGACGGCGTACATGGCCGAGAAGAATCGGGAAGTTCTGGAGGGCACGATACAATGACTCCTTGAGGAGGGAGGATTGCATGAATGGCCGGGGTCCGGGACTTTTGTTCTCGTAGAAAAAGACATTGGTGATGTAGAGGTGGCTGGGGATGATGTCGAGCGGAGAGAGATCGTAGACGTGGTTTGATATATTGATGAGGTCTTCCATCTGTTTCATTGCTGCACTTGTGCTACAGCTCTGGTGGGAGAATGATATAATACAGCTGAAATTCCACATACAAGACCAGTTCTTTCACTGTTGTATTCTTTTTGTATTCTTATCAACTATCCTCATTTGGTTATGCTTCGTATTCCCCCTTGTCTAGGCTGAAGCACCGACTAGTCTCCTGGCTTCTTGGCCTTCTTGAATTACACAAGGTGCTGCTACGTAATGACTTTTGCAAATTACTGTCTGTACATCCTCAGAACAACCATCGTTGATTGATCTATCGGGCCTTGGCCCTGTGGCCAAGGTTACATCGCATTGCAAATTGAAGATCCTCAGAATGACTATCGTTTATTGATCCATGGGGTCTTGGCTCGGTGGCGAAGGTTACATCGCGTTGCAGATTGCATACTTGGCTTCAACTTATACGAGGTAAGCTAAAGGACAACTAAGCGAGGCTCGGCACGTCTGGTATCAGTTACTGCCTGTGAGACACTACCAAGCGACAATCCCGCTCTGGATACTTGGGCGTAGTGAACAACGCGCTGCGCGTGGGCATGATCCTTGGCCTTCCCAGGGCATCCACATTCCACGGCCCATGCACACTGTCCTCCGGCAGTGCAATGTCATACTCCTTGAGCAGGTTTGCAATGATAATCATAATCTCCATCAGCGCAAGATTCCGCCCAATGCAGTTGCGGTGACCGTAGGAAAAGGCAAATACATTCCGCTTGGCCTGCTCATCGCCTAGAAACCGCGTGGGGTCGTAGAGATGCGGGTTCGTCCACACGTCTTTGTTGATGTGCGCCCCGTGGAGGTTGATAGCAACCTCCACCCCCGGGGGAATGTAGTGTCCCTGGATGGTGAGGCCCTTTGTGTAGGAGACGCGAGGCAAAAAGCCCGAGGTGATCGGGGAGTACCTCAGGGTTTCGTAGACGCACGCCTCTAGGTAGGGGAGGTTGTCGCGGCACTCGGTGAAAGTGATCAGATGGGATGGAGTGAACTGGCTGCGAACCTCCTCGGTGACTTTGGCCAGGTGCTGAGGATACAGCGTCAGGAGATGGATCACCCACGAGGTCACAAAGGAGGTGGACTCGCTGCCTGCGAGCTGCATCGCGATGCTTTCCGTCATCACCTCGTCCGCCGTCATCTTCACCCGGGGGTTCTCGGGATCTTCCGCATCGATGAACGCCTGCAGGAGATCCATCGGTCCTTCTCCCGCAGAGGATAACAGATGCTTTCGCCTCGTCACCGACTCCTTGCTATAAGCAATGAACCGCTCATACCGCTCACGATACCGGCGCAACACCCTGGAAAACGGCCTCACCTTGAGGATAGGAAAATTCTTCCGAATCCCCAGGTACAGCCCGGTGGCCTCAATCCACCGGATAACCGTCTGATCATCATTTTTCAGCGCATTGAACTCTCTCCCGAACGCCAGGGCCCCGATCGTATCAAACGTTGCATACTGCGTATCATCGCGGTAGTTGACCGTAACGGGCTGGCTGCCACTCTCCCCCAACAGTCTATCCCACTTGCTCTTAATGGCAAGCACGCTGTACTTCATAATCAACTCCTCCATGCGCCCCAGATACCCATGGCTCAGATACGGGCCGATCTGGCGTCGTCGACGACTCGCCTGCGCGGGGTCCCGCGTGGTGAACATGCTCGCATGCCCTTCAATGTCGAGCATCTCGTAGACTTTTGTCTTGCGGAATTCCGGCGACAGCAGCACGGTGCGGATGTCGTCCGGGTGGCTGATGCTGACGCCATTCGGGCGATGGACGTAGATGTTCCCGTAGCGGTGGTAGTCGGCCTGTACGGATCGGGGGCCGTCAGAGAGGACTCGTTTGAGGATGGAGTATTTACTGGAGAGGCGGGCTAGGAGAGAGCCGGGGATATGGCGAAGGGGGGAGAAGAAGAGCTCGTAGGTGATTCTCCATGTGAAGGTGAGGAGTAGAAAGAGGGGGATGTAACGGAGGATTTCTATCATTTTGCAGTTTGATAGATCAGATGCAGTGTGTCGGAGGAATAAAGAGATGCGGGGAGGAGGAAGGTATAAATAAGCAGGAACAGACTTAGGGCACACCTGCTAAATGTCTTAACATTGCATTGATTACCTCCACCAGAAGATATGTCTCCAAAATGGATATTCGAGTCAAACTACTATGCAGTCCTACCAAATCATCTCTACCTGCTCATTCCAGTACTTATTCATCTTGATCCCCTGCATAGCCACTACGTTACTCGTCAGAAGTACGTACGCCCCTCCCTCCTTCCCCTCTGGCGTCGGCAAAATCGCCGCCATGGTATAGCTCCCCGCAAACACCGGCGTCAAACACACAAAGCACGGTCTCCCACCGCCAAAATCCGCCTCGTACATCGGGAACCGCACCTGGCTTGTCGCCACAAGCGAGGTCGTCGTGCGCGTCGCTGTGAACGCCAACGGCCGCATATGGCTCGTGGGATTCGCCCGGATCAGGTCATAGTACGCGGCCACCAGACCGGGCTGCACGCGCTCGATCGACTGCCGGACATTCAGCGCAGCCGCCGCAAGCGTCTCTGCGGAGGTCGGACGAGCGAGCTCAGCGAGCGGCGTCCGTACCATCATCCCCAGGAGGAGATTCCCCGTGTATCTCTCCCGCATATTCAGATGGCGGCGGACATCGCAGGGGACGCGCACCGTGCAGTGGGTGTCGGGTTGTCCCTGGCGAGGGCGAAGCCAGCTCAGAGTGCCCGTGGGAGGCTCCGGCTGGGGCTGGCTTTGGACGTAGGTTTTGCTGATGAGCGCAACGAGCAGGTCATTGTCCGAGAGACGGGTGCTGGCGGGGATATACGGCTGCACCGCTTTGTGGATCTGGTCGAGAGAGGCTCGAGAGATACGAAATAGATGAGCCTCACCCCGTGCCATGCCCGCGGTCTTGGAGAGCAGACCTCCCAGCGTTGTCGGGGAAAGCCATGCGAGCCAATCGACAAGCAGATTCCGCTGGCCGTAGATCGACTGCGTGAGGGGATCCAACGGAGTTCGCTCCGCAGGCAAGTACCTCTGAATGATGCTACGATCAAAGCTGAATTCACACTTCGACTCCTGCTGCTGCTGGTGCATACTCATCGTCTGCGCCCAGTGATTGATAAAAGCAAAATATCCCACCCCGTCCACCACGTAATGGGGGATGTTGATAAAGAGAATTACTCCGCTGTTCTGTGCTAGTCGCGTCACATGGACATTCAGCAGTTTAATTTCCCCATCCGCGGCAGCAGTGGCTACAGGTCCCACTGTCGCGACCCCCGCGGGCCACGCATCCCAGGCAAACCTGGCCTCCTTGAGCTGCGACCAGTGGACGGCGTCGCAGAGTGTCTCCCGTATATCGGGCTCGTTGGGATTATCTGCATCCACCTCGACGACGAGGTGCCCGGTGCTCCTGGCTCGCAGACGGCCCATCAGGATGGGGAATTGCTTGAGACTAGCCCATAGCGAGCCCTTGAGGAGATCAAATGGCATAAAGTCATTTTCATGCTGCTTGTTTTCGTAGAAGAAGGCGTAGGGGATGTTGGAGAAGGAGCCTTGTAGGTCGAACGGGGAGAGGGGGATTGACTCCATGGTGACAGACAGGGCACTTTTCAATTCATTGACAGATAGGCTGAAATAGTCATCAATGTTCGCAGCGTCGGGCACTGAGGTCTCTGGAACCCCCTTTGGTAAATCGATGAAAGCAACCAAGACGGGCCACTTCGTGTAACATTGTCTCGCTGTTGCATGAATACGAATAAGACGCGGGACGGCCGATTTTTACCTGATACGTACTTGCAAATCCTAGCTCTGAGCCCGTATATGCAGCCAAGCCGGGCTGGAGCTCGCTTAGATCTCTTGCCCGTATCAGGCAGTAATTTACCGTGTATGCTCCACAGGCACGATTTGCAGAATGAGGTTAAGATAGCAAAGCATTCCGTTCCGATCAGCCACATTCCTTGTTTTGTCGATCCCTAATCTAAAATTGCAAACTGCCAATACATCACTCTGTAATTCTCGCTGACAATACCATTCGACAATCCCTCTCAGGATCTGCCGGCATGGTGGCCACCCCCATCTTCGTGGGCATGATTCTAGGCCTCCCCCTTGCATCGAGGATAGTGGGGCCAAAGCGACTGTCCTCAGGTAACTCCACCTCGTAATCCTTGAACAGATTGGCCAGCGTCACCATCATCACCGCCCAGGCCAGATTGCGGCCAATGCAGAACCGCGTGCCGTAGGCAAACGAGAGCATATTCCGCCGGGTTTCGTGGTATGTCTCCTGTTTGAGGAAGCGTGGTGGATAAAATCGCTCTGGATCCTCCCAGGACGGCTGGTGCAGATGTGCCGCGCACTTGTTAGTGGCGATTTCCGTGCCCGCAGGGATGTAGTAACCCTTAAGGGTGATGGGCTGGTCTGAGACACGGGGGAAGGAGGTGCTCGCGGTCGGGATACAACGCAGGGTCTCGTAAATGCAGGCCTCGAGATAGGGGAGTTTGGCCTTGCTCTCGTTGAATGTGATGATGTGATCCGCGGGGAAGTTGGCGCGAGTCTCGGCCACAACCGCTCGAAGATGATCTGGGTAGAGCAGGAGAAAGTGAATCACCCAGGAGATGACCGATGAGGTCGACTCGCTGCCTCCAACCAGCATGGCGATGCTCTCCGCCTGCACCTCGCGCGAGCTCATAGGGACCTTGGACTCTGGGTCTTCCGCGTCGAGGAGCGCCTGCAGTAGGTCCGCTTTCTTAGGACGCCCAGCCTGCAAGTCTGCCTGGCGGATGGCAATCGACTCCTGGCTAAAGGCCACCAGGTCATCGTACGACTGTTTGAGACCCCTCACCAACCGGGAAAATGGGAACTGCTTGACCCACGGAAAGTAGTGGCTCACTAGCATGTACGACAGCGTATTGTTGACCCATTTTGTATACACGAGATTGCGAGTTTCCAGGGCGTGGAAATCGCGCCCAAACACGAGCGCCCCAGTGATGTCAAACATGGCCAGCTGGGTATCGTACCGGTAGTTCACCTCCACCTTCTTGCGGTCCGCCAGCAGGGCATCCCAGCGCGCTTTGAGAGCCTGGACCCCGTAACGCAGCATGACTGGCTCCATCTGGGTCAGATACGAATTGTTGAAGAACGGATGCAGTTGTCGCCGACGGCGCTGCGCCTCCGCCGGGTCCGTAAAGGTGGAGACGTTGGGGATGCCCTCGTATTCAAACACCCGGTACATGTCCGTTTTGCGGAAGGCGTGCGAGCTGAGCACTGTACAGGCATCGTGGGGGTCGCACAGGTACACTGCGTTGGGCTTGCAGAGGTAGATGTCCCCATAGGTGGAATAGTCCTTGCGCGCTGCGGTTTCCGCCCGGCCGGTGAGAAGATGCCAGAGGGGGCGTTTCGATGTCACCCGGGCCATGAACGGGGCGGGGATATGGCGGAGGGGAGAGAGATACAGAGCATGGATGAGCAGGTAGCAAAGCCGGAGGACAAGGACAGCGAAAAGGATGGCGATGAGGTTGGCGGCCATTGTCTCTTAAAGTGGCTGACTGACTGACTGGACTGACTAGCACTGAGCAGAGTTTTGTAAAAGGGATTAGGGAAGAGAGAATGTAAGCGAGAGAAGTAGTTAGGATCAGTTCGATAGCAGACGACTCTTAACTACCGAGCGGTGCTTACGAGGTCATTAACCTAGGTCACAATGGGTGGCCCCGCTGTGCTTCTGCATAGAGCACTGTTTGGAACAAGTCATACTATCCGTAATTATTATTCCCTGATTGTCCTTTCAGTCAATCTTCTACCATATCCCACCTCCTATTCATAGTATCCAGCTCAGACCGACCATGAACACAGCCATCGTTACCGGCGCCGCCCAAGGCGTGGGCCTCTGCATCGCTGACGCCCTCGCCCAGCGCAACTATCGCCTCGTTCTCAGCGATATCGACACCGAAAAGGGCCCCGCCGCCGCCTCCCAGCTCAACCTCACACACGGCGAGGGCACCGCCGTCTTCTTCCCCTGTGATCTCTTCAATCTACAAGAAATTGACACCCTCTTCTCCTTCACCATCAAGACCATGGGCGGGTTTTCCGTGCTGATCAACAACGCGGGGTACCTCCGCGCGCCGTTCCTTGCGCTCTCCGCGCAGGACATCCGGGATATGATCACCGTCAATCTGACGGCGCCCATCTACGCAACCCAGCAGGCTATTAAGTACTGGGATGAGCATGACCAAGGCCGGGCCGGGTGCGTGGTCAGCATAACCTCCTCGTCGTCGTTCAAGACGTATGCGAGCATCGCACCGTACGGGGCGGCCAAGGCCGGTGCTGCCATGTTTACCTTTGCGGCTGGGGCGTTTCATCCGCGCGTGAGGGTGAATGCGGTGGCGCCGACGGCGATTGCGACAGGCTTTGACAAGAATCGCATGCGGGTGGAGACGGACCGTACGGGTCCGGGGTATACGCCGGAGGAGGAGATGCGGGCGATGGGGTTGAGGAGGTTGCAGCCGGAGGACGTGGCGGACGCGGTGGTGCGGTGTGTGGAGGACGAGGGGCTGTATGGGAAGGTTCTGTACTTGGATGCGGTGGAGGGGATCAAAATACATGGCGGATATACGTAGAGTAACTTATTGTCTTCGTGTCATATTCAAACTACTCTAGGTCCGTGTCCGGCTTATCATTAATCGACAGTCTCGGTCTGGATGCGTCGGCGCAAATACTATATGGCACTTGGACGGCATGCGAATGGGGATCCCCTTCTCGTCTACATGATGCGGTCCGTACAGACTGTCTTCCGGTAAACTCCAATCATAGTCCTTTAGCAGATTCGCCAGAATGGTCATCATCTCCATCCATGCCAAATGACGTCCGATACAGCTGCGCGTCCCATACGAAAAGGCAAAGACACTCCGCTTCAGATCGGGATCTTTCAGGAACCGGTCTGGCAAGAACCTCTCTGGTTCCTCCCAGACATCCTCGCGGTTATTCATGGCGATGAGGTTGAATGCTATCTCGGTGCCAGGTGGGATATAGTGCCCCTGCAAGGTGGTCCCATTGCTGAAGGAGACCCGCGGCATAAAACTCGATGTAACGGGCGTATACCGCAGCATCTCATAGACAAAAGCCTCGAGAAAGACCAGCCGATTACAGTCCGCATACGTGATCAAATGGTCAGGACCAAACTGCCCACGCACCTCATCCACAGCCATCCGATAATACTCGGGATACAAAGTAAATAAATGCACGGCCCAAGTCAGCGAGGCGGCCGTCGTCTCACTCCCAGCCAGCTGCATGCCCACGCTCTCGGCCTGCACCTCCACGGCCGTCATCTTGACCTTGGAGTCAGGGTCTTCGGCATCAATAAACGCCTGGAGAAGATCGACAGGCTTCTGGCATCCTTGTGCCAGCAGCTCCTTTCGACTGGCCACTGCGTGCTTGCTGAATTGAACAAACTCCGCATATGCCTTGGTCCAGCGCCGCACTAGCAGCGAGAAGGGAAACACCATGAGCAGCCGGAAATTGATCCGCACGCCGACATAGACGGCTGTGGCCATGATCCATTCCACGATCGCCACACTCTCCCCTTCATCCTTCAGGGAGTCCAGCCGCCGGCCAAATGCCAGTGCACTCATAATGTCAAAGGTGGCCAGCTGCAGGTCGTGGCGGTAGTTCACCTTGACAGCTTTCCGTGGGCCACGGCCATATTGAGCAATCAGTCGATCCCACTTGTCCGCCACCGCCCGGCAGCCGCTCCGCAGAATCAGCTCCTCCATTTTTGCCAAATAGCTGGGATTGAAGTACGGACCGATCTGCCGGCGCCGTCGACTGGCAAGCTTGGGGTCACTGAAGGTGACGATGTTCGCCATGACAGGGTCATTGAGGCCATGATAAACATCGATCTTTTGGAACTCGGAAGCCGCGAGGATGGCCCGCACATCCAGGGGATGGCTGATTGTGATGGTCCGCGGTTTGGAGAGGTAGATGTCCCCATAGGTATGGAAGTCGGCCAGGGCTGCGGGGATGACCCGGTTAGGGAGGCGGGCATAGATCGCTCGGAGAGGGGTGAGGCGTGCAAGAACCGGTCCCGGAACGCGGTGAAAGGGAGACAGGAAGAAGGCGTCCAGCAGGCGCCAGGAAATCCACACAATGACAATTAGGCTGAGAATAATGGGAAGCGCCATTGTGTCTCTGCGCGTGTGTGCGAGGAGAGGCGAGGGTGATTAGTCCTCGAAACAGATAAGAGTGCTGTGCAAATGTCGTAGTCCCTTCATTTACCCTTTTGGTATCTTGGATTACCCCTCTTCGTGTCTATCGGGGGTTGGCATGTTTCACTTCCTTTGGATCAAGTGCGCAGCTTCGTGCGCCTCGCACATGTGATACTGTCTCTCTATGTCCTTCTATTTCCTGATACAGAGGCTTGCATCTGCATGTAACACCAAAGGTGATCGCTTTTGATAAGGAACTGAAGTAAACAGGTGGGTTTTTGCCTCAATCTGGAAAATGAACAGGGAATAACCTCGTGTTTCTCCGATCCTGCTGGAATACGACGTCGATCCTCCAATTGACCAATAGTCTTTTTAGCGAAAATGATAACATTGGATGATCTCCACAATCGCCAAGGAATGAGAAATACTAGGTCGAAATACTTGATTGAAATTTTTAAATCTGTCTGTCAACTGCGTCCGTGCTCGACCTAGATGCCTCCAGCCAGGTCAATACGAGATTGAGTTGTTGATCCTCGTATCTGTATACGACCCTGCTATCAGGCCGCTTGCCGACCCCTGGCCTGGTCCAATGTTTGGATCGAAGAGGCACAGGTGAGATAGACCCAACTCTACGGCAGGTTTCCTCTACAATGCTTTGATTCATACTGTTCAGGGGGAGACCACTTCTTCCACGATGATCAGAGTCGCTGAGCTTGGGCACTTTCTGAACGCAATCAGCGTACTCCAGGCGTTCGCGGCAATCTTCGTCGGAGCCCTCACCTATCGCCTGATTGACGCCTATTTCTTCTCTCCCCTCTGTTCCATTCCTGGCCCCCTTCTGGCCCGACTAACCACCAAACGCGCCAATGTCGACACCTTCTCCGGGAAAGTGACCCAGACCGTCGACAAGGACGTCGCCAGGTACGGTGATGTTTATGTCTACAAACCCCGTGCTGTCTGTATCAATCACCCAGACGACATCCGCGCCGTGCTAGGGTCCCAGGAGTTTCGCAAGGCCGCCTTCTTTGACATCTTCAACGACGGCAACACACCCAATATCGTCTCGCTCAGGGAGCCAGAGCTGGCCAGCCGTCGCCGGCGGCAGCTAGGTCCCTTCTTCAACTACGCTTATCTGGGCCGCGCAGAGCCTCTAATCCTCCAGCATGGATACCAGGCCATCCGCACGAAATGGGATGCTTTAATAGCAGCGAATGGCGGGCGCCAAACCGAGGTCAACTACCGCACCGACACCCAGCTCGTGACGTTCGACATCATGAGTGCACTGGCGTTCGGACGCAACTTAAACGCCATCTCCCGCGGTAGCTCGTCAATCATGAAATGGGCCGGGCTGATCATGGACATGTTGGAGTCGCCCGTCGTCCTGGCCCTGCTGTCGCTGCTGCCGTTCTCGCTTATCATGCGGCCGTGGAAGATCATGTATCGCGAGCTGGCGGCGTTCAGCAGCGACGCTGTCGACATGCGCAGGCAGTTGCTGGCTGACGACTCCACGGAGAAGCCCTCGGACATGCTGCAGGCGTTTCTCGACGCGGAGGACCCCGAGTCTAAAGTCAAGATGAGCCCGCATGAGGTGCAGGCCGAGAGTATCATGATGATGCTGGCGGGGAGCGAGACCACCTCATCCGCCATCATGTGGACGTTTCACCTGCTGCTGCTCTACCCAGAGACTCTCCGGCGCGCCGCCCACGAGGTCCGCAGCACCTTCCCCTTGAGCCACTTGGTGACATACAAGGACGTGCGCAGCAGCTTGCCGTATGTCGAAGCCTGCGTGTACGAGGCTCTTCGGCACTCGCCTACCACGGCCGGACTGACTCCGCGCATTTCCCATTCTACTGGCATCACCCTGCAGGGACATTACATTCCGCCCGGGACAGAGATCTACGTCAATCTGCGCTCGCCGAGTATGCATCCTAGTCTCTGGGACGACCCATCGCGGTTCAACCCGGACCGATTCCTCCATAACGAGACCAACAAGCGGTTGCTCTTCACCTTTTCCTATGGTCTGCGGAACTGCCTTGGACGGAACCTCGCCTGGGTGGAAATGCTCACCATCGTCGCCAACGTCCTCAAGGACTACGACATTGCGCTGACGGAAGATAGCCAATTTGGGCCGCATTGCACAGATGAGAATGGGCTGCCGATTCTCATGCCCGCCAAGTGCTTCATTGCGTCCTTCCCGGCCAAGCCGGAGAGGGACTGTCGGATGGTGATTACCAGGAGGGCCGAGTGACAGCAGTCGCTGGAGAGTATTCTTCTTGCTCGTCTCGTGTAATGTAACTAGTTTTAAGAAGTGGAGCGAATTGCCGGTCAAATGGCCCTGATTGACACGTTAGAAATCTGCATTGGATAAGGCGCATACCACTTCTTGGTTTCTATAGTCCGTAAGCAGCTGGCCAAGGGTCAGGACGAGTTAGACGTTACAATCGATTGACTGCTAAGCACGCAGTGGCGTTCCTCATGCATTAGGGCGAGCATGCAGAATGCTCGGCTTTTAGGAAGTCGGAGTCGCCTGCCTCGTTTTGTCGTACTGTCTGTTTCAGAGATTTCCTTTTTTTTATATTTTTTGAAAATAATGCAAATAACAAAGTGTAAGGAAAACCAAAAAGACGAGCATGGTAATACAGACCATTTGCAGTCTTGCGACGGTACTGATAGTGGGTGAGATTCAGTATAAAGTCCTTCGTGCAAGGCCCACAGCAGGTAGCAATGGAGCTCTTGCCTGTAACCATGGCTACAGACAGCAGCATGCCTGCGACGGTCATCGGCAAGGCCAAATTCTCCAACACCAAAGCCGCCAGCGATTTCGGTACCGATCTATCGCGATGGCGGCTCAACGTCGACAACGGCCGACACATGTGGGAGTATCTAGAGTCCGAGGACGACGCCAGAAAACGACCGCAAAGTTTCTTGGAAAAGTACTGGCTGGGTCTACCGTATGAACTCCCTGCGCGGCCTCGCGCTACCCGCGCCCTGGAGGCTGTGGAAAACGGATGGGAATTCTTCAAGCGCCTGCAGACAGCCGATGGGCACTGGGGATGCAACGATGACGGCCCCCTGTTCGTCACCAGCGGGATGATCATCGCGAGGTACATCGTGGGAATCCCTATAGACTCCCACATGAAGCAGGAAATGTGCCGGTACTTACTCAACGTGGTCAACGAGGACGGCGGATGGGGCCTGTTCATCCAGTCCCCGTCGACCGTCTTCGGGACGGTGATGAACTACTGCATGCTGAGGATCCTGGGGCTGGGACCGGACCATCCAGCGATGGCAAGGGCGCGCAACACCCTGCTCCGACTGGGAAGCGCCAGGGCCACCCCGACCTGGGGCAAGTTCTGGCTGTGCGTCCTCGGCGTGTACGAGTGGGAAGGGATGATCCCCTTACCGCCGGAGCCATTGCTCGTGCCTGCAAGTTTGCCCTTCAATCCGGGGAAATGGTGGGTGCACACCCGTCATGTCTACATCAGCATGAGCTATCTGTACGGCCATCGATTCTCGATGCCGCCCAACAATCTCGTGCAGGCTCTGCGCGACGAGCTCTACGATATCCCCTACGAACAGATCAACTGGCCGGCGCAGCGTACCAACGTCAGCGCCGCGGACCGCCTCACAGACGCAACCTGGATCCAACGCAGTTTTACCTCTGCTCTGGCGACGTACGAGACCTTCAAGATCCCCTTCCTGCGGCGTCGCGCGCTCAACGAAGCTCTGTTCCAGATCGAAACGGAAACCAGCAACACCCACTACCTGTGCATCGCCCCCGTGAGCTTCGCCTCGAACATGCTGGTGCTGTATCACGCCCACGGCCGGGACAGCCACTGGATCCGGGGCATGCGCGACCGCTTCATCGACCCGATGTGGCTGTGCCGCGAGGGTCTGGCCGCCTCCGGCACAAACGGGACCTCGCTGTGGGATACGGCGTTGACGGTGCAGGCCACTATCGACGCCGGACTGGCCGCGCAGCCCGAAAACCAGGCCATCCTACGCAAAGCCCTCGAATTCATCGACAACTCGCAGATCCGCGAAGATCCTCTCGGCGTGCACCACGTCTACCGGCAGCCGACTCGCGGCGCCTGGCCCTTCAGCACACGCGACCAATCCTACGCCGTGTCAGACACAACTGCTGAGGCCGTCAAGGTCGTCGTGCTCCTGCAGCGGATCGAGGGCTTCCCCTCGCGCATCTCCGACGAGCGGCTCCAGCAGGCCGTCGATTTGATCCTGGGGATGGAGAATGCCGGTGGTGGGTTCTCGGCTTACGAGCCCGTGCGGGGGCCAAAGTTCCTGGAACTGCTCAACATCACGGAGCTTTACGAGAACGTCATGACGGATAACCTGTATCCGGAATGTACCAGCTCCGTGATCATGAGTCTGACGACGTTCGCCCGGGAGTACCCTACCTACCGAGCACGGGATATCCATGCCTGTATTTCCCGGAGTGTCGACTACCTGCTGCGGTCTCAGTACCCCAATGGCGGCTGGTTCGCCAGCTGGGGGGTCTGTTTCACGTATGCGACCATGTTTGCGCTGCAGGGACTGGCCTGCGTGGGTCGCGATGAGTCCAACTGCGCCGCATGCCAGCGGGCTTGTAGTTTCTTGCTGCAGCACCAGAATTCCGACGGTGGGTGGGGTGAGAGCTTGGATACCGTTCGGTTCAAGCAGTACCTACCCCATCCGGACGGGAGCCAGGTGACTAATACCGCCTATGCGGTGATAGGATTGCTAGCGGCACGATGTGGGAACCATGAGGCCGTTCGTCGCGGTGTGGCGTATCTTATGAAGGAGCAGAAGGATACCGGGGAGTGGTTGCCCGGGGCGCTGGAAGGAGTGTTTGCTCCCCCTGGCGGAATGCGGTATCCGAATTACAAGTTTCACTTTACCCTGATGGCGCTGGGAAGGTATGCCGCGATCCATGGAGATGAATGTCTAGCTACACAACTAGTGTGATACGGAGTGACATCGAATACTGCCTTTATGGTCAAGTAGCACGCATGTCTCATAGCCACCGCAGTTGTGATAACCAACTTTCGCAATTTAATACTAGCCCCATAATCTTCATCTCGCAGTTCTAGACATAGAGTTGCAGGACCTCTGGATGATTCAGCCTCTATACTATGCCTATGTGGGCGCAAGTTCAGTTGAAACCTCAGCTTCTATGGATTTGGTTTTGGCTCTCCATATGATGATATCTAGCTATCTTCTGTTCCTGGTCCATACATGTCAAATACGTTTGATATACTGTATCTCAGGGTTAATTCCGCCTTGCCTCAGGATTTTAGAATCCAATCTCATGCTTGTATTCACAACTGCAGGGTAGGAGTCTCCTCAACTTAACACATTGTAAGGGCTGAGTATAGTCAAAATTACCCTCTCATGGGCACATCCCCTACAGCTATGCCTGCACCAGCTGAAGTCCAAGCGACAACCTTGGAGAAATTTATCCAAGGATGGGCCGGATGGGCCCCAGACGGTTTTCTCGCCAACTGGTCCGAAGACTGCACGCAGAAAACACTGCCTTTCAGCTCAGGGGTGCCAGTCCGCACCTGCCCAGACACTGAACAGCTTTTTCCGGTTCTCATGTTCCTAGTGTCGAATTTCACTGTAAGGAACGAAAGCTCTGTTGTCCAAAACCGGCAGCTAATGCCGGATAACCCAGTTGGATATCTATAATGTTGTCCATGACACACCGCAGGCCGACGATGTGGAAAACCCTCATACAAGCATGGCACCCAAGCCTCTGGTACATAGCGGCGATGCAGTCTCCTTGATCTGCCAGACCAACATGGAACATGCACTGAGGACTCTCCTGGGTTCTCAGGTGCAGCTTGGATTGCGACTGCCTGGTTACAACAGGAGCCAAATAAATAGCATCGAACCCCCTGGTGCGCGCCGCGAACCCTGCTTCTAGCAACTTCATTGGGCCCGGACATCAGCCCCTGCCATCCAGGAGGGACTATCTGGGTATTACTTGGTTTGTCTTGTCGCGCTATATCTAACTATACCAGTCACTAGGTCCTGGTCTGCTAGTGTGCCTGTAAAGCCCGCGTGCACCCATTGGGATCAGCTCTGCTGACTAGTTTTGCTGGGGGCGCAGCTCCCCACCAAGGCCGCCCTGCGGTTAAGACATTGCCAGGAAGCACCCATTGAAGCTCCCTTCATAATAGTAAACAATCATTGTGCATTTGTCAGAGATGAACTACCTGCAACCTTGGAGAGTTGTACCTTATTCATTATGACAAGAAGTCCTATTACCTATTACAACCAGTTAATTAGTGGTTAACTCCAAAGCATTGCAGTCTATCGGGCCATAGAGTTTTTTCCAAGAGGGGTTGGTGAAAGGAGAGGGTGGTAAATAGTGGGCGGTGGGAAATAAAGGACGGCGGAGAATAGAGGGTGGGGAATAAAAGGGCCTGTAGGAACGGGTGGGCCAAAATGTGGGTTGGACGGACGGTCCAGCGTCAGTTTAGGTGCCATCATTCAGCCAGGGTCACTTGTTTCCTAACGTAGGCTACATGCTAAAAGGACCACAATATCCGCCTATGACCCAGGACCCAATATATATGGTATGGCAACTGTCGTGCAGCGCTGTACGGCGTGTGTTACTTCGCTGCCCAGAGTAGTTCCCTGAGCAGACAGATCGCAGTATACCCATCCTGATCAGGTTCATTTGATCTCCTTTTGCCTTTCCATTGGTCTAGATGCTCCGACGATAACCGCACTGCTGCCTATTTTCCTTGGCCTCTTAAATCACGTGCATCCCTCAAACTCCAACGAACCCGACAACGATAGAAGCTAGTAGGTTGCAACACATATGAACCTGTCATCAATTCTTTGCTTATACTACAAGACGTATTTTGGCACATCTGCTATCGCAAGTCATTCCGCTCCTGCCTAGCTCGCCACCGCTAGCCTAATGTCCGTTGACAAACTCACGACCTGCCTCTGGTTCGATGGCCAAGCAGAAGAAGCTGCCTTGTTCTACACCTCCATATTCAAGAACTCCAAAGTTACGGGGCGCCACTACTTTCCCGAAGCCGGCAAGGAGTTCCACGGGCGCGAGGCCGGCAGCCTCATGATGATCGATTTCGAGCTCAATGATCAGAAGTTCGTCGGCCTCAATGGAGGCCCCTACTTTAAATTCACTGAGGCAATCTCTATCATAATCAACTGCAAAGACCAGGCCGAGGTCGACTACTATTGGGACAAGCTCGGCGAGGGCGGCGATAAGAGCAAGAGGCAGTGCGGCTGGCTGGCGGACAAGTTTGGCCTGTCGTGGCAGATTGTGCCTGACGACTTCCGCAAGATGCTGAACAGTACAGAGATAGAGAAACGGGACCGTGCATATGTTGCTATGTTGCATATGGAGAAGCTTGACATAGTCGGGCTACGCAAGGCTTTCGACGGGGAATAAGCCAACTCCTTTACTGGATTTCTCTGCTTGGATAAGTGACGTCAATACTCACCGTAGAAGTTGATACGCGCGATAGGCAGCGACAGAAGTCGACGCGCTCAAGAGTCTGGCGCGGGATCAAGTATGCCATGATATATATTAGGTGTTTACAGTATCTGCATTCTTGCCGTTGTCTTCCTTCTTTTAATTGGTGAGTCGCGTTGCAAAAATGGGAGTGCCCCCAATACATAGGAGACATGCAGGTGGAAATGCAGAGTCCTATAATGATTCTCTTCGTTATCCCTCCATTTGCAAAAGCATTTGATATTGTGATTGACGACATTACATGTGATATACTTGATCTAGAAGGGATTCAGTGCCTGGAAAGGAGGTGTGAAAGTCCCTGGGAATCGAACGTGAAAACGAGCACCTGTCCCGAATCACAACCCAGACCTATTGTCGACCCTGACACCATAGAAGCATCGGGCCGGTATTCCGGTGATGACCATAGCAAATTAGCTGAATTCCAAGTGACCCACGCCTTATCAGTGCTCCTGTCGCTGACAACAAGAAAAATTGAACAGTCCCAACATCAGTTCCAACATATGAATTAGTGGTGTCGAATGGTTTGACAGAGACGGCTCTTCCAAATTCAGGTGTCGGCGGGCATTGCCCGCTGACATCCTGCTCAAGTCGTGGCAAGCGACGAATTGCAGCACAATCGCCTGTAGCGCACAAGCTACTTTTACATATGCTGGCGAGGTCCCAATGATTGAAATGTCGCCGGTTCTCACACGGGGGAAGGAAAAATAAATTCGTTATATAAGGGGCAGGGGCGTGTATCTAGTGCTGAGGAAGGGCGAGGATAGGAAGTACTAAAGCACAGGCAGAGCTACTTCCCAAGCGATGTCACCGGCGCACCTGAGCTGGGCTTCTCCGCCCGCTGATTGGTAGCGCTCGCTTGACTGGTTGATTTATCAGTCACTTCGCTGGTGCGTGCTTCCGTTCCCCCATKGGTGCGTGCCGATACGATATACCCCCGACGAACCCCTGCCTGTAATGCGCCTTGCCCTTGCTGTGCTTTGGTACTTCCTCAAGATGCACGCCCTCTCCCTTTATATAAATAACGTGAGATCCGGCAACATTTCAGTCATTGGGTCCTCGCCAGCCTACGTAAAAGTACGTTGTACGTTAGGCGATTATGCTGCAATTCGTCGCTTGCCGCGACTTGAGCATGACCTAATACTCTCAGTGGGATTCGAATAAGTAGTTTAGATCTGTCGCAAGTAATCTATTGGTTGTCTGGCTTTATGGATCATGAGGAAGAGCCTCCAATCTTTCACTTTGACGAATGGCGATGCAGCATGGCAGTTATATTCCACGAAAGGAATTGCTGCTAGGTCTAGCCCAGCCCAGAAATCTCTTGGCAGTCACGCCACCTCGTTAGCTGGAAGCGGAGTTCGAAAACTAAGCTTATCAGTAATAACAATGGGAAGCTTTTACATAACCATGGATTAGGTTTCCTTTTGGATCCACGGGCGCATATCAATCTTATCCGCATGCAGCTTCAAGCATCGCATCTAATGTCATTTGGGCACTAGCTGTAAGTGAATCAGTCAACTGTATACTTTTTTGACACAATTGCCTTTTATCTATTGTGTTTATTAACGTCACTACTAGAATTTCGGGTTTCAGTTCCGGTATATTAACTGTCGCTAGTGGCTTCCGGCTGCTTGTATTGTATACCGCCTGTTTAATATGACAACCAAGGACTACTACTACCCCATTCCGGCCATCGCATCTGCCTTGCCTGTCTCCGCGGCATGTCTGACGTAGATGGTCACGGTATCATCTAGGTAAGAAATCTACTCCGTGCGCTACTATATGAGTGTGGACTCGAGAGGTGGTTCCCACCTCGCGGTAAATGTTGGTCTTTTGGCCTTGTGGGAAACCTAAATACCCAGCTGGAGTCCTTACAAGTTAGTCTGTCTTATGAAGTTGCATCTAATCATGCCCATCACAAATTACAGACCTGCCGGGAAACTAAAAGCCCCTATCCCACAAGGGGTGGACGACTAGATGTGTAGGATTAAAAACGCATCTCTACATATCACGAACAAAGACAGACACGCATTACTTTTTTTTGAGACTTCTAATTATAAACCGTATGGCAAACAAATCCATAGCTAATATCTGCTTTAGAGCCTAGTGAAAAAGACACTGGGAGGCGTGCTCCTGAGCTTCAGGATGTAGGGAGATAGATTCAAAGGTGGAGGCGGTCGAGGGGGCAGAGGGGGCAGAGGGGGGTTTCTCCCTGATAGCCTTGAACAAAGACATGGTCACTGTAGATATAATGTGTATGACATGTAAATAAGAGGAAAGTGATGGTACAATCGGTGCAAAACAAGAAACATGGGTACATAGTTGTGTCTGAGAATGCTGTAATATGAGGGATGTTCTTGTGAAAGTTGCTCATGATTTTGATTATGTAATGCTGTAGTTGCTAAAGTGGGTCAAGCCTGGCTGTTAGCAACTTGACGTCACTAGAGTTTTTGTATGCCGACCACCAATCACTTGCCAATCAAAATCTAATCCAACTCCTTCTGCTCTTATTTGTAAAGTTATATTAGTATTGAATAATTCTTAATTAGCCATTAACTATGTGATGTTTTAGATTTAAATATAGCTTGACCTATTCTGCCACTTTATTCTCAGTTTCTCACTCCTTATAATTAGACCCGAGCCCGCTGCCTGTGAGCCCATAACCTGTTCTCTTTATCTTCTAAATCAACTCTTATAGGCCATAGAAGTGATGTTTAAATTATTACATAATTTCTGCATTTTAGGTCTATCATATATTCAATCTAATGGAAAGGCCACCAGTGGTTTTTGTTTTCTCCGTATTTATCATAGCAGTAGTATGTATAAAAAATACAAAAGCTGCAAGAAGAGGACTATACTATTATGACACCAACAACTGCATTAGCATGAGGCAAATATGACAGGCAGAATTGGTGGAGCAGATGACAACCAACTAATGAAAAGGTTGATACCTTTTGTAGCTACATGCATGAGTACATTATTTGTAATATAACACTACTGAATGCGTCTTCACCAAGCTATTCAATAGGCCATGAGGCCATAGGAGCTATATGCCTAGACTATGACGACATCACCAGAAATCATCTACTCATGTATTATCATTAACTTAATGATGATCTAGAAACTGCAATAATACCTTTCATGTATGACAAGAGCTATTTTCTTCCAAGCTGTTTAATGGATCATGAGACCCTATTGTGATGTAGCATTGCTGAATGCGTCTTCCTTTGAGCAATGTAATGGATCATAAGACTCAACGTAAAGGATGACGAAACTTAACCAACAGACAGAAGTGGGTTGTTGAAGACGACAGAGACGTCTGAGAACCAACCTGTTTCTCGTTAGGGAGGAGAGACCATGGATATAAATATATGACTGGGTATCCCCATCTACTCCAGAAACTTCCTACAGTAGTAAGAAATAATCATCAATGTGAATCTTTCTTTCAGATATCTATCCCAAAGACATTATTCCGCATCATGGTTAAGAAAGGCCCTACAACTGGAGGTAATGGTGGCAGTGAATTTAACCTCTATAGTCGTGATGAGCCCGTCGAACAACTGGATGTATGGTACGGCCAAGGCACTCCTCCCGATTTTGACAAATTTACTGTCCTGAGGGGTCTCAAAGTCAGATGGGCCGGGGATGGAGACGACCAGGCCGGATGTTGCCCGGATGACGAACAGGAGAGAATACTGCATACCAGTTATGATTTTGGTAATGATTCACTTGATTGGATGGATATATATGGGTCAACCGGGCGTGTTGATTCACTAAGACTTGTGACTCACAACGAGAAAGACCACTTCGAGGCTGGAGGAATTGGTGGTACCAAATGTGGTCAACCTGCTGGTGGTAGAAAGCTATATGGGTTCTATGGAAGGGCGGAAAAAGACATTGACAAGCTCGGGGCAGTATTCAGTGATTAAAAAGGCAGTGAGTTACACAGATATGATCAACCTGTATAAATCTTCTAACCCTGGACAGATATCTGCTTATTCAAACCTATCTTATGTCCTTTTTAAGGGCTCAGATCTGCTGCTATTACTTATGGGTTAATTGCTTCTCTATCTTAGCAAATCTCTATCAGCGTATGGACAGCCAAGCATGCACCTGACCCTGTCAAACCAGTCTGGAAAGTTAATAACTAGAGTGACAGAAAACTATGGCTTAAATGTCTCAGAGAGTTTGTGATGCCTTTAGTGCTTTTGCCCACTCTTTTGCCTAGCACACCTATTTGCCCATAATATTTACCCAGAATCTGTTGTGCTGTACAGATGCTTTCTTAAAAGATTGACTATATAGCTTTTGCCTTAAAGGGACTTATTCCATTAGTTATAACCAGAATATGAGGACCTGTGAAATCAATGCTGAAAATAACTGCTACTGAKGCTATAAATAGCTGCATTTCCACCTGTAATTTCCCTTAGTAAGCTACTGCTTTAGTACTTAAGCATATACTATACACTACTATTTTATATGACAACCCGTCACCATGTTCCCTGCTGACTCTTTATGCAGAGCTTTCTGCCCATCTTGACCACTTACCTCTTTAGGGTTATTTAGATTGTTTGCACCATTCCACCCTCTATTTATATATCTCCCTACTATATACATACTTTCTTCCCTCTCTTCTCTATACTTAGTTTTCTATTAAATTACTACTATACTATTAGAATATAAGCAGTGCTATTATATAAAACTAAGCATTACTTCCTTTATTATCTCTTTTATTAGAAGGTTTAAGATCTAGTAAAAAATATATTCTTCTTTATATTAAGTACTAATCTTACCTCCTCTTATAAAGAACCCCTTGTGTGCTAATAATGCTAATAGTTAGAGATAATAATATAATCTATTAACTAAGATTATAAAGAATTATAATAGCTAGATCTATAGCTTCTACTAAGGAGCTTAAGAACTAGTAAGGAGCTAAAAATAGAATCTATAACCCCTTTACTTAGTATACTAGAGCAGACCTAAGTTTTACTAGAAGGCTAACTACCCTACTTAACTAGATAGAGAATAGTAGTCTTAATAAAGATATTTATAAGCTAGCTAACAGTATCTCCTATAAAGAATTTACTATCTATTAGGGAATAGACCCTAAGTACTACTAGGAAGCTATCTCCTAAATCTATATTACTTTAGATATAAAGGTAAACTAGAACTATGCAGAGGTAGCTCTTCTAAATAAGTAACTTATTAAGAGCTAGAGTAAGACTAATAACCTTAAGCACTAGAATAAATAGATTTATTAGGAATATAAATAGACCTAGGCCTAGCTTATTACTACTAACCTTAAATATAATAAGGCCTAAGAGAAGCTTAAAGAGGTAATCTATAAATAAAATAACTTTACCCTATAGGTAGCCTATAGATCTAGTATTAGAAATACTAGTTTCTAGGCTTCAGCTGCTAGTAGTAAATTAGTAAAGATTTTAGACCCTTCTCTTCTTAGTAATAGAAAGGACCCTTATTTTAAAGATTAGTTATTAGCTATTAAGCAGAAGCTTATTACTAATACTAACCACTTCTCTAACCCTATAATAAGAATTACCTATATAACTAGTTATACTAAGGGCAATGCCTGGAAGCATATTACCTCTTAGCTATAGAAAGATATTATTAATCTATACTAGGACTCTATAGACCTCCTTAAGTACCTAAAAAATATATTCACAGACCCTAATTATAAATAAGTTACTAAGTAGAAATATAACACCCTCTATATAAAGCTATTAGTTAAATAGAATAACTTTATCTCTAAATTTCTATACCTTATAGTAGAAGTAAGCATCCCTAAAGAGAGCTAGAAAGATAATCTATATAATAAACTATCTCTCTATATATAAGAGCTTACTATACCTACTTATAATAATAATTATAAGACCTTCTAGGAGTTTATAGACTACTATAGTTATATAGTAATAAATATTAAGAATATAGAAAGAATTAAGGCTTACCTGAATAGCAGCACTAATACTTATACTAGAGGGATAGGAGTAATACCTTATACTACTACTCTAGCTACTACTACTCCCTCTATAGATAATACTATCTTCTATAGTTATACTACTATAGCCTCCCTAGCCCTTAGTAACCTTAATAATAAAACTAGGAAGCACCTTATAAATAAGGGTAAATACTTTATATACTTCTAGGTTAGATATACTAGCTATAGCTACCCTATAAAGTAGGCTATATAGCTTAAGATATTAGAATAGTCTATTAAGTCCCTTTCTAAATCAGAAAATAAGAGCATCTAGGGGAAGTCTCCTTCCTAGATAAGAAATTAATTAACTTATATAACTTAGACTTACAAAATCTATTAGGTAATAAGGAAGATAGTTTTAAAATAAAATCTCTTATCCTTATTAATAGATTCTTAGTATCTATAAGCTCCCTAGTTAATACTAGAGTAAATATATATATATATATAACCACTTCCTTAGCTATTTAGATATCTTAATATTTTAGAATACCTACTATACCCTTAGAAAGGGAGTATATAGTTATAGGGTTTAATAGAAAGTAGTCTATTCCTCTTACCTATATTATTATATTAACTATGGTAATAGATAATTATATTATAAGATAGATACTATTTCTTATACTAGACCTAGGATGCTATAATATTATACTAGGAAGGATGTGGCTTATAGAATACTGTATACTAGTAGATTATATAGAGAAATAATTAATCTAGTCTATACTACCTACCTACTAAGATAAGATAGCTATATAAATAAACTAGGAAGTCCCTTATAACTTCCTAATTAGGTTACCCATTAACTAAGATTACTAATATAATATAGTATACCGTGCTAGGTAATAAGTAGGGTATAAAAGGGATACCTTCCCTCCCTTAGCTCTATCTTCTCTTCTCTTACTAACTATATCTAGCCCTATAGTTCTTCCCAGAGTAGTAACTAAGCCTTTAAATATATATAGCTTAATAGAAGAACCATAGGGCTATAGTATAAGGTTATAGTACCTCTTTTCTAGAATAATCTAAGGGCCCCTATAGACCTCTAAACCCTTATATATTCAGCCCCTAGTACTTCCTCCTATAGCTCCTAAAGAGATACCTAAGCTAAATCCCCCTAAGGAGTCTGACCTAATAATACTAATAATCACTACTTCCCCTTCCTATAAGGCTAGATAATACTAACCTACTAGAATAAAGGAAATTAATTAGTAGCATTGTGCCCTTAAGATAGAATAAGCTCTATAAAAAAGAAGTATAGAACTAATATTATAATTATAATCTACTTACCCCTTAAGTAAGACTGTAATTAATATTACTATAATAGATATAGTAGCCTTCTACTAATATATATATAGGAAAGATACTACTATCTTCTTATCTTCTCTCTATAAGCTTAATAAGTTAATTAATAAGAAATAGGGTAAATAGCCTCTTTCCCTCCCTTAGCAGCTAATAATTATAGCTTAGTCTCTAATATTTTAGCTAACTAATTATAGTCTAGTAATTACTAAAGATAAGATTAGTAAGATTAAATAAGTACTACTAGAACCTTATTAGGACCTAGCTAACATCTTCTCTAAATATAATTCTAATACTCTACCTCCTCACTATAGGGAATTTAATTATAAAGTTAAACTAGAATAGGAGAATATAGTTAGTTATAGGCCCCTATATAAGATAAATATAGAAGAATTAGAAGTAGTAAGGGAATATATACTAGATAACCTTTATAAGGGATTTATTATACCTAGTAATACTCCCTTTACTTCTCCTATTCTTATAGTAGAAAAGCTAGGTGGAGGACTATACTTCTATATTAATTACTATAAATTAAATACTATAATATATAAGGACTGTTACCCTCTTCCCTTAATTAATAAGATCTTAGAGTATATCTCTAAAGTAAAGATCTTTACTAAGCTAGATATCTATTAGKGTTTTTATTAGATTTATATAGACCTAGCCTTAGAGAACCTTACTACCTTCTATTTATAATATAGCAGCTTTAAGTATAAGATAATACCCTTTAGACTTACTAATAGACTAGCTATATTCTAGTACTTTATAAATAGTATTTTTATAAACTACCTAGATTAATATCTAACTATATTTATTAATAATCTACTAATCTATTCTAATAATAAGTTGGAGCACTAGCTATATATCTATATTATTCTATAGTACTTATAGAAGCATAGCCTATAAGCCTTAATTAAGAAGTATAAATTCTATATAATAGAGATATAGTATCTTAGCTTCATCATCTTAATAGATAGTATTAAGGTTAACCTAGAAAAGGTTATTATAGTATAGAAGTAGAAGGCTCCCACTACTATAAGAGGGGTCTAGTCATTTCTAGGCTTTTATAACTTCTATTAAAGGTTTATATAAGGATATAATTATATTACTAAACCCCTAGTTATATTAATAAGGAAGGATATCCCCTTTATATAGAATAATAACTATAAGGAGGTATTCTGCTGTTTAAAGATTACCCTTACTAAAGCTCTACTTCTTATCTATTATAACCTATCCTTATCTATAAAGCTAGAGATAGATACCTCTAATAGTATAGTTACTAGTATACTCTCTTAGTAGTAGGGGGAAGAGTAGTATCCTATTATATACTTCTCTAAAACTATAAATCTAGTAGAGCATAACTATGGCATCTATAACTAAGAACTATTAGCTATTATATATACTCTAGAAGAATAGTAAGCTAAGCTATAGGGCCTATAAAGAGCTAAACTATTTAAGATATTTATAGACTATTAGATATTATAATATTTTATATAGAAACAGCAACTGAACCCCTAATAGATCTAATAGAATAAGTTCCTATCTAGCTTCTGCTTCCTTATTACTTTCTAGCCTAGGAAGCTTAATATACTAGCTAATATACTCTCTAGGCTAGAAGACCTAGAAGGGACTAATAATTACTAAATTTAGTTAATGCTTAAGCCTGACCACCTTAACCCCTAAATCTTAGCAGCTATTACCCCTAGCCTAATATTAATAGTAGATTAAGTATCTAAAGTAAATTAACTATATAATAGCCTCTAGCCTAAGTAAGAGCTTATATAGGTGGGTAGTGACTAATAGGAACTTAGAGATAGACTTCTACTCTTCTAAGAATACCTAGTAATGCCTAATAAAGGTAACCTATATACTTATCTACTAGATGAAATCTATTACCTACTATCTTCTATGCACCTGGGTAAGGCTAAGATAAAAAGACTTATCTATACTTACTATTATTAGACCTCCTAGAGACAGGATGTGGACTACTATATAGATAATTATCTTATCTACTATTAAATAAAGATATATAGGGACCCTCTACTGGGTCTACTATAGCCCCTTCCTATCCTAAACTAACCTTAGTAATATATTACTATAGATTTCTATTTATTCCCATGCTCTAAGACAGGTTTTAATACTATATTTATTATAGTAGACTAACTAGGGAAGAGAGCCTTTACTATTCCCTATTATAAGATAACTACTACTTATAATATAGTATATCTCTTTATTACCTATATTTACCCATGGACTGGCTTACTAGAAATAATTATCTTAGATAAAGGAGGATAGTTTATCTCAGACTTCTAGGATAAACTATATAAAGTCTTATAGATCTACCTTAAGCTATTATTAGGATATTATCTATAGACTAATAACTAAATAGAAGTTATAAACTAGTAGATTATATAATAACTATAACTATTTATTAACTATTACTAGGATAACTAGGACTAGTAGCTATCTATACTAAATTTTACTGCTGTAGTGCTTTTAAGTAAATTTATAGGGGTATTACCCTTCTTTATTAAGAGAGGCTTTAAACTATATATATCCTTTAACTAGTTAGCAGTTACTACCCTATTAGACCTTAATATTAATTATAAGCAAGCATAGTAGATAGCTAGATATATAGAGGAGATCTAGTTATATACTTATAGAGGTATAGAAGCTACTTAATATTAATAGAAATAATAGGCTAATAAGTATTGCCATGCTATTAACTTTAATATTAATAATTATATTTTTATTACTATATTAGATTAGAAGCTTGACTATCCTAGTTAGAAGCTTACTAACTAGCTTATAGGGCTATACTAAATTATAAAGTAAGAGGGGAATACCTTCTAACTAGATCTCCTAGACTCTATAAAAGTCTACCCTATCTTTATGCCTGAGAAGCTTTATAAAGCCCCCTCTATACCTCCTCTACCTAGCCAGCTCTAGGACCTAGCTCCCCTACTTAAAGTTAATAATAGGGATAAGTAGGAGGTTAAGGAGATACTAGTATCCTAACTCTACTATTACAAACTCTAGTACTAAGTAAGGTGGCTTAGTTATAACATTAATCTTGCCTAGTATCTAGCCTGAAATTTTAGGAACTCCCTAACATTACTCTATAACTTCTATACCCAGTATCCAGCCATACCAGGCCTGCTAATGCACCTATTAGAATAGCTATAAGCAGCAGAAGATAAGGTATTCCTTAATGATCACCCTGATAATGATAAACCCTAGATGGGGGTATCTGGAGCCTAAAAGGGGGGGTAATGTAATAACCTATTACTATATTCCCTGCTAACTCTTTATGCAGAGCTTTCTGCCTATCTTAACTACTTACCTCTTTAGGGTTATTTGGATTGTTTATACTGTTCCACCCTCTGTTTATATATCTCCCTGCTATGTATATACTTTCTTCCCTCTCTTCTCTATGCTTAGTTTTCTATTGAATTACTACCATACCATTGGAATATGAGCAGTGCCATCATATTTTATACCTACCAAGCACTCTTCCAAACCTCAGTGAGCATCTGCTCTATTTCAACTCATAATAAGAAGTAATACTAATAATAGCCCCCTCAGTAACTAGATCTAGCTCCCTTAAACTTAATTCCCTATATACTATATAAAATAGTGCTCATCCTCACTCCTTCCTTTTCCCCCCCCAGCACTTTCGCACCTTCCACATCAATCTGCAAAGTCAATCACTGGTCAAATTACTTTAAAAAAAAGTCACCTTTCCCTTGTATTTGGACCTGTCTATCTTAATATTACTACCTCCTCTCCCTCCTACAGATCCTAATGAACATCAATACTAGACTGACCTGATCCTCTATAAAGAAACTTAAGCTAGGCTTAAGTATTTCTATAGCCTTGCCCCTAAACTTTAAACCTAAGATATTAGAATGTCTTATAGTGGTTAAAAGATACTAGTAAAGATATATTATATTTTTTTAGACTACTAAAGGGAATATATATCCTTAATATACTGCTGATAGATTTTATATCTATTTAAAAGAGGACTATATAAAGTATCTACTCTTAGAGGACTAAATAATCTATATAAATTTCTTTAATTAGATATATAGGATCTTATAAGAGAAGCTTCTTTAATTATATAATAAGTACTAGTAGTAAGTTAACCTGCCCACACGATGATAATCGTCGACAACCTTTGGTCTCTGGCCGTCGCCTCTGGGTTACTGGCCATATTCCTCAATATACTGTGGGGGCGATTCAAAGAATACCAAGGACGCAAAGCCCATGGCTGCGGCGTTATCCCATCTTATCCTCAATGGGATCGCATTTTCGGATTCGATCTCGCCTTGAGCCAAATGAAGGCCCTCCGTGGAGAGACTTTTATCCCATGGCTGGCAGCTATGCATGAAGGCCAACCGAGCACATTCAAGATCCGTTTTCTCGGAAAACGCCAAATTTACACCACCGAGACGGATAACCTTAAGGCTATGACAGCGATCAACTGGAAGGATTTTGGCATCAGTCCTCTCCGACGCAGTACGAAAGCTTTCCACCCGTTCGCAGACAAAGGTGTCAACACCGTTGACGGGAACGACTGGGTGTTCAGCCGTCTCCTCATGAAGCCGTTCTTCAATCGCGATGTTTATACGAACACTGATCGGATCAGGCCGTATGTGGACTCGTTATTGTCTCTACTGCTGCCGGATGGAGAGACATTCAACATCCAGCCCCTGCTCCAGCGATGGGTAAGTCGCGCTTGCAAAAAAAGCAATTTGAACGTTTCATTACAATGCTCATACGAACATAGTTCCTGGATTTGACCACTGATTTCATCCTTGGCGAGCCTATGGGGGCCCTCAATCATCCAGTCAAGGCCAAAATCACATGGGCCATGCTGGATGTTCTTCGTGGCAGTCGCCAGCGTATGCAGGTCGTTCGCATGATCAAGTGGTTCAACTGGGACTGGTGGCTCAAGGCAGTATACGAGGTTCATGCCTTTGTCGACACACATATCACAGCGACTTACAAAGAAATCGAAACCCGCAAGGCACGCATCGCTGCTGGAGAGAAAGTAGGCCCTGAGCGGGAAGACCTTCTATGGTACATGGCATCACACGACTCCGACTACGAAGACCTGCGGTCTCAATTGGCCCTGCTGCTGGTCCCGAACAACGACACAACTTCGATCTTCATCAGTAATGCCCTCTGGCACTTGGCTCGTCACCCGGATGCGTGGGCAAGATGTCGTGAGGACGTACTGACATCAGTTCAAGGGGGTGAGGACGAAGCGGTTGGTCAACTCAGCTTCTCCACTCTCAGAGGCTTGAAGTTTCTCAATGCCTGTCTTGATGAGACTGCGACTAAACCCAAACAACGTCACCCAAGTCCGTATCTGCATGAACGACACGACCCTCCCACGTGGCGGAGGCAAAGACGGCCAGTACCCCATCTTCGTCCGCAGAGGTGACATGGTCCAAGTCACCAAGACAGTACAGCAGCGCAATCGGGAATACTGGGGTGAAGACGCAGACGATTTTCGTCCTGAGCGCTTCCTTGAGCTGAAGCCCTTCTGGGAGTTCGTGCCTTTCAGCGGTGGTCCTAGAAGGTGCCCAGCACAGATGATGGTCATGACGGAGGCTGCATACATGTTGGCTCGTTTGGTAATGCGCTACGAGCGAATCGATTCCAGAGATGCGAATCCATATCATGCTATTATGCGGATTGGACCAAGTAACAAGACTGGTGTTTTGGTTGCCCTCCACAAAGCACGCGAAGGAAATTAGTATCGATGAACGACAGTCGACATGAGAATTACGTTAGCTGAAACTTTAGAACATTAGCTTGACTGTTAGACGCCAAACTGATCCATGCCTTGCAACTCTTTATTGTTCATATATCCGCGTTTCACTTGTTTCTAAATTCCTGCAACGGACCAGCACAACTTGGAAATCGAACGGAGACGATGCATTGACGCCTAGGAGCGAAGGCTATGTTCGACGATCGAAAGCGACGATATTGTGTCATCAAATCTCGGCAAGGGATTCGTAGCCTAGCTGTTGACACCAATAAGGGCTGTATGAAAATACCTGTATTGAGGAGGTTGAACTGGTCGGTGGGTTTTATGTCCGAGCCCCGAGTCCGGACCCGGGCCCGAGTCCGAGAGCAAGATGGAACAGCACCTCACTTCAGCAGCTTGCCGACCCCGCGCTTTCCCTCCGACCTTTCCAACATCATTGATGTCCGTTGACCGCGCATTCAATACCTGCAATTTGGACTGTCGTCAAGATGGCTGAGGACCAGCGCTTTGGCAGTACCCGGTCAGCATCTTCACCCGCTCGTCGGAGCCGCCGACCTGCGCAATCATGCGACCCGTGCCGCCGCCGAAAAGTACGTTGCGATCTCAAATCGCCATGTTCAGCCTGTCAAGTCTCCAGAAACTCGGTGACGTGCATATATCAAGGAGATCGGCAGCAACCTAGTCTCGCCCTGGAAGACCGTGGAAGCGAGGGCAATACTGTCCAACAACAAGTTCCTCGCTCGCTCAGCATTGCCCCAAACAACAACATCGATCACCCTGCAAAGAGGCAACGAACAACGAATGAATCGGAGCGAATTCGGAGAGTAGAGCGACGTGTACAGCAGCTTGAGCACTCGGTTGTACCAGAAGTCGATCCCCCGCAGCACAGCCTCAGCAGCAGCAGCAACAATCATCTCACGCTGCTGGCATTGTCTGATCGCCTCCAACACGTCGAGCAGCGGCTTGCTGAGCTCTCCCAAGCTCGTCCTGCGCCTTCAGCTGTCACGGGCGATAAGTCTCTAACAATTCCATCTGTCATCCCTCGACTTCGTCACAACCAGAAGAAGGTAAAACTGTTTCCTTCAAGCCACTGGCTGCACACTGCTGAGAAGGTATCGTTGAAGCTCCTTTCTAATGAACACCTTGACTGATTGAACATTGGCTTACGTGTCAATAGTTCAGAGTCAGCCATTTTGGAGACAGGGACGTTGAATTGACCTTCGTGGATACTAAGGCCGAGCTGGCCGATTCGGTGAATGAGATACGCAACTTGCGACTCACGATGAAAAATGAGCAGGCACCGCAGATGGATGACCGCGTTTCTCAACTTCTGAGTACAATGCCGGCTCGTTCCATCTGTGACCGACTAGTGAATCACTACATGCGGACTTTCGAGTTGATCTATCGTTGTTTTCACATTCCGACATTCTGGGCAGAATACGAACAATACTTCAGCCAGCCGCAGCCTGTAGTTACAAACTTTGCAATCAAATTGGGTTTGGTGTTGGCCATTGGAAGCGTCTTCAGCAACGACGACGACAAAGTTCTACAGCGCGCGCGGCGTACTTGGATACAAGCTGCTCAATACTGGATGGTTGGACCGTCAGAGAAAACTACCAACAATCTTGATGGAATTCAAATTCTCTGTCTTCTATTGGTTTCGCGGCAGATAACATTAGTCGGCCGTTCACCGTGGCTGTCGGAAAGTGGTCTACTTCGGGTGGCTATGGCTATGGGCCTGCACCGAGATCCACAACTGTTTTCTCTGTCTCCTTTTCAAGCCGAGATACGAAGGAGGCTTTGGACAACAGTCCTAGAGCTCGTAATCCATGGTTCCATGGACTGTTCCATCCCTTTGCTTCTTTCTTCAAACGACTTTGACGATCATATGCCTCTTAATGTCAGCGATGCTGATTTAGATTCAGCCAGCAAACAGTCTCCATCTCCACAACCGTTGACAAGCTATACGGAATCGTCGATACAAATTCTCATGCGTCAGTCCCTGCCGTTACGACTTGAAGTTGTCAGGGCGGTCCAAAACGAGCGATTAGAGCACTCATACGAAACGGCCATTGAGCTAGCTACGAAACTTCAGACAGTTTGCCGTACTCTTGCAAGCTATTGTCGGTCGCATTGGTCGCAATTCCTAGGCATGCATCACGCTTTCCTTGATATGCAGATTCGTCGGTATATTCTGGTTCTGCATCGGCCTTTCATGCTACAAGCGCAAAAGGATCCCCGCTTCTATTTTTCCCGGAGGGTTTGTCAGGAGTCTGCAATGATTATCGCCACTTATGCCGAGCGACTTCGGCTACCTGCAGACTCTCTTGACGATCTGTCCAAGTTGATGGTGATGAGCACAGGGTCATTTCGCGGACCTTTGAGCCTGGACGTAATTTCAGTCTTGGGCTTGGAGGTTGTGTCTCAGCTGGAGGAAACGGGTTCCGGTCCGTCATCTGCTTCGATTGGTCTCAACCACACATTGGTCCTTGATCCTCTCGCTGAACTGGCGCGCGGCCAGCGAGCGCCCATCATTCGACTTTTGAAACACATCAACGAACAACTACTGCAGATCGTAAAGTTGGGCCATCCTACCACGAAACGCTACATCTTTCTTGCTGGCATTCTTTCCCAGATATACGCCATGGAACGCGGCCAACCCATTTTGTCTGCTGTGCTGAACACTGCAAAAGACAGCCTGAAGGAGTGTTACGATGTACTACAGTCCTACAGGGCCGCCAACACTCCCCGAGAAGTGTCGCAAGACGTGATCGATAATGGACTTCTTGACGGCCTGGATTTTGGCGCAATGGTGAGTACAAATTACCAAATATGCGCCTCTTACATAGCACTACTGACTGAAGTCAGGACTCCAACTACCTGGACTTTTCGGCCTTTTTGGTTCCAACTATTTGATAGAGCAAGTTCACAGGAAGATTTACGTTGCGAAATGAAGATCGTGATTAATTGAGGTTAATTCTTTCCATTCTGTTCTATGTTCGATCGTCTCTGTCTCGAAAGGGTTTGCTTACAAAGGCGAGGTATGACCTGTTGCTTGAAGCAACACTTGTGATGCATTGTGCACCTTGTCCAGACTATCTGAGCGCCACGCTGAAAATCCATCAGGCCGCACGAGGACAAGACAAATTAGTATTGCTAGATAGCCTGAATCAAGGGCTATCTAGTGATATAAATATCATTTAAAAATACCTAGTGGTTGTTGAGATATAAGGGAATAATCATCTCTGTCATAGGTTGGTATAAAAGTAGTACAGAGATATATATATAAGGGTACCAAGGTCCAATAACTACTATACCTTTTAAATAATTTTTAACCACCACCCATTCAACCCAATAGATATTGAATTGATATTTCTAATATAGATTAGAATAATCATAATTACTATATATTTCATATAAAAATTATAATTTTATATAAGCATGCTTATTAGGGGGCCTTAGAGGGGTCCCTAAAGGGGGCCCTGGGGGAAATGGTAAGAGTTAAAATAGTTAAAATTTGTGGTTTAACCAACTCAAAATCAAACTAAATCTAACTATGGTTTAGTTAGTATAGGCCTAGCTATACCTAGCTAGGCCTAGCTGCAGTTTTTTGCAGTGAAACGGCAACCAACCTAGATTAGGTTTGATTTAGTTCTGAGTTCTAAAATTTAGACCCAAAACCGCAGCGGTTCAGTGCCAACTAAGGTTGAACTCACCCAAACTCGCACCAAATGCAACTCTATATATAGTGATAGTATAGTAGATAGTATAGTAGTTAATGATTATTTAAAATTTCAGAACAGTTAAATTTTACTAAATAATAACAGTTTAAACCGCCTGAAATCAAACTGAATCTAACCATGGTTAGTTAGTATGGGCCTAGCTAGGCCTATCTAGGCCTAGTGGTGGATTTTGCGGTGAAACTCAAACCAAATTGGAACAGATCAGGTTTGGTTCCAATTTCTAAGATTTGGACACAAAATCGCAGCGGTTCGGTTCCAACCCTAGTTGGACTCACCCAAACTCAGATCAAATGCAACTCTAATAATATCCTTAGTGTAGTTAGCTGTACATTAGGATATAATACACATTAATTTGCTACTGCACCTTCAACAGTGGACCATTTATCAATGACAGCCAAACACAGAGGTTCACTGACCGAATCATCACAGCTAAGAGCAATGTCCACTGGCTGTCTAGCAGTTCGTCAGCCCTGGCTTTTCAGATTATCTCCTGTTATGACCATTCCGCCCTCCTTCACCCCGAAGGGCTCTACCTGGATCCTACCTGGAAGGCTGTCTAAACAATTACTCCAGAAGGAGGGTTGCGAAGGATGGAGAAAATATGATCCAAATCTGTATAACTTATTACGCGAGTAACAGAACATTAGCAGAAGCGCATTGAGATGGGTCCAGATCTATGCTCTGCATAGCTCAAGCTGTGAGGCGACCTCTTTGTCGAATGTTAAGCAAGTTGGCAGAATGCTGTGCATTCAACAAGGGAATCAAGTCTAGAGAAAGCAAAGAAGAAGAGAATGGATCTTGTGGAGTGGCGTTTGATTCTTATCATCCCGGAGCCTGGCAGTCTTCGCAAAACATGCAAGCCCAGCACTTCATATAGTATTGTTAGCAAATAGCCATTTATATATACGACCGTCCATCCATAATCCTGGATCTTATGCATTATATCGTTGATTCAATGATCATATGATTTCTGCTTATGTCTAGCAACAACAACATCCAACCCAACCGTTTGATCCTTCCTTATCAAATCCATCTTCTTGCTCAACGCGGCGTGAGTGTATGTGAGTTGGGCGATGCTGCTCCCAACCAGGGTGAGCAGGGTGAGCGAGTGGAAGAAGAAAGACATCTGTCAAAGTACTGAGCATACCACACAATACCACACAGTGCTTATTCTTTCCAAGGAGCATAGAACCCAAATTCAAGCAACACAAATCAGGTGGACCTTGTATCAGCTAAGGTAACCACTTGATCAGCCAATCTGTCGAATGTCAGGCCCTGATCCAACAGGCCCAAGAAGGGCAAGTCAACGGTAAACTCCTTCCACGCCCAGCTCTTCAGCTCTGCTGAAATCATGCTGTCCATCCCGTAATGTGCTAGGGATTTGCCCGGGTCGATTTTTTGAACGGGCAATAGCACCAATTTGGAGAACCGTGCCAGGATCAACCCCAAGATTGTGGACTTGACAGCTGCCTCGCCCCCTTCGGCACGGGCAGCTTCAAGCAATTCGCGGGTGCTTACACCCGCCGACTGCTTAGCGTTAAGGGCATCGCCTTCGCTGCCACCTCCTAGCGCTGCAACAAGATTGCGGAGCCGATTGTCTTTCAGCCAAAGCGATTTGCCCCCTGCGCGAGAGACACGGGTGGGATCCATCCCAGTGACAATATGAGCAGATGCGCAAGGATCATACTTGAACAGACCTTGGGCACTCGAGGTGCTACCAAGATCTCGACGGCGACAGGCGAACTCCATCATCAGAAGATACTCATCAACACTGATCCCATACATGCCATTTCGCTTGAGAGCCCTCTCCACATCGGGGTGCTCTTCAACATGGCCGACGTCAAGAATCATTCCCAACGCGATAGATGTACCCTGTAGCCCCATACTCTGGCGGTAGCGTGCCATGTGGTCAAGGAACGCATTGGCGGCCGAATAATTGCTCTGCATGGCAGCACCAATCGCACCAAGAACAGAGCTGGTCATCACGAAGAAGTCGAGGTCATGCTCCTGAAGCAGTTCATGCAAGTGTGTCGTACCCAGCATCTTGGGATGTAGAACCTGGTTGAATTGATCCAAGGACATTTTTGTAAACAGCGTATCCTTTTCGGAAAGACAAATGTCATTAGCTGCGGCCCGGGCAAACTGGAATGGGATAGAATATCGTACTTTGAGTACCATGGCGGCCTGAACCACTCCTTTGATGGGGTGCTTAGCACAGGCAATGGCCCGACTGACATCTTCTCTTAATGAAACGTCACCCCGAACCACTTGTACCGTCAAGTCTGGATATCGAGTCCGCGCGAGCTCTCCAAGTTCCTGCACCAGAGCAGCTGCTTCCGGCTTGTCGGCACCGCTCCGTGAGAGGAAAACGAAATGACGGGCACCACGAGAGACCATCCATGTACTAATTGAGATCTTAGCTAAGTGTCCGGCAATATCGATGGTCATCAGTCGGAATGGGGATCTCAGAATAACAAGGAAGAATACTTACGTCAAACTTCTTCCCAGTCCTCCCAGGCACCCTATCAGGAGATATGAGGCCTGGGAGTTGAACACCAATGGCTGGGTAACTGTTTGTATGGGGACAACAGTGTTTGATGTACGGGTAAGAACAGCTCGCCCGACAAAGTCTTCCTGGGAGATATGGCCAACAGCATCTGCGAAGCACGACAGGTCATACTGCGTAGATGGTAACGGACGGATAGAATTGCGACGGAGAAGGTCCAGTGCCTTTGCAAGAAGGCTGAGTTCATTTATTAGCTCCAAGTACCTCTCTCAAGTTGTTATCTTGGCTCACCTGGAGTGTTGAAGGGGGGCGTTTGCAAAACCATCGATGGGATCAAACATCCCAACAGTCGTACCCTTGTTAAGGAATGATACTGCCGCACTCGCCATGTCGCCAGGAGCACCATTTGCCAGAACAACGATTCGACCACCATAGTTGAGGGAATCACTGAACAGCTGATAGCCCCCTTTCGCGTCGGTAAGGATCGCATCAAATGAAGTCCCAATTAAGGTTTCGTTAAAACCAGCCCGACGGTCCACCAGATGAGCATTTTCCCCGAGTTTCTGGAGGAAAGCTCGGCCAGGTTCAGAGTTAAAGGTCACCTGGACATCGGAGCCAGCCAAAAGAGCGACTTGGGAGATAGTATAGGCGAGACACTCCTGACGACAGTCAATCAAGACCCGATCCCCTGTGTGTAATCGCAACAATGTCTTGACAATATGCAGGGATATCACAACAGGGTGTATCTGGCTGAGGAGGTCCTCAGAGCGCTCATAGACTGAAAGCAATTCACAATTACGCTCATTCACGATGACGGCCGTGTCAAAGTGATGAGGATAGAAGCAACACACTCGATCTCCCTTCCTCAACTTAGATGTCTTGGGGCCGACTGCACGAACAGTTCCCACCATTTCGAGGCCAAAGCACGAGGAGGGTGTTTGCCCTTTGAGGGCGGGTATTGACTGAAACTTCATCAGAATTGATCTTTGTGTGATGTTAAAGGGAAATAGAGAAATGGTATCATACCAGTTCATCAAGAGGAGCGGCCTCAATGTCCAGGAGAACTTCGTGCTCACCCGGTGCCTTCAAGGGGTGCTCCTTGAAATAGAAGCTATCCAAACGCCCAACCTTTTCAAATTCAAGTGAGTAATTGGAAAGATCGCTCTCCGGAAAGCTTGATATAGTCGGTTTAATAGCCAATTGCCGCTCGAAGTTGGCATTCTCCACATCATCGGTCACATACCGACTGATATACACCAAGCCGTCCTTTTCGACCAACTCAGTATCTAGATCGCCGTTGGGATCAATGTGAAAGGCCATTTCGGTCTCTACAATAAGCTTAGCGCTGTGTTCATAGTCCGCCTTCCCATCAAAGATGTCAACATCCACGCTGCAAAGATGGAAAGAGGGTTGCTCAGTCATGATAGACTTCGCCAGGCCAAAGACCAAGGATTTTGCCGCATCTTGGCCACGGAGAACATCGATGTTAGTTACCCAGATGGCGGTGGCGGCCAGTTGAGTGTACCGTTGGATGGCATGCATCTMGCCAGGAGTCATACGTGCCATCAATGGACCCTCCAATTCACCGAGCATAATTGTGCGGGAGTCACGCTCCAGGGATGTCGGAACGTCCAGGAGAGCCATTGACCGAGTTGATATGCCAAGTCGAGCATATTTCTGTTCAATAACCTGCTGGAAGGACTGAGGCGTATTACGGTAGATCTAGACGGGGAGTTATTAACCGAACAACAGAGCCGAGCAACGAGATCAACGAAATATCGCATACCAAAGTGACCACTGGTGACTTGACGCCACTGGTCCCGCTGAGACCATTCTGTCCGCTGGTATCATGGAAACCATTGACCCCATCTACACCGTTAGTGCTATCCATGCTTGTGTGCTCAACCGCATCGCCGATGTTGCGGGAGACCATGAGAGTAGTGCAATCGGCCGGCTCAGGGTAATCATCGAGCACGACGTCTGCTCCCGAAAGGCCAGCATCTAGTAGTCTCTGGTGCCACAGGGCCTTCGACAGGAATGGGCTGGATGGCCGTCCATCGTCCGTACCGAGCCAATATCCAGGGAGGGCTCCGAGCATGTAACCCGTCACTTGTCGTTGCTTTGTGGTCTCAATGATAATGAGCTTGCCATTTGGCTTCAGGAGCCTCCTGCAATGGCGAAGAGACGAGGTGACGTTGCGTGTTGCATGAATGACCTGAACAGCTATCAGTGAAATTGTCAGGCCAATGTTCGCCCATGGAATCTCACGTTTGAGGCAAAGACGATATCATATGACCGTTCCACAAAGCCCTGGGCGGCAGGGTCTTTTTCAATATCAAGGATGCCAAAGTCTAGATTGAGATAGCCCTGGAACTTGTCCTGGGCAACACCCAAGAAGGCTTTCGAAACATCGGTGAAATCATACTTCCCATATTTTGGCAGAGGAGTGTCTCCTTGCAGGGCTTGCAACATGGGCTTTGTCGCACCACCAGTGCCAGCCCCCAGCTCGAGGATACGCAGACTGGGGTCTTTGTGCGCCACCAGCTCCATAATGCTGCTCAATTTGGCATATGCACCCACCTGCCCAAACCCATCTTCATAGATCTTCGACATGAGATTACCCTCGACCATCACATCTAACGCGCCCACAGTTCCAGACACGATTTCCGGCATACGCGAGTTGAGTTGAGCTACCATGGCCGCCTCAGGAACAGTATGCGCGACATCACGAGCGATGGAGTTGATTTCCTCCATGAGGTCCTTGCCGGTCAGGCCATCATGACCCTCGCTAGAAGAGAGGGCCTGCCCCTCTGTCCTCAGCCATGCAAGGAACTTGTGCATGTGCCCAGGCAAGTGATCTGTTTGCAAGTTCTTTGGGAGCCTCTCAGCACTGCTCCGAATCGCTAGCCTGGTAACCTTTTCCAGCTCGGAGAAGAAGTGTCTGGAGGCCGACATGTCGTCTTGGGTCCCGTGGAACAAAGCATTGGCTTCGGCATTTGTCATGCGATCAAAGTCCGGTTTCCAGACCAGCCGAGTGTATGGCTGGGGGCTTTTACTTGTCGCGTTATTGCCGGATGCTGTCTCCAGTGCTGAAAATAATATTTCGGCTTGGAGAATCGATCGGTTACTCGGCGATGACAGGTCAATGAATGTCTGAACCGATCGAAGTCCTCGGTGGTGCCCGCGGCCACAAGCTGCCAGTGGAAGGACTCCACCGTTGTTTTGCGGCCAGATTGTCAGCTTTCGAATTGCAACCGGAAGATAAACCTTGTTAAGTCTCTCAGGTTTTCCATGATGCGCAGCGATAATCGAAAGCTGCAAACAGGCGTCGATGGTTGTTGGGTGAAGCATATATTCCGACTGTTGACCCATCAGTCCGTCGGTTGCACTCTGCGAAACATCCGCAGTCGCTTGATGATGATCAGGGCTAGCACGGATATCGGACAGCGTCTTGAAACCTGGTCCATAGACCAATCCGACTTTGTCCATGGCAGCGTACCAACGGCGATCATAGCTGTCCTTGTTGACTCCACCGCGGCTGCCGACATTCCTCTCATCAGTCCAGAGCAATTGATCTGTTTAAAGTCAGCATCTGTAATGAGTCCTAGTCAAAGAGAAAGAACTCACCATTAGTGCTCTTACTGTCGATGAGGACCGATCCAGTGGCATGCTGAGTCCAGGTCCCTTGCGAGAAAGTGCTGACGGAAAACTGATAGGTGGCAGGTTGGCCAGGAACAGTCCAAAGATCGAACATTAGTTCTGTACTGAGTCCTTCTTTCAGGACCATTGCAGATGTTATGTCCACATCGCGTAGAGTGTATGCGTTGTTAACAGCCGTGACGGTTGATCCACGGATCTGAGTGACTGCCTCGACAGCCAGGGAGACATACCCAGCGGCTGGAAATACAATGTCATCACCGACTCTGTGGTCCCGCAGCCATGGGATATGATCAAGACTTAGGAGGTTTCGCCATGCTGGTGCGACATTAGATGTGCCAGGGAGTCTACTGCCCAGCAGGTCGTGGTGAGGGTAGGAACGGAAACGGATGTCAGTGCTGAGGCGGCTTTCATTCCACAAAAGGTCTTCATCATACGTCCATTGGTATGTGGGCAGATCCTTGATGAAAGAGCCATGTGAATATTGAATCCTATCGGCACCTGTTTCGGTCTGGTAGATCGTCTCGTCCGCGTTTATGGTGCAAAGGTCAAGTGGGCATCCCGACAGAAACAGAGACCCTGCGAGCTTGAGCATGGATTCAACCGAGTCGGTGTTGCGCTTAAGAGCAGACAAATAAACCAGTCGCTCTGGGCTATAGCCCAAGCCCGTGCGGATTGCTTTGAGCGGCGCAGCCAGTGCCGAGTGCGGACCAATCTCGACCACCACATTCACCTCTGGCCGCTCCTTGAGAAGTTTTTGAGTCGCCTGGTCAAACCGCACGGGCGATTCAAGGTTTCTTCGCCAATAATCCAGTTCAACGGTCGAGAGCTCTTGCTCGGTCACCGAGGAGAACATAGTCACTGATGAATGGCCAGTCGAAGGCGGGTCGTTAGGAAGAAGACAAGTCTTCAGTAGTGTCTCATAGTACTTTCCAGCTTCAGTCATCAACTCAGAATGGTACGCGTTGCCAGAGGTTATCAGCTTCCGATTGAAGACACCAGCACGGGCAAACCGACCGCGAGCCTCATCAACCGCCTTCTCCGTGCCACTCAGGGTGACGCTATCTGGGGCATTATAACAAGMAATCCCGATCCCAGGAATATCTTGGATTACCTGAAGAACTTCCTCCGGCCCTTGTCCGACAGCCAACATGGCGCCGTGTTGAGCGCTCTTCACAGTTGCCGCACCCCGTTGGTAGGCAATAACTATGGCTTCTGCGGCGGAGATGAGCCCAGCGGCGTAGGCGGCCGCGATTTCTCCTATTTTATTGAATTAGTCTATGATCCACAGGTAATAGCCAGCAAACCTACCAGAGGAATGCCCGACGACGGCTGTCGGATGCACTCCCCACGAATGCAAGAGATCAACCATGGCGATCTGAACCGCCGTGGTCAAAGGCTGCGAGAGCTCCGCCTCATTGACTCGGCTCTTTGACTTTGGCTGGGCGAGAGCCTCAAGGAGGTCCCATTCAGGAGCGTTGGGCAGCTTGGATATGGTGCGTCCCAGGTCATGCAGTGTTTGCCGTACCACGGCATACTCCTGTACCAGCCCATGACCCATCTGCGCCCACTGTGCGCCTTGGCCGGTAAAGACAAAGGCAAGCTTCGGAGAGGTTCCCGTGGTAGTGCCCACCGTGAGCTTGGACGACATGAGTGAATCGACGAGCTGGGGACCGTTCGCGTCGCCAGGAACAAGGGTGAATGCTCGCACAGAGTGGTTGCTGCGGCGGGAGCCCAGAGTATGCGCGAGGTCCCGGAGAGAAAAGCCACCCTTGAAGCTGCGGGAAATGGATTCGATGTTTCTTTCCAGAGTTGATTCGCTGTGGGCCGAGAAGGGCAGCAAAAGGTATTTCTTCGACGCAAACTTCTCGGGAGCCGGAAGAGATGTTGGGATGCTCTGGTATAAATCTCCCAGGTACGACTGTACTGCGTCCAAGACAGCATGCGCATTGGCACCACCGTAGCCAAAGGAGTTGACACTGGCTCGACGGTATTGCTGTGCGGTTGGCCACGGTGACAGTGTCTGAACAATCTTCAACCGGCCGTCACGGAGGTTCAGGGCCGGATTCAATCGCTTGATCCCAATGGTCGCAGGTATCTCCCCCTTCTCCAAGCAGAGAACCGTCTTGATTAGACTGGAAATCGCACTGGCTGCCTCTCCGTGGCCAAGATTGGTTTTCACGGATCCCATCAGCAGCGGGTTCTCGGCAGTTCTCACACTCCCAAAAACATTTCCAATGGCTGACACCTCCAGGGGATCTCCGACTGGAGTGCCAGTGCCATGACACTCAAAGTATCCGGTTTGGTCCAGGTCCAACCCCGCGCTAGCGTAGGCCTTTCTGATGACCATCTCTTGATCTTGCGCGCTGGGATGGCTGATTCCGGGACTCTTTCCGTTGCTGGATTGGAGAATTAGCTTGAGGCTTCGATCGAACGAGCAACAATAGCACTCACGCGTTGATAGATGTGCCTCGGATAACAGCACGAATTGGATCGCCATCTGCAATGGCCTGGGATAATGTCTTCAGATACAAAGAGCCAACGGCCTCTGCACGGGCATATCCGTCTGCGGACTCGTCAAAAGTGTGACAAGCTGAAGTCGGAGACAGCACACCCAAGCGCACACTGCCAATCTGCTGCTCGATTCCAAAAATCAAATTGGTGCCGGCGACAACGGCGGCTGAGCAGTCACCAGCTTGCAAACTGCGGCAGGCCAAGTGCAGAGCATACATGGTGCTAGAGCACGCCGTATCGATCGTCATACTGGGTCCTTTGAGGTTGAACACATAGTTGACTCGATTGCTCAAGATTGTCAATCCGCCACCCTAGAAGTCGGGTTAGCAACCGAATGGACATATATGCTTCCATGTGCCATGGCAGAGGACATAGCTTACTGTCATATGATACGGAGCACCATGGTTGATATCTCGCGCCTGCATTTGGCCGATATCCCAAGTGAAGTTTCCAACATAACAAGCAGTTTTTGAGCCCGAGACATCCTCCAGACGAGCACCAGCCGCTTCAAAGCTCTCATACACAACCTCTAACAACTTCCGCTGCTGAGGATCCATACTGGCAGCCTCCTTGGGGTTGATTCCGAAAAAGAACGGGTCGAACTGGCGGTAAGAGTCATCTTGACTCAGAAAGTATCCCCCTCGTGTGGATATACTACCAGGTCGCGTTTTATCGGGATGGTACCAGGAATCCACATTAAACCGGTTCGATGGGACATCAGACTGAGCCGATCTCTCCTCAACTAGTAGGTCCCAGAGCTTAGACGGTGAGGTAACTTCGCCCGGTAGCCGACATGCTATCCGGTAGTCAGACACCACTCAGCACCACACGAGATGGGCGGACTTACCCATTCCTATGATGGCAATGGGCTCAGGATGGTCATTGTGAGGAATCATAGCTGCAACGTTCGTTTGAGAGAAGGCGTGGGCTTGAGTTGCTTATGTCCCGCTGACCTTGTCCAGAAGATCCAAAGCGTCTCGCTTTATAGTGCTGGCGGCCGCGTGTCGTGACTACAGATCCAACGACCTAACAACCATCAAGAGGCTCTTATCCACTCCATATGCGAGTACTATTAGTTCGAGTAAGTAACTACTACATAACGCCCCCAAGTTACATGATGTAGTCGAGCGGGTAGCGTGCCACCAGTGTGTCAGTGGTGTGGGATTGCCTCGCTGGTTAATCTTTGTGGATCTGCCCTGACAAGGATCTTGAGAGATATTTTGTATTCCATGCTAAGAACTGCGCTGGACTAAAGTACATGTACTTGCTATTACTGGACTAGGTTGGGAGCGAATGCCTATAATAGTCGTATTTAGAGCCGTTTCGAACATTGAAAGCCGCCGCAGTCGACCATCCATTTGACCCAGTACCTCTGACCCTCATGTCGCCATAATGCCGGGCTTTCTTCCTGAACCGTTGAGGATGTTGGTGACAAGCCCAGCGATCTTGGACTTCACCCCGGATGGCCCTCTCCCATATGCATTGCGGCAGAAGTTTACTGGAAAGCCGCCACCTGTGACTCCTGATCTCTCCTTGGCTTCTCGAACCGTGCTGGTGACGGGAGCGACGTCCGGGGTCGGTCTCGAGGCAGCACGTCAGCTTGCGCAGCTGGGCCCACGCCTTCTGATCCTTGGGGCGAGAAATATGAGCAAGGCCGAACAGATTAAGAGTGAGCTCGAAAGGAATACGCCTCATCTTACCGTACAGGCGGCTGAGTTAGACCTGGAAAGCCTTTCGTCTGTCGACTGTTTTGTGGACGAGCTGAGCGCCAACTCGATCCGGCTGGATTTGGCACTTCTCAATGCAGGGTTTTTTGCTCACGATGACCGGATTACCAAAGATGGATACAGCCCACTGTTCCAGGTGAATTTTCTCAGTACCGCATATCTCGCATTGAGGCTGCTTCCTCTGCTTCATACAATGGCTCCACCTCCTCCTACTAGTACTGTCTGCCAGGGGCCAACCCCGCCGGGCCCACGTCTGGTGTTGGTAACCTCCGAGGCGCATGCTTGGACAACGTTTCCTCATGTGCCCGGACCCACGGACAATCGTACTCTGCCTATATTGTCCGTCTTCCGAGACAAGAACACGCTTGGCAGTGCAGACGACCAATACGCCCGCGCCAAGCTGCTTCTTGCGCTGTTTGGGAAGGAATTGTCCCGGAGATTGACCGCGGCGGAGAACGACACGACGGTGGTCATCACCACTCCAGGGTTCTGTGCCTCGAACTTCTTCCCAGATGGGATGATGACCCGGCTGATTCAGTTCACCTCCGCTCGCTCGGCCCAACAGGGAGGAGCGTTGCATGTCTTCGCTGCCACAGCACAAGGACCCGAGATACATGGGGCCTATTTACGTGATGGAAAGCCCACTCGGTAAGTTACCTCCAAAAGAAAAGGAAGTAATAATACTGAACTGACATACCCACACAGACTATCGAAGTTTGCGCAAAGTCCGCAAGGCCAGACCCTGCAACAACGGCTATGGGGCGAGATGGAAGAGTTCCTCATACAGCGAGGAAGTTCGCCCTTGGAAATTCGACCTTCGTCTGCGAGCCCACAAAGGCCAATGTAGCTATTTGCAAATCATATCTTAAGTTTACTCCATTGTGCACCTTCTGTCAGCGTTGCTGTCGGACCCGTGTTATAGAACGCCTGAGCAGTAGAACGCAACTCGCTACGGGGACATTCTCTCTAGTAAGCCATAGAATGCAACTAGCTCACAAGTTTTCATTCTCACGCGCAAATATTCATACTCCGTACACTAGCGCTTCGAACGTCGGCGGAACCCGGATCCCCATCCCTGCAGTACTAGTCCGTACAAGCCCCTATGGGGCTATACCATACCTTACAGCCTCATACCGGCCCTCCTTACACAGAATCAATGTTTTCGCTTCCCCTGAGTCACCTGGCGGATCCACCGCTCACGCAAGGCCCACGCAGCTGCGAGGGTTGCGCCTGGCCCGATGAAAAGCCACCCAAGCATCAAGTAACCGGCCACCCGCCAGGAATGCAACAGGATCCGACAATGCGTCAGTTCGTGCCAGGCAAGAGTCAACATGGCCGCAAAGGTAAGCACATAATCGATCTGCAAAAACTTCAACACAAGTTGCGCGACCCGTTCCGGCCGTGCGGCAGCCGTTCCGGTGTGCTCGCCAAGGTTGATACCGATGTAAGACAGGTGGCCAACAACCCCAACCATCCCGGCCACGACATATTGGAGGTTCGATTTCGGGTCCATCCGCATGTGGCGGGAGGATCTCCCCCTCTTGCTGCTTATGGTCTTGAGCAGAGACGCTGTCAGACACACGTACAGTGGGTAAAGAGTAAAGGCCAGAACCCCCCAGATCTGAGGCTCGAGGCCCCACTGGAAGGGGTCGAATGTCAGCACGGCCGGAGCCCCATAGCCGATCAGCACGCTGATCAAGACTACCCAAGTGGAGTGGCCGGGAAGAGCCGCGATTCGTCCAGGGTCGGATTGTCGCGCGAAACAGACCCCATAGAGTGGACACATAACCGCCGAGGTGGCCAATTGGGAGAACAGTCCCCACGAAGTCGAGCTAGACATGCGTTAGCCCCTTAGTCCGAGGTTTGAATTTTAAATGCAACGTCATGTCATGCCAAGCAAGCATGAGAGGGCAAATTAGTAAACCTACTATCGTGCCAAGCTCCTTGGCGCCGCTCGAAAATCCTCCGTAAGCAGGACGATGGGGATAGCAAACACGTTGGCCAAAAACTGCGCCATGAAGTGGCGCCCCCCAGAGAAGAGAGACTCGCGGCCAACGACCGGGAGATTGAAGGACGCCATGGACATGAGTCCCCGATCCAGACGTGGAAAATGACCGAATCCGGGAATACGGGTAGAAGGATGCCTGTTAACGACGACATCCAGCTCTTCAAATCCCCCATTCCAAGCAAAGACACCCCAAACTCCCACCACAGCGGCGATGGCGAGGCTGACGAAGATGATGGTGATTGGACGAAGCATGTTAGGGGCAAGATAATGGAGACGGCTGATGTCTGAAGTGGACAGCGTCTCGCGGACAGCGTCTCGTGGACAGCGTCTCGGTTGGGAAATGTGTACGAAGTATCATTCCTAGCCCGGCGTCTGGTTGCATCTAAATAGCACGGAAGCAGTGCTATCCCGAATAGGTACTGTACACGCAGTAAGCTGCATCATATTCCACAGTCATAGTAGTAGATAGAACAGGACAGGCTTACTCAAAGAAATCCCTTCCCTGTGGAAATATGAACGGATCCACCAGGTACGTTATTTCCAGGTTGTGAGCTTTCGGGGGAAATGAAAGAGAAGAATGTGTCGACTTGTCATTCTCGCGTAGGTCGTCTTTTACTTTTTCTCTTCTCGCGACTATGTACGACGTGATAGTCATCGGTGCCGGTAGGGACCTCCAAGGAAAGCCACTTCCCCAAGCTCTCACTGATCTGCTTCCATTATTGCAGGGTGGTGCGGGCTCGTAGCCGCCAAAACTTATCTTCAAGCATGCCCTGATGCGCAGGTCCTCATTGTCGATGGTGATTCCAGCATCGGCGGCACCTGGAGCAAAGAACGGCTCTATCCACATCTTGTAGCTGAGGCACATCATGGTCTGTTTGAGTTCTCGGATCTTCCCATGAGTGGTAACAGCGTCCTACCTGATGGAAGAATCCCGAGTGCGGCGGTCCATGCCTACCTGGTGGAGTATGCAACGAAATACAACCTCATCGAACGGATCCGACTTAATACCTGGATCGAAAACGTACGGCGCGAGCCGCTTGCGGATGACAACAGTCTCCACTGGACACTCACGGCGGCTGGCTCGCAAGAACAACTCCAAACCAAGAAGATTATCATTACGACGGGGTTGACATCGGAACCGCTTATCCCGTCGCTGCCGGGCCGGGAAGAATTCGAGGGCGAGGTGCTGCATAGCAAGGCCCTGGGTCATCCGCGGACCGTTGGTCGGATTTCAGACCCGTCTGTTCGCCATGTTGTGGTCTACGGAGGTTCCAAGTCCGCTTTTGACGCGGTGTATCTGTTGCTGCGCGCTGGCAAGACGGTCGACTGGGTGATCCGAGAGGAAGGTGGAGGGCCCTCGATGATGACGCCGCTCTCAATCCTGGGCCAGCCAAGCTTCCGTCTCAATAATAGTCGCATTTTGCCTCTCTTCTCGCCGCATCCATTTGGACCCCCCGGGGAACTTTCTTGGTGGCGACGAGTGGTCCACCATCGTTCCGGGCGGTGGGCACAATTCATTGTCATCATGTTTTGGCGCGTCATGGCCTATCTGCTCCAACGCCCTTGGGGATATGACGCGAGCCCCAATGGGCAACGTCTCAAGCCTCTCCTGGGACTCGACAGTCTCTTCTGGAGCCCCGCGACGCTGGGGGTCATGACGCACCCAGAGTTGTGGGATGAAATCCATTCCGGGCAGCGAGTGAAGATCCACAGAGAAGCCATCACCGGCCTTGGGAGGGACAAGCGCGTCATCCTGAGCAGCGGCCGGGAGTTGTCGTCTGCGGATTTGGTCGTGTGCGCCACTGGGTGGCATGCTCGACATTCATTCTTCGCGCCGGAGGATCAGCTGGCCGTCGGGCTGCCATCCACCGCGTCGTTTGATCCTGAGTCCCAACAGAGATGGATGGATCTTCAGGGCACAGCGGATCGGGAGATCACAGAGGAGCTGCCAATCCTCCAAATGAATCCAGTTCCTCCGCCTCCACTGCGGTGCGAGGATGATCATCATCTCTACCGCTTTATCGCACCTAGTAGGGAGGTCTCGTCCCATGAACGGTCTATCGCCTTTGTGGGATTCCTTCGCACGGCCGGTGCACCGATTGTCTACGAGGCTCAGTCCCTATGGGCGACGGCCTATTTGACGGGCGCATTAGAGGTGCCGGAAGCACCACAGCGTGAGCGTGAGATCGCTCGAACGAACGCCTGGATTCGTCGTCGATATCTTTGTGGACGCAAAGTGCCTTTTGCGTTGTTTGACTTTCTGCCGGTAAGTCCCATCGCCGTTCTTCGTCCAAACCCAGCGCTAATTTCATCGACAGTATGTAGATATGCTCTATCGCGATTTGGAAATCAATTCCCACCGAAAGCCAAATCCGATAGCGGAAATCTGTGGTCTCTATCGGCCGCAGGACTTTCGGGGTGTGGTATCTGAGTGGCTGGCTAACCAACGAGCGAAGGATATGAAGGGCGTTGAAAATGTAGTTGACAAGAGCTAGGAAGGCAAACCGGTCTATTCTACTGGGGCAGTATAGAGGCCATCCCAAGCATTTCAATTAAATGATCATCATGTTTGCGTTTTTATTCTCTTTGTCCCCGTCCTGGGGTCTACACACGGAACACTAGTTTACCCCCACGCACTTGCGAGTCTCGCAGCTGCTGTAATCCGCCGAGGACCCCATCCAGGCCACCTTCGCCAATGATGATTCGGTGGGTCTGGATACGACCCTGGTTCAGGAGTTCCTGCACCAAGGCCCACCACCGACGGCCGAAATCTGCGTCCGCGTCATTGGCCGGGAAGTGGGTGGCCCCCATGCCCCAGTCTTCGCCAAAAACAGTATACGCCATGGTCGCGGTGCTAGTCACGTCTGGCCGGGGGCATTGGATGGGCAGCAGTGAGGCGTACTGGCACCCATTTCCCGGGGACAGTGCATCGCCGCAAAACCGTGCACTCGATGGGATAGATACCGTATCCCAGGCTTTCAGTAGGGGCTTGCCCATCCTCTGAACGCAGTCTTGAATCTCCTCAACGGCTTCTTCCCCATCGGCGTAGTCGAAGACCGCCACGGCTCCCAGCCGCTCCGCCAAGTCAAAGTGGTCGGGGGAGCAGACAGCCAGGGGGGCGAGGCCCGAGAGCTTTGCAAATTGGATACCCAAAATCCCTGACGCGGTTGATGCCCCATAAACCAGAATTGGCTGCGTCCCAGGGCTCGCTGTTCTCTCCCCGCCTTCGTGGATGGAGGAAGGGAAGGGGAGTGAGAGGGTCTGGTAAAGCCCTTGTCCCACCGACGTGATGCCCACTCCCAGGGTTGCGGCCTCTTCGAAGCTCATGTTCGCTGGAATGTGAATCTGAATGTCGGCTTTGGCCACAATATACTCGGCAAACGCCCCATCCTGGGGTTCTTGGGAGTTGCCTCCGTGCACGAACCCAGCGACGCGACAGCCAACCTGGAAGCGTGACTGGACGCCGGGCCCGACTTTCTCGACAATACCCGCGTAGTCACAGCCAAACAGGATCCCAGGCTTTTGAGTGACCTCAATATGCTTCCAGTCGGTGGGATTCAATGCGACAGCTTTCGTTTTGATCAGCAGATACCCATCCCGTATAGAGGGAAGTGGTCGGTCATGGACAAGGGCCGCTTGCCCGGGGCCGGTGCTGATAATGGCCTGCATTCTCACCGGGGGAATGGGAGAAAGGAAAGGGGAATGAATATATGAGCTCAACTTCCGCATGTATCTTGCCCGATTATTTGTAGGATCTATAGTGGCACGACAAAAGTTTGAATCTAGCGTGGCCCGACTAAGCAACCATAATATCTTTAGGTAGTAGATTCGATATCCCTACTAGATTCAATATCCGTAACAGTAGTGGCAGTGGGTAATAAATGCGGCGAACAGTAAAAAACTTCAAAAGTCCACATTGTAGCTAGAGTCCGCCGTATGTAGCCTGCTCCCATCTGATCCTAGTGCTGACTAGGCTCGATCCACTTCCAACTTGGATCAGCTACATGGACCGGTCAGTACCGTTGTATATATAGAGGAGTTTTATGTATCATCCAAGTGGGCCAGTCCCTTCGCCCCCGGTTCTGTGTCGTACTTGTTGCTTCTCACGAGGCTAAGTCGGCTTTTCTTCTTGCTCTTCGTTTTTCTATCTGAAAGACCAACGTATGCTAAGAAGACATATTTAGCGCCGCCTTGACTTCCACCAGACAACAATGTATCTTACTACAGGTCATGCACAAGTAGACTCGGACGGATTTCCCTCCATTTCCTCGCTGAACGATCCCATTCCGCCGACGCTTTCCACATCCATCGCTCTCCCTGTCCATTTGCATCTACTGGCAAAAGCATATGGAATTCCAGAATCCGATATTGTCCAGCTAGCCTGGGCCTTGGCTCTGAGATCCGTTTGGGGTATATTATCTATACGCTGGAGCACAGTCAACTGCCCAAAGCAGGCCATTGATCAAAGCGCTCATACTGCCCAATGGGAGTATCTCGAGCTGGACGAACATCAAGCCATCAGCTGGGTGCTTCGGCAGTGGCAGGATCCATTCGTGCATCGATATCTGTCACCTGATGAGCTGCGAGAAGACAAGCACCAGATACCTACCACCGTGATGGCAGTGGTGGAAGAATACTCCTTTCTTCAGACACTGGCCCCGATCGGGTCGGAGGTAAGTAAGGCCTTGGGCACCCCGATAAAGAGCTGACCATGACGGCCTCCAATAGATGGGGATCGGAATGTGCTTTCATCCATCGACGGAGCAGCCCTGGCTCCGAGTCATCTGGAATCCAGAAGGAATGTTAGCAAGCTCCGCGTTTCGTCTCACTCGAGCTTTGGAGACTGCGCTCCATGCCATCTTCCTAACGCCACATGTCAAAGTCGGCGATCTCACCCTCTTCAGCATCTGGGATCATCAGCAAATCCTGCAATGGAACTCCCACTACCCTCAAGCGACCGATCGTCTCGTGCACGAAATGTTCAAGGACGTGGTTGACGCGAGCCCGCAGGCCAACGCAGTTGCCGCGTGGGACGGTGAACTGACGTACCGGGAGCTGGATCGTCTCTCGTCCCGGTTATCTGGACGATTGCAGGATGAGTTCGGCGTMCAGCCGGAGACGATCGTTGTCCTCTGCTTCGAGAAGTCGGTCTGGGCGATTGTGGCTATGTTGGCCGTCGTCAAAGCAGGAGGTGCCTTCTTGCACGTTGATCCCCAGCACCCGGCTGTCCGACACCAGGCGATGGTTCAGACAACAGCCGCGCAACTGGTGCTTTGCTCTGCACGGACACGCAGTATCATATCGAGATCTGTCCCTGAGTGTACATCTATGGTGATTGACCGCAGAGCGTTCTCTGTTGAGCCAGATCACGCACAGCATGAGCCCCTAATCTCATTTCAGAATCCAAGTCCCAGAAATGCTGCTTATGTAGTGTGCACATCAGGAAGCACGGGCACCCCGAAGGCCATCGTTGTTGAGCATGCTTCGCTGTCTACTAGCGTAGACGCCCAGGCCAACGCCATGGAGATCTCGCCGGGATCGCGCGTCCTGCAATACGCAGCCTATACATTCGATGTCAGTGTCGGTGACATTTTCACGGCCCTGACGCACGGCGCGTGTATATGTATTCCCTCTGACTGGGAGCGTTCTCACGACATTGCCGGGGCCATCAATCGCTTGGATGTCAATCAAGCATGTCTGACTTCGACAGTGGCGAGTATACTGTCGCCCGCCGAGGTTCCAGGCCTGGAGAAGCTCACCCTAGGGGGTGAGCCAGCCACACCGCAGTGTGTTGATATTTGGGCTGGACACGTGCGATTAAAGAATGTCTATGGGCCTGCAGAGTGTACAGTTTGGTGCATGATCCAACCCGAGGTCTCCCGGCACATTTCGGTATCCAACATCGGCCACGGGATCGGCGCTCGTGCCTGGATCGTCCACCCAGAGGACCACGATCGTCTGATGCCCATTGGCGCCGTGGGGGAATTACTCATCGAAGGGCCACTGGTTGCGAGGGGTTATCTGAATGACTCGACGAGGACCGATGCAGTATTCCTGTCGCAGCCTCCCAGGTGGCTAGAGTCTTTTGGACCAACACCTTCGCGGAGTAGATTCTATAAGACAGGAGACTTGGCCCGATATGGCCCTGCGGGGGCCTTGTTGTTTGAAGGTCGCAAGGACACACAGATCAAGCTCCGAGGCCAACGGATTGAGCTAAGCGAGATTGAATATCGCTTGCATCGAGCTTTGTCTGACCAGGTTGCTGTGGCGGTCGAACTTGCACATCCAAAGGGGTCGACTGCGCCGGTATTGGCTGCTTTCATCACTTGGGGCCAGGGGATAGATCTGCAAAAGGTGCAAAACTTGACCCACGATGCACGGCAACAGTTCGAAGAATTGGTTGCTCAGATCAAGGCTGAGATCGAACAAGCTCTACCACCATACATGATACCGGGTCTCTTCATCCCGGTCCAGACGCTGCCCTTGACAACTTCCGGCAAGCTCGATCGCAAGTCACTGCGCCATTTTTGTTCCCAATGCTCCCATGAATTCCTGAAGAAGCTGGATGATCCCAATCCAGATGCCGCTCCTAAGGAGAGCGCAAACCCAGCCGAGGAGAACCTCGTTCGGCTTTGGGCGCAGGTTCTGGAAAGGAAAAGCGAGAGCATTCGTCGGAATGACAACTTTCTTTCCCTGGGAGGAGATTCACTGGCAGCAATGCGGCTTGTGAATCTGGCGGCAAGGGATTTGCGATTGACTCTCACTGTCACGGATGTCTTCAACTCTCCGATCCTGGCGGATCAGGCGAACCTTCTCCGGCCACTTGTCCAGGCGAAACATATTGCGCCCTTCGATTTGGTGATCGATGGCGATCTTCCGATTCAAGACTTGGTGGATTCGGTGGCAAAGCAATGTGAACTGACCTCCGACCAAGTCGAAGATGTCTATCCATGTACTCCATACCAGGAAGAGATGATACGTGATTCGCTATACGGCACGCGGACACAGACGGGCCAGGAAGTCATTCAACTTGCCCGCGATCTGGACCTCTCGCGATATATGAGCGCATGTGCCCGGGTGTTTCAACGGTGCCCCATTCTGCGGACTAGATTCGTGGAGACCTCAGGCAAGCTCCTTCAAGTGGTCATTCGAGAAGATCTCCCATGGCAGCGGCCGACATCTCTTGCCGCATATTTGGAGGCTGATAACCAGGAGCCACCGTCGCTGGGAAAGCCGCTCGCACGATGGGCATTGACGTTGGACGGCACGCACCTGATATTGACGATGCATCATGCGGTATTCGATGGCATTTCGCTGGGCCAGATTTTCGGCGCAATATATGCTGTATATCAGTCGATCCCGCTTCCCCCAGTGAACTTGACCTTTGCAACGTTCGTTGGGAAGATATACCAGCCGCATAATGATCTGTCTGATGCCTCCAAACGATTCTGGAGATCCTATCTGTCTCCGACCACGGGTTCCAACGATGTTCCCCTTTTGGACGTTGAGCCCGCCGGTCGACCCTGCGCCAGCTCGGGTACACAACGTCTGGTGATATTCCAGGCCGGTGCAGTCACAGCTTTACAGCAGCACGGACTTACAGAAGCAACCCTGGCCCGCGCAGCCTGGGCATGTACATTGGCTCGGCACCGCAAAAGCCCCAACTCAGACGTGATCTTCGGCACGATCTTGACCGGGCGCAACATCCATCTTCCCGGCGTCGACGAGTTGGCTGCCCCGACTCTGGCACATGCGCCAATTCGGGTCCGCATGTCTGCTGCGCAACAGGAGAAACCAGCCCACTTTCTCGCCCGTGTCCAGGCTGATGCGACCGCCATGATTCCCTTCGAGCATGATGGGATGGACCGCATCCGCGCGATCGACGAACAGGTCCGGGTGGCCTGTGACACCATGCGGACGTTGCTTGTGATTCAGCCGATTCCGGAAGGGCTGAATTTGGATTCAACGTCCCCCTTTCCTGGACCGATCCTTTCGGGCCCACGAGTTGAAGCTCGGGAGATGCGGCATTTCCACTGGTATGGCCTCCTCATGGAGTGCACGTTGCTACCAATGGACGGCTTCTTTGTTCGAATGTCCTTTGACGATACGCTATATTCGCCCGAGGCGGCAGAGAGGCTGCTGGATGATTATTCGCGAACTCTCCACGAGTTGGCTCATGGATTGACTGAAGGAGAACCTCATGTCGATTGAGGGATTTAACTGAGCGTATTTCACGGGTCGCAATCTACTCTGTTATGACTTGGCAATTCAAAGTAGATATACACTGAATGTAGTCATCGACTGTGGTTTACCGAGCTTCAGACGGTTTCACATCGGGTAACCTCCAGATACCTCCTGTCGAATTCCTGTACTCCGTATAATATCCATGGATTGAAAGGACCAGCGCCGCTGCAGCCACTGCAGCCACGACTGCGATTCCTGTCCCCGCGAACTCTTTAGCCACTGATTCTATGACAAATTTTTTCTCGGCGCATGCAGGGGGATGTTGGGGGCTGCCATACGGCATCATACGATACGGTCTGGTCATGTCCGGTCGTAGTACTAGTAGGGGTCCTCTGTGGGCCAGGGCAAAAGTACTGTTTCGAATGAAAACACCGCCAAGATAGCCACCTACTACTAGTTACAAGTCCCTACATAGGTAGTTATAGTACCAATCATGTGATCTCTTTCTTCGTTGCTCTAACTTCTCCCTTTCTTTGCGCTGTTGTCTTCTCTCCTGGTACTACGACTGGGACATTCTCCTTTGCGACTCGACTCGCCATGTCCACCCTTTGGATTGTGGCATACGCCTTGCTGGCCTTTGCGGCCACCATCGCACTGAATGTTATCTACCAATTCCTGTTTCGCATGCTGAATAAAACTAGGCCGCCATTGGTCTTTCACTGGGTTCCTTTTATTGGCAGCACAATCCACTATGGCATGGATCCTTATAACTTTTTCTTTTCCTGCCGCGAGAAGGTGAGTAGTAGTGCTCTATGATGTCTCTGCCAGGCGACAGACGCTGATTGATCGGTTACCTCGATCCAGTACGGTGATATCTTTACGTTCATTCTCCTGGGCCGCCCAACCACAGTCTATCTCGGAACACAGGGCAACGAATTCATCCTCAATGGCAAGCTGAAAGACGTCAATGCAGAGGAGGTATACAGCCCCTTAACAACTCCGGTCTTCGGGTCAGATGTCGTCTATGATTGCCCGAATTCAAAGCTCATCGAGCAAAAAAAATTCATCAAATTCGGTCTCTCCCAGGCGGCGCTCGAGGCTTATGTACCGTTGATCGAGAAGGAGGTTGAGGACTATCTGGCCATGTCGCCCAATTTCCATGGCACATCGGGGACAGTGGATATCGCATCAGCGATGGCAGAGATTACTATCTTTACCGCAGGAAGCACCCTCCAGGGAGAAGAGGTGCGGTCAAAGCTCACAACGGAATTTGCGGTCCTCTACCATGATCTGGACAAAGGCTTCACTCCGATCAATTTTATGTTGCCCTGGGCTCCGCTACCGCATAATAAGAAGCGAGATGCTGCGCATGCGCGGATGCGTGCAATCTATATCGACATCATCAACAAGCGGAGAAAGGCTGGCGACAATGCCTCCAGCAAGCCGGATATGATTGGAAACCTCATGCAGTGTACCTACAAGAACGGGCAACCGTTGCCTGATAAAGAGATTGCTCATATCATGATCACACTGCTGATGGCTGGCCAGCACTCGTCGTCCTCGATTGGCTCCTGGATTATGCTGCGCCTCGCCTCGCAGCCTGCTGTCGTCGAAGAGCTCTATCAAGAGCAGGTCGCCAACATCGAGTGCACGAGTCCCAATGGTACTCTGGCCCCTCTTCAGTTTAAAGACATTGACAAACTCCCCCTGCATCAGAATGTCATCCGAGAGACCCTCCGTCTCCATGGGTCGATCCATTCGCTCCTGCGCAAAGTCAAGAATCCGCTTCCAGTTCCCGGCACGCCTTACATCATTCCCACGTCCCATGTCTTACTTGCTGCCCCAGGAGTAACAGCCCTCAGTGACGAATATTTCCCCAACGCCATGGCGTGGGACCCTCATCGATGGGAGACACAGGCCCCCGATGAAAGCAAGGAGGATATCGTTGACTATGGATACGGCGCCATGTCCAAGGGGACCTCCAGTCCATATCTCCCCTTCGGGGCTGGGCGTCATCGTTGCATCGGAGAGAAATTCGCATACCTCAACCTGACGGTCATTGTGGCGACTCTGGTGCGCCATTTGCGATTTCATAACCTAGACGGGAACAAAGGTGTGCCTGGTACCGATTACACGTCCCTGTTCTCCGGTCCCCTCAAGCCAACACGAATCGGCTGGGAACGTCGCGCACCCAAATCGTCTTGATCAAAGCGTGGTGAGAAGCATGTACTCATTATATGTGCTCCTTTTATGCGGGATAGACACCTGGGACTTCGAGGTCAAGATAGGTCTTTCGTTTCTAAAAAGCTTCCATACTCGAGTAGGACGCGATTTAATGGATAATTTTTGACTTATTGTGTTTGGTTGCAATAAATTGAAGTCTTGCTTCCTGCGGTCTTGATCTTCGCAAGTTAAGCATGTCATTGTCTGCTTGTCTGTCATTCAGCAACTATATTTGGCCTCCTCAAGATGTCTCCCGTTTGCACCCGAGAGAGCAGATTCCGGGCTGGAAGGTGGGTCTATGGCGAGAATGTTGGCCCCCGTTGATTTCTACACTTCCTCGTAATAGTAGTATGATCTAGTAAGTTACCCTGGTGGGGGCGAGGCTATGCATATGCAGCCAAGTGGGTAGAGACAAAAGTGCATCGGCTTTTGTTTCTCATGACACAGAACTGAATAATACTGCGTGGGAGGTCCGTCTGACATGCAGACTATAAAAGTAGAAAACCACCCATGGTGTGATTTCTTTCCCCGGCATATTCATTCCAATCTCTTGTCTACGGTGTTTCCTCAAATCTCATTCAAAATGACTCTTCAACCAACCCCTACCGACGTCGGCGCCATGTACGATGAATATACCAGCCTTCTCACCGATGTAATGGCAGGCTTTATCCATGTCGGTTATTGGGAAGACCCCGGAAGCCAGGATACAATGGAGGTTGCCACGGAGCGGATGACTCGTGAGGTTGGCGAGCGACTCTCCTCCTCAAATGGTCAGCACATACTTGATGTAGGCTGTGGCACTGGGAAATCGGCCGTCCAAATCGCCACGACACATGATGTGCATGTTACCGGGATCACCGTCAGCAACCACCAGATTGAGGTTGCTCAAGCACAGTACGCACGCAACATCAAGGCGGGCCAGGTGGACTACCAGTTTGCCAACGCCATGGATCTACCATTTGCTGACTCCTCCTTCGACGGCGCCTACGCGATTGAGTCGCTGGTGCACATGGATGACAGACGCACTGCCCTTCTGAACATCGCGAGAGTTCTTCGCCCCGGCAGCCGACTGGCCATCGCAGACCTGTTTTTAGACTCCCACTGTCCCAACCCCGAAGCGCTTTCGCGATTCCACGAGCTCTTCCAGGTTCCCCCCATGCCCTCTGGTGAGGATCTCCAAGATCTTCTGCGCGAGACCGGGTTCAAGGTCCTTGAATTCACGGACATTAGAAATAATGTTCGGCCGGTCTGCAAATTCCTTGAGCAAAAGGCTCTGTCGCTTGAGGGCGAGGTTGGTGAGAAGTTGCTTGAAATAGCAACCAGCATGGCAACTCTCAAGGAGCTCGGTTACGCATTCATTACTGCAGAGCTAATATAATGACTTTCAATATTCGAAGGAGATCGACTATAGTCTGAAAAGTCCATTTCCATTTCTATTGTTCCTTTTTGAGTATCGTGATATATGACTCCTTGATTAGATATATTACGTTCGTGGAGTCATGAACTTGTTGTTAGAGGATATGGAAACCCCTAACCTCCTTAGTTTTAGGTTTGGATTTAATCACATCACAGGCCATTGGGTATGTGAGTAGAAGCAGAGGAAAAGAGAGGAAGAGAATCTCAAACCCTATCCACCATCTCGCACCGTGACTGTTTCCCTCTTCATATCTGCCTTTCCTCCACGACGACAGACGTAAATGTGTATGACTATACGCAAGGGGAACTTTCCCACATCCGAATGTATTCAAGGACTCGGTCAGGAGGAGAAATTCTTGAACGGTGGCTTCAGAAACTCAGCCTCCGCATGATCATCTGGCTTCTGGCTGCGCAAGGTACTTGTGCCGTGCCGATTCAGAGACCCAACGGTCAAAGGAGTTATCATCCGACATCTTCAGTTCCTGGTGCTACAAGAGGTTTTGGGAGTGTAAAAATCGTTCCAGAAGATTTCTACAATCTCGTAGTTGTATGTTCACGTCGCCTTGGTCGACAGGACGCGTTCGATGGTCCACTTCTATCAGTCATATCGCGCCGCGGAGACTAGTGGATTGGCGGTGTATATAGTGAAGTTACTTTCGGCTGCAGAGTACAAGGCCAGACAGTGATTGCTAAGCCCGAACAGCGAGTCAAGGCTTCCAAGAAAAGAAAGACGTTCCTGCCAATTATGTGGCCGACAGACCAGGAAAATCAGAAGATATATTCGAGCCAACGTGATGGGACGACGAAATCGGCGTATGCGCACCCTGGACAACGGAGATGCGACTAAGGTTGAGAGCTGGGATGAATAAGGAAACATCTAGGCAAAGTTATTGTATGATGATTTCTGACGTTGCTAGTTGCCAGACCTTCCCACATTTGAGATCGGGAATGCCTGAAAAGGAGGTTGGGAAGAAAGGGGGAGGAGGGGAGCGGGAGGCAAGGGCCTTGTGGATTTGGGATGCGTCTTACTGATAGCTACCTGGTCTTACGTCGCCAGTCACACGGCCAGTAAGATCTGAAGCCCGTGCTGGAGATATACTTGGGGGTCTAGATTGCTGATGGTCTTAGGCATGTGGTCTGAACACCTACAAGGCCAGAGGAGCTGGAGTAGATGGCTGGGGAGGTGTGGCTCTGTACTGACGACCAGTGTAATAAGATCAGATGCATAAGCCCTGGGACATCAGTTCAGCTTTGTCACACCATGTCTACGGAACTGATATAGTTATTAGATACTGGTCATACAACCAGCACAAGCACAGGACCACTAACTGGTGACTATACCAGGTGTAAGTCCTTAGTAGTCATCTATCTATATTCTTACAGTCCCCCTGGTCTACTAACCACCTAATAGTATTAGATGCACTATAACTTCTATCTTTAATAACTTACCTAGCAGTTCTAACATTCTCAAGCGACCATGCTACTAAGACTATTAGCTTCCAGGTCACCACTAGGCCCCTTCCTAGACTTATAAGGATTATAAAAGTTTAGGTATTAGTTACTACGCAGATACACTTATCTATAGTAACTTTCTATAATAAATAATAATATAAATGGGCCTCCTGCTCTAGATCTTATATATATACTAGTCAGTAATAGCTTACACCTCTACTAGATTCTTAGAATTCACAGAGACCACATCCATCACCATCTATTCTCCCTACTAATAAGCATTTATTACCCTTCCTCTAGGTGACAAACCACTAGAAGGACCTTTATTAGTACTTCCAGGTGTAAGGGGTACCAGATCTTTAGTTTTATTATATACTAGATGCCTTAAATCTAAAAGAACAGGGTTTATTATATCCCAGAGGGTTAAGTTAAGCTGCAGATCAACCAGCCTGCGTGAAATAGCTTGCATGCATACTCCACCCTCCTATATCCCTTCGAATCATCAAATCCGACGACAAGTTTAAGCGCTGAGGACAGGGAAATGAATCTATTGCTCAGCTAGGCATCTTTATTTTACTCATGACTAAGTCAAAATAAGTGAGATCACATCTCTCCTCTGCAGTTTCTGTCACAATTTAAAGATTCTGCACAAACTACCACTCAACATAGACGCTAACACCAAAATCATCATTAAGGCAGTCGTTATCCCCCTCATATCCCTCATCGTTATCCTCACTATAATTGCACTTTTCGTCCTTAAATGTCGTATGGATCTCAAGAAGGATGAATATGGGAACCTTAACTACTTATTCGCGCCTTATAAACAATGGCATAAGTGTCAGGTGGATGTTCTTGAATCAGTGACGGTAAGGCGCTCAGGCACAGAGAAGACTTAAAAGGGCATCTTGCCCCTTCTTGCCGGACTGCTCTCTTGTTTCTGCAGGCTACGCTTTCCTAATGTTTACCAACGGTTTGCTCTGGCGTATGGGACGACGTCTGCTATAGTTACCTGAAATCCAGAAATTGACCTCTGTACATTCTTACGAGCGACGACTGCCGATGAGTGAGCGGCAAGTGATACCAGGACGTTCCGCCTCGATAGCCTTGATAAGGTACAGGATGCCGCTGGACAAAATGAACCGGTCGCGTTTTAAGGGGCGGAACCTTACTCAATTAACCCATTTTCAGGATCGCTTAAGAGTGTTAATCCCACCGGGTCGACCTTTGAATCCATCCTGGTTCACTTTAGAGCGATTGTTCCCTTTCTCGGCGAAGAATTGCAGTGTTTAACGGACTGAATATGCTTCCTACCACTTGATCGCAAATTGTATGTTTATAACTTGTTGTGCTTTTTTGGTTCCAGTCCTTTTAAATCACGCAAATAGAATCAGAACCTGACGTGAGTGGTTGATGGCATAGAACATATTTCAAAAGGCTAGAAACTTTCGCACGGCTTAGAGCCCCGGGGGGGAGTTACATAGAAATGAACCCATAAGGTTGCCCCACTTCAACCTACTTCGTCTAACGGAGTCATAAGGCGCTATGGTGTACATGGCTGTGGCCAATGGATTCGTCGAAGCTCACATGTGGCAAGGTCCAGAGGATTAGGGTTGTCTACTACCACACCAAAATAAACTTTCGGATCATACGACCTCGAGTCGAAAGACCGGCTGGAGACGGGGTATCCTATTTGGGTTTTATCTCACCGTATTGTGCTACCAGCTCCGCATGTCCAGCTCCTACTAGAATTTTATTTTCGTTGAATGCCTTTTAAAAAGCTTCCGAAACCACCACTGATAATGGATGATTGTATACTGTCGACAGGCAGATATGGACAGGCTCTGACCTGGGTATGGCCTGTGGCCTGGTTTCAGTGAAGCTGAGTGGGATAATATCTAGGACACGGGGGCCATCTCCACCAACTATGTGCTTAGAAAGAAGTATGTGATTGGTACGGGCAAGTATGGGATAGAAAAGCTCGCCGTCATATCTGGAGCTATTCGTAATTAGGGCACCCAGAGACGACGGCCACAATATCTGCGTGATGTAACATTCTCATCATTTTTTTGGTACCACGTGAAATTGTGTAAAGGTACCCATATATCGTCAACTTTTTCCAACATTCATTATTTCTTTTCCGAGGCCCACACTTCCCCGTACAGGGCTAGATCTGTTATCGACAGCACCTGGGTTCAGCCATATGAAATACTCAGTATTGGCCGATTCATGGACCGAATATGCTCCCATAGCCACTATCATCTGTTCATCAGCTGCAACTTCTCTATTGCTAGGGACTAAGGGACCCAGTGGCATAGCATGGTCAGCTATCAGCGTATTCGGATCTCTACCTGTCATCAGGGCTGGGTTCGCTGCAGCATTTCCAGATTGGCTCCGTCAATGCCTTAGATTGAGAGACGATCTCAGCGACTCAGCCATCGGATTCCAGCTGAGACTTAATAGGTGTATCTTCAATAATTTGACCAGACAGAGTCTCGGACCAACCGCTGTGGCGATGGTCCATCAAGATAGCAAGGTATGGCACAAATACTCACCCATCCCCTAATGGAAGCTGAAGTTATGGACTGATGTTGGTGAGGATTTGGATGTCTACGCATTGGACAGTCTTACAGAACATTTTCTTCATGACGCACCAGAATGCACCCACGGCCAGCCACTAACAGTGTACATCTTTCGCGCCTATAATGATGTATCGCCGGTTGCTAGGGAGTGGCTTTATCTGGTTTCGTCCCTGGTCAAGTTCACCGAGTTTAGCATATTGTGGCACCTAGGCTCATTCCAATTTGGTTTAGTGAGTATGCTTGGTTATGGGGTTTTCTTCTCACTTGCATCCATGCTACAGCTGAAAAGCCTCTCACGGAGATGCCGCAAGGATTCTGGGGATTATGGCGATGTTCTGGATATTGCTGCTGGGAGTTTACCAACCGCCAGAAGACCTAAAGCAGGCGACCGCCAAGTCTATCTAGGTATTCCTCGAAACTGTCTGCGCAATATCTGGTGGACAATCACATGGGGTTTCGGTACACTTGTCTACGCTCTATCGGTTCCTTACTGCTACTTGCTTCTGAGGATGCAGAGAAATGAGGTCAAATGGGTTTGGATTGGGTTTCAGAGCGTTTGGATGCTTTTGCGACTCATATTCTTTCAAATAGCCAAGGGTGCTGATACACTGAAATGTCACCCACCCGAACGGAAACTTTTGGCGAAATTGGAGAATGGTGAACGAGAGAAGTTGTGGAATTTGCTACTTGGACTGGCGAGATATCAGATTAGCTTTCATCCACGGGGCAGCTACTCATACAATGGAGCACTTGAGTCGATTGAAACAGTGTTCAAGGCACACTTTCAAGACAAGCTGCCTTCTCATATCGAGGAAAAGCCGGAAATCGTCAGAATTACGGGCGTTGTCGATGATACTATATTATCAGCTGCAGCATGGTTGAAAGGGTCGGAACACGATACTTTGAGCTTCTACGACTGTTGTGTGGTTTCAGTTACCCACGACAGGCAAGATATAGCAGTTCCTGCATGTCGTGTCCTTTATACACTTGACAAGGAACAAAATGATGACAAAGAGAAGGGAAATAAACCAGAACTTGTACCGAGGGGAGGTCCAAATCGCGGAAGGCAATACGTTGGATGGTGTTCTTGGATGCCACTTCCGGATTGCAAGTGGCTTCAGGTCAAAAGCCGTGACTTGACTGTAACTGGAGAGGATAAAGAGATCAGAGTCATGACCGACACTGAACTTGATGACGCCCTAAATACGAGAGATATGTGTATTAGTCTTGAAAAGGCGGACCAGGTGAGGTCAATCGTTGAGATGTCGTCGGAAATTTGGCACGATTTGCTTGATATTAAGCGTGGCAAATAAAAGCTCACATGCAGCTTCATTTGGATCGATAACTTGCCACTTCTGCAGGATAGCTCCCCCCCCAACAATCTAGTGTCTTTAATCCTGTGGAAATTGTCGTTTCGCAAAAGTTAACGAACATCTCATCTTTGCTCGGAATTACCGTGTACGTAAGAGATCCATCGTTCCTTTGCTTTCTTAATAACCAGTCAGGAATTATCCTACGGGGACTCGTACTGAACTTTCCACAGCTCACTTGTCTAACATTCATATGGCGGTACCAACCACGTAACTCTATTGTTGGTGGCGGGCCCGTTCGATCTTGACTTACAACACGCCAACTACATGATTCGGCCCAAGAGAATCACAGAGGATCAGCTGCTTCAGTTCATATTCGCCATGGACGAAGCACAAAGTGTAGTTTTCAGTTGTCACTGGATTACCACCTTTATATCTGTTCAAAATTATGATCTCATTTGATTGCATGACTTCATTTCCAAGCAAGTATCGCAACTTAAAAGCAGCTATGTATCTACGTGGTTCATCACTACGATATTTCAGATCCATTAGTATATTTCCATACGCTAGATGAGGTGAACTGATTCCTCAGAGGCCATGCCTATTTTGCTCATCCCAACGTAGGTTTGCGGAGCACTGTACTAATACAGCGTGCACAGCAACTTAAGATTATATACATCCAAAAGCAGCCCCAAAACCCTCCATGATAGACCGCAATCATGTCGATCCCATCGTAGCCGCTCTGTGCTGAGGTCCATGAGGCCTGGGTCGGCCCCAGCCTCCAAAATCAGCACAACCACCTCGTAATTGTGGCACCAGCACAAAACAAACAAGGCTGGGCTAGTCCGAATGATGCGGCGCAATATAGTGCCTGTGCGGCATTAATATTTTCAGGTCTTGCCATGGGCATCAAACTTTGCACCCACACGCCGAAATTACCCCTACAAGGGAAGCGCTCTCGGGTATCAATTCCCAGGCAGCTGAGTGTGAGAGGGTACAACCGGTGTTGAAGGGTTACTATTCCGCCAACAATACCCTAAAACGGCTTTAGACTTCCTCGAGCGCCACAAAGAGGAAATTATCCTCTGAATACCTACTGGACTAACTTTGCCCACCCCCTTCGCTGGTTCTTAGCATTTTCTATCTCGGTCCTCCAGCTACTATCGACAAAGTTTTCACCAGGCAGCTAAGGAGGTCACATCAACCGGACCTCTGGGAACTTGACCCGAGGGACATAAACCCACCATTAAGGAATAGCTCTGTCTATCATTAGTAGTACGAGATACAATGTTCATCTCTGGAGCGGCTGGGTACCTTCTGAGTCACCAATCCAATTGCATATACAATCAACTACAGAGCCACTGGAACTTGGGACAAGCACATCTAGCCAGCTTCTATAATCAAATTACGCGGTGGCAAGCTATGGCTGTGCGACATTAACAGAAGTGAGCCAAGCCAAGTAGCACTCACACCTCAAGGCGCTGCACCGGCCAACAATCACATGGTAATTGATGAGCTCCCAGTTTCATAGGCGAAGCATAAATAGATTAGGGATATCTAGGTTGATGTTGGCACCTTCATAGATGTCCTCTCTCTATTCAGCTTATAAACTCCTGGTGATTGCTTCAGGAACATTTCTTTAGTTACCAATGAAGCTATTTGGACTGACCTGGGAATTAACATGTTGAAGGTACTCCCTGCTGTAGATGAAAAGCTAATAGGTGAATGGGGATATGCTACTGCTTATTACTGAGCTCCTGCCTACGATCTGCGGACTTCATCGGAGTTAGTAAAGCTGGTGGAGAACAGTCACTTGAAACGCATCCTATTCTTCAAAGATGGCGTGATCACATGCTCCTCTTGAACAGAAAATAACATGCGACCCTCAGAATAAACTATCTGATTGAATATCAGACTCACATTACGCAGCAGGTCAGATGAACCATTTAAGAATGACACGGCAGGCACTGCATGCGGTTGGTTATGGGTGATCTAGGCCCTATTCTGAGACCCTGAAAGCAGCCCAGCTCCTTGGCATCCGTTGACTCATGTTTTAAAACCCACAACCCACCAGTTGTCAATAGAGGTCAAGAGTGGATGGCGCATCTGGTAGGTCTTTTATTTCTGGAGTATCGCAGTGAGGGTGAGCCTTCAGTTTCCATGTTTGAACATAGTCAGTTGAATGATGTGGTGATTATTATACTAGGTTAGAAGCGACTAATGGTCCAGGCTCGACAACGAAGTGTCGTATCTTGTACGCTGATTGAGCCACGAACGTGATGTATTGTCGAACACAAGGCGAGTGACGCATCCCAAAAACGTGTAGTAAAATGCGACAAAGTACGGCTTCGCATATTAAGAAGAATATATTTTAAACTTGGTATATATAGACAGGTACTCTATGACATAAAAATCGGTGCCAACGAAATAAATAGAGTTAGTAAGGTTTTTGAAGTATACATGGGTAGAGCTCGATAAGGCCGAAGTTTGGGCCGTGCGTGGGCTGGACAATCGGCCCAAATACTAGTTTACGCATGATATGTGGGTATGTATATATATATATAGAATATGTTGAATTAGATTACTGCTTACCGAATGGAGAAATTCGGCCATTCCTTTGATAAACCTTCCAGTATAGGTGATTCAGCTAAGATGATCATGCATACACTAGAAATCTATAGAATTATGATTATAAATTTGATATTACTAATGCAGAAGCATTCCAAGTCTGAATACCTTCATTTTCCAGGGAGTATAAGCCATTGCGCAAATTACCTGTCAGTTACTAGACTATAGTTATTCACGCGCGCACATACTGGTAGCTGGTAACTAGTAGCTAGTTTAGATCTTCCATATATTCGGAATTTTCGTCATTAGAGAACATTGGGATAGCAGTGATCGATCATGAAAATCAGTTAATCACTATAGGTCTAACCAAGTGGGTATGTTTTGTGTTCAACCCGCAACTAAAGTTCAATGCTCAGAGAGGTCCGTACTTTCAAGGAAATTAGTGTGAGGGCTAGTCTGGACATGGCTAGTGTGTTTATATGCCTTATAACTTCTCTGATCCAAATAAGGCATGCCTTTAAGCAGCTATTTCCCCGTTTGGTTCCACTTGCGATCAACCAAAAAGAATAGATTATTAAAGGGCATTGCGCAACTCACAGGTAAATTTTATCCACTAAAAATCGCCGAAAACCAGTAGATCTTTTGGGACTATCTAAGAACGGAGATAATGTCAAATAGAGTCAAGGGCAGCTCATTCACACCACTGTAGGTAGTTATACTTGGGCTTTGTACTGCTTGGAAATAAGAGGCACATGCTAGAAGTTAACTGAGCAGTCTTCCAAACTACTAAAGATATTATTACTCTAAATTCCCGGCACTGTACTATCGTCTCCTAAACTTGTCATAAGTAGACCAAGTAGACTACCACAAAAGCACCTGCCCCCTGAGGTCATCATTTTGTATAAGCTAACCTCTGACCCATGGACATTGTAAGCTTTAAATACAGAAAGATGGATTAGCTATGCAGAAGTGGCGGTTCTTTAAAACTACCTAGGGAACAGAGCCGCCTGGACTGAAGGCATTCCCTGGTTCAGACTGGCCGCATGAGCATAATAGGGTTGGTTCATTGCTGCAAACGGTCGCCTTAAAGGGAGACTGAGACCAGGACGTTTGGTTAAAATAACTAAAGAGAACTAAATCAGTTTTAAATATCGACAGGGCATTGTGCCAGCTAATTGATTTACGAAGGGCGTAGCTCGCGTAGTACTATCACGTGCACAAGACAGTTGCATGCGACATCTGAACTCTAAACCAAATCAGATCCCTCAACCGGGCATACACCCCATTGCGGAATACAGTAGAAGTAGTAATTCGCAGTACTTGTGAGGTATTTCATGCATCGCATCCATAAAAGCCAAGGCAAATAAGGCCCAGAACATTGTCTATCAGGGCGGAGATGAAGAACAATGACTAGCCTGGCTGCATCCATGAACATAGACGGTAGAAAGCAACACATATGACGCAGCCTGAGATATATTTTCCCTTTGCCATAAGACTTTCGTACATCAGCTGAGCAATCATGACGACATAGAGGGACAAAAAAGATTAAATATATTTATCACGTTATGCCTCCAAGATCCTACAAATAGGAGGCAGTATGCTTCAGCAGGCAAAACTTCTTGGTCCTCAATTACAATATTGCCATTTCTGTATTGCCCTTGTATACACGCTACAAAACCAGCATGGCTCCAATTTGTTGCATTATACCGGAACATGTACACCAGAAGATCATTGAAACAGGACAGGCACCCCAACATGTCATCAATGCCTGTCAGTCTACCATTGATAAAACAAGGGAACTACAAACTATCCGTGCCCAACACGGCCAGAGTCTCCTATCAGCTCACGGCCAGCAGCAGCCTTCTGAAGGTATCATTCCACCTTATATCCTTGAAACTATTGCCCGGCATGCTGTAACAGAAGAACAACGCGATTCATCCATCTATAGACTTGCGCATGATACTGAACATCGCGTAGTCGCTGGAACCGTACGCCACTTATTTCGTACGGTCTATAATGCACATCACTCAAGTGATGATCTTCCCCGTGATGATATCATGATCAAGGAAGGAGGCCCTCTCATCACCAAGGAGCGAGACCCAAGTCTCGACGCAAATGAATGCTACATCGGATTTAAGAAGACTTATGACTTCTACTTTGACCTATTGAAACGGGACTCAGTCAATGATCAAGGCCTCAAGCTCGACGGCTTCGTGCACTTTGGTAACCAATTTCTGAACGCCCTCTGGGACGGCAGAGAAATGGTTTTCGGTGATGGAGACGGTGTTCACTTCAAAGGCTTCACCGATGATCTGGACGTCATTGCCCATGAACTTACTCACGGGGTAGTACAGTACTCAAGCCCACTTGAGTACAGCTTTCAGAGCGGTGCTCTGAATGAGTCACTTGCCGACGTCTTTGGAATCATGACCAAGCAATGGGGGAATGATCCAGAGAATCCGCAGACTGCAGATCAATCTAACTGGCTGATTGGGGAAGGTATTTGGGCCGATGGCATCAATGGAAGAGCTCTACGCGATATGAAGGCGCCTGGGACAGCTTACAATGATAATAGAATCGGATCTGACCCCCAACCAGCGCATTGGAAGGACTTCAAAAAGCTCCCAATCAAGAATGATCATGGTGGTGTCCATATCAACTCTGGTATCCCAAACCATGCCTTCTACCAGGCTTGCAAGATGATTGGAGGGTATGCCTGGGAAACTGCTGGCCCTGTTTGGTACAAGGCTCTGACAAGCGGTAAACTCGGCGAAGATGCTACGTTCAAGGAGTTTGCAGACCTTACTATTCAAAATGCTGGTGAGTATGAAAAGGAGATCAAGGAAGCTTGGAGCCTGGTTGGGTATCCGTTCGTTGAGAACGGAGATGAGTTGTGACCGCCTTTCGGATGGGCTAGGGCATTCCATCATCCCTGAAAAGTCAGTCAACTGCTGAATATTCATAAAAGTGTATTATTTTCCGCGCTCCACCGCACATCTTTAAATATTCCATTAGGTCACTCTTAAGTTGCATTTCTGGTGACACCAGGATCCAACAACTTGTAGACTAGGTCAGTTGAACTCCCGAAAATGGAGACGCAGAACACAGTGGCCCAGATCCACTGGCCAAACCGTAACTAACATCTCATGGTCCTGGAAGATCTCGGCTTGAATAATTTGAAACGCGCCCGTATTTACTATTCGTCCCCAGTATCAGTCAGAATGGTGCCATCACCAGAGAAACTTGAAATATAGCTCAGTCGAAACTCATCAGCCCGGCTACTTCGGGGTTCGGCTGATCTACAACAGATTTGTCCGATTTCCCGCCCCGCCAGCTATCTTGCAATCGCCTGTAACATCCGCCTTAAAACGTAGCAGCTTCTTAGAGCTCAAAAAACCGACCTGACCACGAACTCCGAAGGTCTGCAGAACTTACCGCATTCAACCATGATATATCAGGATCTGCTGCATCCCCAAGCCTATCGTAGTGGCACAGTTACACGCGCAGCCACTTTGTACGAAGAAGCACAAGCGTTACTCTTTGGCGGTGCTGATACAAACGGCACAACGGTTATGCACGGCTCTTTTTTATGTATTGGACCTATTGAACTCGCCAACGGCGTATGAAAATTGTAAGCGGAGCTGCGTTCCAACTGGCGAGTTTTCGATAAGTCCCCAGCCTCTCCGCGGTCGAGAAATTTCCGTATCCGGTAAACATCTCTTCTTGCACAGTCTTTTGCTGGATTGCAGATTGAATCTACTTGTGTGTATACCCTAATGCCCCACGAACAATATACTGCTGGACCCAATGCCGCTGGCACCGTGGCGGACCCCGGCTTTAATTGAAATTGATACTGAACAGGACAGAGAGAAAGCAGAGGAAAAGGCTTCCGCCAGACAGAAGGCAGCAGGCGTCACATTGTTCTCTGACGCGTCAAACCACCGGAACCATCAGCGGGCTGCAGCGGTAGCCCTTGACCAGGATGGAAAAATATCCAATCCCGGCAGATCTGCATTGGTTCGATGGAATATCGGTGTACGCTGCAAGGGCTCACGGCAATATACTATGCCAATAGTCTGATCTATGAGATCACACAGAAGAAGCAAGAGGCCCCAAGCACCAATCATGAGCTTGCAACTAACCTGACTGACAGCATGTCCGCACTACAAGCGATGGCAAATTCATGGAACAACTCTGAGCAGCGCATCATCCAGGCTGAGCAGGGCCATGGGTACATCATGTGGTATCCTTCTGTGTAGGGAGGGAGAAGTGGCTAAAGAGCCAGGATACTGTGCGGCCACATTTGACCTACCTCCCTTACCTTGCAGTCCTCCTCCCAGCATATCTGAGATATTATTGAATGCACTTCCGATTTTCCTCCGTAGTATGTTCCGCAAAGTCTTTAGTCTCGGTCAATCCACTAGCATGTGGACGACTGTTCCTTTACTCCAACTCGCACTTGTCGTTCTCCTGGAGGCCATGTCGCTTGCCATGCGTGGTCAGCCAGGAGTGGCCGGCTCGAAGCTGCGCAAGTAAGTAGGCTGGACTCCGCGGTCCCGGCCCATACATCCGCCGCATGCGAATTGAGGGTAGAGTCGCATCAATCTGGCGGAGGTGCCCTCCATTCTTAAAGGGTTTCCATTCATTCTTGTTCCTATTCTTCCTGAACTTTGCGGCAGATGGATCCCTCCTTCCCCGAAAGAAGGTGTTGGAAAGGGTGCATCTTGTCAGTGCCTACTGCTTCTCTGGCCAGGCGGTCTACTGTCATTCCTCTGATCATCGCAGTGTCCGAGGACACATTTAAGGCGGAGGAGAATCACACGCGCATTCAACTCTGGCCGATTGAAGTATGGCCTCAGTCTTAGGCATTGCTCTGTATGACGGAGTCTGGGTGGGCAATATTCAGAATCATGTGGTCTTTACAGATCACGCCATCTCCGCAAACCTTGCGGTTTTCAATTTTATTTGCTTGATTTACTATCCATCATAGGTAGAATGCGTATGCTTGTCATTAGTTTTATGTTAGTTATATGTTGTTTCAAAAATTAAACGTGCCGCCTGCAGTCGCTATGATTGAGGAACTGTTTGAAAACTTGACAGTTTGTACGTACAACTATCTCATCCGTGCCGTAAGCCAATATCAGCTGTCTTCATGCATTGTTCATAATCGGTAGTCTCCTTCTATCTAGCTCAAAAGTTAAGCGGTTATCCATCAATGCATACGGCGGGGATAACCAAGGTTCGGATGAGCTGATAAATGTTTATTGTTGATCGAGTTGTCTAGACAAATCGGGCCGCATGCGATTTCATTAGGTTTTCCATATTGACTTTTACATCCGCAGGTATGTCTTAAGAAATACTTTTTGCAACTGAAAACGGAAAGTGAGCGTAAATAGACTATGTGAGCAAACGTATGACACTACAGCTAAACGGTATAAGTATTTGGAACCACGGTAGATACGTAGTATGATCTTATAAAATATGACTTAAACTGTGATTCTTGGATATCTTCTATGTTTATGTCAAGTGTCAGTAAGGGCACAGAATAACAAACAGGATCTTGTCTAGTAGAATTCGGAGGATTAAGCTGCTGGTCAGCGGGCACATGACCAAAGCTCCTTCACTTGAATCACCGGTATGAAGGCTGAATAGTTGTTTTAGTGGTTTAAAAGAAATATCACAGTAATTCTCATCTTTCCAAACGAGGAGGCGGGAGTCTTCATCTAGTGACTTGACATTAATTGCGGCCTCTCGCCCTTTCTCGCTGTTGTGGTTATCCCGGAACCGAAGATAAATATGGGGCGACGGATCATGTTGACTAGTGCAGTATCGCGTGGGTAAACCCACCCAGACACCATAGGCGTGATTGTCATTGTGGATTTATTGAAGAAAAAAGGCTGATTGTAAGTCGTAATATGATGAAAGTAATCAAGGGCTCAAAGAAAAATGTCCACATTCGATGGAGACTGCGTAATATACAGGAAAGTATGGAAAAGCTTACATTTTTTTTAGGCCTCAGGAATATTCGAAGTGCAGACAGGCCAAATATGTTGCCACTGCGATATCATAATGCGGCTAGACTCATGAGGCAACTCGCTGCCAAATTTACCATTTGTATCCCTTACACTGTGGCTACTGGTCTCGATCTGGCTGGCGTGTGTGCGTGATCTCCTGGAGGTTCTTAGTGGGATGCTAAGTTCTATTGTTGGCTGCTTGAGGGTCTCGCATGCTCACTTTCCCCGTTTATATTGCTCTCTTTTCTTCTCTTTATTCTATCACCTTTCAGCGTTACTTCTGCGGAGCTGTAATAGCGCTCCACGAGAAGAAAGGAACGCATGCGATGACTATTTAGACTCCTGGGACAATCTTCGCCCGAGGCATCATGGGTAGCTACAATTGTAATTCTTTTACTGAGGCAGTGGTTAGTGGCCCGTTCGCTGTGGTGTCACAGAGATTGACATCAGTTATAATCAGTATCAACCCGCCGGCATCCACCAACAAGCGTCTTCCACAGGTGGGAGGAGCCGGTGTGCTGGCTGAAGCAGAACCGGATATGTTACACCGGACGAAGAAAATCTGGTTGAACTGCTGCAAACTCCCTCCTGTATCTCTCAGGGCCTCACTTCTGGGTCGGATGCGTTCAGTTCCATTCAAATATTATTTGACACTATCCTGTCATTTGTGAGTGCGGACATTGAACAAAGAAGTTATTTTCTTGAAATTCAATCTAGTACAATAGGGAAGGTGCTCATCATCATTAAGTGTTTTAGTGGTATCGGGGCTCCTCCTGTTAGTAGGAAATCATATATTATTACTATAGTTTACACAGTTTTGAGAAGGACACCTTACAAAAACCATCTACTGAGGCTGCAAGCATTTTTGCCACTTAAGTATTGAGTTTGGAAACTTAAGAGACTTAAAGAAACTCTGTTTGCAGAAAAGAGTATCAAGTACCAGGTCTTATATTATAAGTAACTTAATAATAACAACCATCCTACTCTTACTTAGAATAAATGCTGAAACCATCCAAAGATATAAGCAATAAGATATATCAATAGGATTACTGTGATATAATGGACCAGTTCTAACAAATCACTGGGAGTTACACTAATCCACTGATGAAAGATTTAAGGTTCCTCTCTAGATATCTTCAACCCCTGTCTCTCACTGACTTTATGTATAAAGGTAAATCTACATACTATATATTAAGCTCCATGTATAGAACTAGCCAAGTACTAGAATTTTAATCTATATAATTCCTTTAATAGTAAGTATTAACATAGATATTACAGCTAGCGCTCTTGCAATTACACTTACTATACTTATAATTATACTTAGATAGCTTTTTTAGTAATACTTTACAACTGCAGAGGATTATAGGCACTATTAAGAAACTATTATTAGGCATTAGGTGATAAAAACACACCTACATTAGCAGTAGCAGGAATTCTGCTTTAAGATACTCTTTAGCACACCTAAGATCTACTTATCTAGTGATGGTCAACCAGGAAAGTTCAGAGAGATAGTTATTAATAGTACTATTTCATCATAATAGAAGACTCTCATGCCAGTGAACCCTTTCCATAATAGAATATCTATATATAAAGTCTTAGGAAACCCCACAGACAAAATAGCATCCTAGCTATCCTTTCTTTATTAGATTTATAATACATCCAAAGCAGCAACAGTTCCTAAACTATATAGAAGATTAGGATACACACCATCTACACCTGTAAGGATTCTAACTCTTATCTTTCAAAAGTAATTATAGGATCTCTAACTACCTAATATCATCCATCCCCTAGCAAAAATAACCATCTCTACTATTACAGTTATCACACAGTACATGGAAATGAAATAGAAAGACTTCCATCCTACAGAAGGTATTATAAGAGCTAAGGAATACTTACATATCTTAACATCCACAACTATGAAGTCTCTTAATATTATATTATAGTATAGCTATATAATATAAGGCTAATATCTATAATAAGCTGAAATTAATATATATAGCTATTAAGACCAATCATATATCAACAGAGAGCCAGAAGAAATATACATCCCTTAAGCAAGAGCTGATAGACTTAGCTATGGCATTATCTATAGCAAGCCTAGACTTATAATACTAGATTTCACTATTGGTACACAGCATGAAATTATTATTACTCTTTATGTACTAGATGTAACTAGTAACTCCTCTATTATTTTAAGAAATATTCTAAGGAATTATCCTGAATTCTAGTTATAGGTGGCAGATATTATTATAATGTCAACAAAAGTAATCCATTACTACAGGTCAAGCCTAGTTTAAATCCCTACACCTAGTAATAATATCTATAGTTTTACAACCAGTGCAGCAGGCCAAAGAGCTTTTCAATCATGCCTTACAGACTACCTAAGTATAATAATTTTATTTACCTAAAAGCAAGGGAAACCTTAGCATTATGCTGTAAATTAAGCAATAAATATAATAAGTAGAATGACTAGGAGCAGCTATAGGTTATCACACAGAGGCCTAAATATCTTAATTCTATACATAGAGAAGCTGACACTCTAATATACTACCTCCAGCACCTCAACTGGGATCAGAGTACTTTTAAGTTTCTTAATCTATTAGGTACCTATATTCACTTCACTATTTTCTATATTAATGGTGAGATGTCCCCACTAAAGGCTAATAATCCTAATTATTAAGAAGATATAGTAGGCTATTTTAAGTAATTACCTCAGATCATAAATTATATATATATAACTAGCTTTGATAGTAAGGAGGCCACTTTAGACACATAGGCTGCCATAATACTATGTACATATTACTAGGGCACCTACTATTTCTTCATCCTATAAGAAAGAGTCCCAACAGCATACTTTGGGAGTTAATTACCTGTATACTTGGGCTAGTTGTACAAAGATTTAATGTACACCCTACCCCTCAAATTCACTATCTATGATGTTAGTTCATTGTGCCAAAGATGAAGAAGGTAGTTAGTAAATACTACCTATAAAATCATTTTGGCTAGTGCTCCTTGGATAAGAACACTTAGAAGTTATAATTTATAAAGTAGGATTTACTTAATTAATAGATATAGTTCATCTTAAACATAGCACCCCTCACTCTAGCAGCTTAATATCATGTTTTTCTCTGCTGCTCGCACATTTCAGTCACTTTAGTTAGACTCTTTTCTCTTAACCATGACCAGAGTGCATCCTGCAACTTGGCAGCTCGACTTATATTATGCAGTCTGTTACATAGTAAGACCTGGCCATTAGGGGACAAAAGGACAGGGGAAAAAGGGATAATACTAGTATGCAAAAATGGTTGACTGCAGCTTGATTTTCGGTATTAGGCACCAACATGTATGAACATTGAGAGATTAATCCCTCGCCTTTTCTCCCCTAGCATCCTCACTGCGTGATTAAGCGCATCGGCAACAGCATCATGCCTGATTGTTAGGTCATTGTCCACACCACCTTTTAGATGCTGGTAAAATGATCCCAAAATTTTGATCGCTGCCTCATTGCTAGTCTCCCAAAGTGTCCCAATCGCATGAGGATAGCCAATCAACTGGAAAGCACTTGCAGCATGGATCACTTCATCAGGTAGTTCTTCAGATGAGTTCTCAGCAGTGGACAAGCACAAAGGAAAACTATGACCCAAATAAGACAGCGGCCTGAGGTGGAGGCTTGCCAGCAGTTCGCCACATGACAGTGTACTTGTTTAGAGTATCTCATCATCAAGACTTTCATGAAATTAGGCTTATTAGCCTCGACTTACTAGTCCGCCTAAGAGGAAGCATAGGTAAAAGAAAAGATAATATTATTTATAACTTAACTAGGACAACATAACTAAACGGAAAAGAAGAGAGCAGAGTCCGCTCTGCTAGCAGTGGTGTTATTATCATGCCACACATCCACCCTAGGGGTGATGCCTTAGGGCGGGCATTAGTAATCTCAGCAACAAAAAGAAAATCACTTCTTAATTCTCTGCTACACCAGCTATCCATGCTCAGTCCATTCAGAAGGAACAGCATCCGATGGCTTAACGCAGGCTTATGGCAGCGATTGCAGGTGCATGGGAAGCAAAAATGCATGGCTCTGGGTCTACTGTCACGGTTTCTTTCGCCACAACGCCAGTGACCCCCATCTTGATATAGTCGGCGAATTGAGCGCCATATTGTATGTATCTCTCCCTATCTGTGTCCCAAATGTCGCCTACAGTGAGTTCCTGGTTATTGTTTCCGACAATACCTCTCGGAACTTCAATGTGTATGTGTAGGCCTTGCTTCTTTTCCTTATGGCCTCGTGACCAGGTGATGGTCCCCTCCGGTAGATCCCTAAGATCCTGTTCATCACCATCTCGTCCGTTGTAGTCCAACTTAAAGACGCTTTCCTGAAAATCGTGAATATATAGCCCGATTGGGTTTGCAATGGATATGACGCTTTTTCCGCGAGCAAGGCTGTTAATAGCTGAGCCGATCTAAACAATGTGAGTCTCATATTGAACTCAGTTGAATACCATTCTTACATGAGGATCAGAGTTGCGGTCGGGGTCTCCATATCCACTGCATCGAATGAGTTGATCAGGATTAGTGATTAGTTTATCATTCGAATCCTTGCGAAGAACAGTGGCTTGCGCGGCAATGTCAACTTCAGCACTGAGAGTGTTGTTGCGTTGAATAAGGTGAGCAATTGTCCCACTAGTCGTAGATGAATTCCAGCGGTTTGTCGGGTTATACTGTTTCCGCTCAGAATCCATGGCATTGGTAGTGAACAGGTCTTCCCGGGTGATCTGCGACCTAAACTGCGGGTTCAAGTCCTGATAGAGCCGCACAATATCCTCAGGTTGAACGGTGCCGAGGAAGCCCCAGTACTGTAGAGATATCAGTTGATTATGACAAACTGTATGAGGTTTAACTAACTTCTGGGCCCTCACATGTCATAACGACTCTTCGGACCTTGCTGGTTGTTAGGTCTGTCCCATTTCTCTCGACAGACCATTCCAAATATTCATCCTGGACTTCGCGGCTTGAATCCGCAGTCAGCCATCGTTGATCATCTTGACCATGATTTTTTAAGACCTGTTATACATAGTCTTTAGTTCGTTTAATCACAATTGAGCACAATGGCTTATACAACATACTTTCTTAGGGAATGCTGTCCAGGTAATTGCAACCCCTTCCTGACTCTGGTCGTATGCTGTTTTGGTGCCATTGAAAAACTGGTGCAACTGAGCTCTGTTGAAGATATCCCCTTTAATCTCATCATCTATCCACTGAGAAATGTATTGCTCCGACCACTTTTTCTGATTAGTAAGGGAAAAGTCTTGGAGTTCTGCCGGAGGTGAGAACTCTTTGAGCTTCATCTCATTACCCATGATTGGATATAACGAGTAACTAAGGTACAATTTTACAATACGATCTTAGTAAAAGAGGGAGGACTAGCGTTTATCGAGTAGTCGCAGGTCTCACCTTTTATCTGTCAATGCACCGTTAATCAGAGTGCATCGACGTTTTGTCGGTGGCAATCAAGAGTGGCAAGTTGGATCACTTCATTTTCCGTTTTCAGACCTGATTTGTAACGCTCGAGCTATCCCCAGACGAAATTCCGCCTAGTTCCCAGGTCTCAATATCATGTTGCTCTTCCATCAATGCAGCTGTTTGTTTTCCAAAAAATCATTTTTCTTAAAAAAAAAAAAAAAAAAAAAAAAGAAATAAAGGGTGTTGTTGGATGCCAGAATCTGTCGTCTGTTTGCCTTGACATCGTTATTACGGACAGGCCTACGGTCAGCTGCCATGAGGGGTTAAAACGCATGAATGCTAACATAGGTGCTTCCGTGAAACTGGACACCGGCACCTCGGTGATGTTTTTTCATTCTGTACAACTGCACTGGGTCTTGCCCATGCAATTGATAGCGCGATATAGGTTCTAGGCTTTGTCAAAGTTACCACAGGGTGGGATAACATCTGGAAAGCTAGTTGTATTCTGCGTTGCGTGTGGCGAAGAACCCAGATTACATCATGTATGTGTAGAAGGATTGGAACTAGAATACTGGGGTGGTGGTCTCTTAGCGTCCTGGCTGCTTTTTGAAGATTGTAAATGTAACCTTTTGTTGGCAACAATAGGCCACCCACTCCTTCTAGGTACCAAAATATCTTTCGTCCATATATGACCGAAAACGTCATTCAGGATATATAAGTAACGATGTCCCACTGGAAGTTAAAAGGAGAATACAGTTAAAAAAGTAAAACACGTATGAAATGTAAGCTACTCAGTTTTCCCAACTGTATAGGCATCGCTCATACATCACATCTAAGCTTTGAACAAGTCATCCATATAAAACGTCCGATTTGGAAAATTCAACCATGAATAACCTTTGGTGGCGCCGTTTCACGCACGGAGATCAACCAGACCAGGACATACTTGCAGATGATGCATTCTTGAAGAATAATTTTATGGACCATTTTGGAATTTTGCTTCAGAATGTTCAACTTAATTGTTTCCTGACGTTTGACCAAGTTATACACACATTCTGGGACAAAGCCGACTACTACTTGCAGATCTTTTGTGTCGCCGACGGGGGTACATTTGAGTCTGTCCTCTTCCTTGCCCAAAATAGCCCGACTGATGCTTGGACCAGCTGATATCGCATATAACAATTCCACAAGCGCATGGTTTGATCCTGGTGTGCGCTTTGCAGCGGTCGTCTCACCAAAGAATATCCGCCCGTTTCAGGACACTAACTGGACCATTTTTATTGTTGGCTCTGCTGAATTCGATTCCAAGGAAAGGTTCTTACAGGTGGCCAGCTGGAATGGTGATGCCTTTCGATTCTATGGTGTACGAGAACCATCTCCTTCCCTAGGAAAGCAGGGGATGCTAAAAGAATTTTTAGCGTGGACCCCTTAGCCATGATTACAATATAATTTCGTGGATATACCAAGGTTCCTCGTGGGATGCTTTCAAACCTGAGTCATCCTACCTTGGACCCTTCAATGGTGAGTGCCCTACAGTAACTCTCATTAGGCCTGTTCTTGCTCAAATACTCACATCAGGTCACATCAACGGTGCACCCATAATGAAGGAGCTCCAGAAGTGAGTCCATCGTCTCGAAATCTGTCCTATTGGTCTGGAAGCTCATGTGAAAGTAAAGCCCCTGGTTACACTGGCACTCAGCTGCTGGAAGTGTCTCTCAATGCCTTTCACCCGCACAAACCGAGTATTTCAAGACGAAGCCATACCTATCAACAGATGACTTGGTACTTGGCAAAGTAAAGTTCGCTGACCAGCTGGAGTCAATTGTGAGGAGTGGCGTATCGGAATGGTACGCACAACGAATGAAACATGACTTCAAAGACAGTAATGGGTCACTAAAGCAATCTCCATCGAATATACCAAGATGGGTGGTTAGTCCACTTTCAAAGCAGTGATTTCTTCGGCTAATGAATCATTTCAGGCTCATTTGCTTCTGACAACCACTATCAATATCCACTGTGGTGAGCTGAATGGAGGCGACGATACTCTGACTGTGCCTCCCAATCACTTTTTCAACGATGAAATTCTGAAGTCTTATCCTGGCAGCGGGAAGATCTATGTGGGTATTTCTACCTTGCCTCTAGAGAGCATGAGGAACTGATGAACTATGCAGCCTCGTTTTGGAAGCCTAAGTGTGCGCCATAAGGACTACGAAAATGCCTGTAGTCAACTTGGTCTTGCCCTTCTGAAAGAGGTTTCCACATTCGACAATGTACCAGAGAACCTCCAAGTGACACTTTACCCAGGTTCCCTGGGGGCTGGGAAGCATTCGGGAAACCGTACACAAGTCTTATTCGCGAAATGCTTGGTTGGAGAAGGCAGCGGCCCTTTCACGATTCTCACACCATCCCTTGAGGACAGTCGGGGAGTTCTGAACTTCCAGAAGATTACAAAAAATGTCTCATTGGTCTCTCAAAAGCTATTAGATTGCTTGGTCATGGCCGATTATTGGAACCCTGTTTATTCTTGGAGGAGGGGGATACTGATGCAATATATGCCAGCTTCAACGACTCTTAAAGGAAAGACTTACGATCTGGAAGAGAACTTTATCCAAGCCCTAAAGAGCTCGGCGTACGCCAAATGCGCAGGCGAAGTGGAGAATGAGTTCCTCAGGCTATATGAGTGTTACGACCTCGATAGCCTGGCCAGCCGTATTTCAAGCTACGTTGGAAAGGTCCAGCAGAAACTAAGAACATCCGCAGGTGTACTGAACTACTTGTTGCTTGCTGAGTCACGGCGGAGAATATATCGCCCTCTGCCTTTGAATGAGTTTGGGCTTACTTTACCCTTCGCCGTCAATTACCCGACGCGGGAGTCTCTTCCACTCAAAGAAATGACGGAATCCGGAGAAGTTGTCAACATGCCAGAACGCGGGAAAAAGTTCCTCACAGAGTGGACTGGCACTCTGTGGTCTGATGAGCCTATGCTTTTGCCATCTCCCAAGGCATATAGTTATGATAACAGTCCCCCTGGATGCCTTGCCCCAACCTCGCCTCTCGCTCTGCCAAAGAAAGAGAGGACACCCAAGAGCTCTATAAAAAGGAGCTAAAGGGACGCATATGTGCTACTGCTATTAAAAAACAAAGGTATATTTAGAATAATGGTTATTCTATAGCCTAGTACATCGTAACTAAAGGGTACGGCCACATTTCACGCCCTGCCATTAGCTACTAGTGCGTCCTCCTGCTCCGGCAGGTGTGTTGACCTCATAATCATCATCCTAGTATGTGATATATAGCATCCCTTAATGGGCTAGGGAACATATTTATCACACGTTTATTTTTCAAACTGATTTCGAGAGGGTGTGCATAATGAGTCTTGCTATTCGGCGGATTCCTCCAGATTCCTCTGGGCGTCTACGAAAACCACATATTCAACTTGCAGTGCAGCATCACATCTGTCTGGGTTTAACTGCCAGTCCCAGTATCATAAAGATCTATCTACCACGACACATCTATTGAAACATTTGAGAAAAGCATGGATATCGGCCAGTCTATATCAACATCCGGAAAATGTCCAATATATGCTTTCATGAACCTTTCTTGAATACATACTAACTCATTGCCTCCGCCATACACTTCCATAGAAACTAGCTTTGAAAGTCTAAAATTGCGCCTTCTTCAGTGGCGCGTCCTACATCTCCTGCATCTTATCATTCCCCATCCTAGTCTGATATTGTCCTCGACGCGAAGGTTAAACTCCGCATGACAATACCTGCACCTTGAAAATGAGTTGGCTTTAGTCATCAATGCATACCTGAAAGAGTCCTGTGCACAGAGGGTAATAAGGTGTTTATACTCCTCCTCTGAATCAACGAGCTTTTCGAGCACTGCTGTTGAAAGGGCACTGAATTCTTTTAGAACCTCCAAAATTGATACTTGTTCAACAAGGCTCTCAGCATTTTCAGATATCACATTTGACAAGTCCTCACAGAGTCCTATTCCTTGAGGTGTAGAGCTGATAATTTCCTGGACAGCATCAGGGAAACCCTCATCACGCCAATTTTTCTCTGCCTAACGGACTAAACAGTCTTTGATGAGCTTCTTCAAAGGATAGGTGCTAAACTTGTCTGCCACTATATGGACATGAAAGTTATTATGCCCTATTTCATTGACATCTGTTGATGATGCAGCCTCTGTGATAATGCTAGGTTGTGCTGCATTAGCATCTTAGATGTAAGATTCTGTGCCTGTATTACTAATTATTTAAGGTTAGCCTACTGTTGCCCTGGTAGTAGCCCTGGAGGTATATAAATGATAAAAATTATTTAAATGTATCAGTACATTTATCTTATAATTTAATTTTGCCCTTATAATTTTCCTGTTTTAAATCAGAAGTGTCTAGTAGCATGAAATGTCACTTTAAAGTCTCCACTGACCACAGCATGAAAGGAAGGAGACTGTGAATAAATAATTACCCTGTATGTGTTGAAATCTAGTCCTTACTCTGTATAATAAGGTTGGAATATTTGTCACTTAAAAAGAGTTCCTATAAGAAAGGAAGGGGCCTGGATGGTTCTATATTGATCTCTTTCACCAGTTAAACGAATGTCTAATTAGACCACTAGCTTGGGGGATATTTTTATATCTTAAATTAGAGTCCTTTTACAACTAGCCTGTTACATGTGATTATACATTTAGGATCAGAAACTTAGGTCATCTGTTAGTAAACTGTAAATTTCACAGGTTCCACTAACAAGTACTTTGTGTGACAACCTGTCACTATATTCCCTGCTGACTCTTTACACGGAGCTTTCTGCCTATCTTGACTGCTTACCTCTTTAGGGTTATTTAGATTATTTACACCATTCCACCCTCTGTTTATATATCTCCCTGCTATATATATACTTTCTTCTCTCTCTTCTCTATACTTAGTTTTCTATTAAATTACTACTATACTATTAGAATATAAGCAGTACTATTATATAAAACTAAATATTACTTCCTTTATTATCTCTTTTATTAGAAGGTTTAAGATCTAGTAAGAAATACATTCTTCTTTATATTAAGTACTAATCTTACCTCCTCTTATAAAGAACCCCTTATATACTAATAATGCTAATAGTTGGAGATAATAATATAATCTATTAACTAAGATTATAAAGAATTATAATAGCCAGACCTATAGCTTCTACTAAGGAGCCTAAGAACTAGTAAGGAGCTAGAAATAGAACCTATAATCCCTCTACTTAGTATACTAGAGTAGACCTAAGTTTTACTAGAAGGCTGACTACCCTACTTAACTAGATAGAGAATAGTAGTCTTAATAAAGACACTTATAAGCTAGCTAATAGCATCTCCTATAAAGAATTTACTATCTATTAGAGAACAGACCCTAAGCGCTGCTAGGAAGCTATCTCTTAAATCTATATTACTTTAGATATAAAGGCAAACTAGAACTATGCAGAGGCAGCTCTTCTAAATAAATAACTTATTAAAAGCTAGAGTAAGACTAATAACCTTAAGTACTAGAATGAATAGATCTATTAGGAATATAAATAGACTTAGGCCTAGCTTATTATTACTAACCTTAAATATAATAAGGCCTAAGAGAAGCTTAAAGAGGTAATCTATAAATAAAATAACTTTACCCTATAGGTAGTCTATAGATCTAATATTAGAAATACTAGTTCCTAGGCTTTAGCTACTAGTAGTAAGTTAGTAAAGATTCTAGATCCTCCTCTCCTTAGTAATAGAAAGGACCCCTATTTTAAAGATTAGTTATTAGCTATTAAGTAGAAGCTTATTACTAATACTAACTACTTCCCTAACCCTATAATAAGAATTACCTATATAACTAGTTATACTAAGGGTAATACCTAGAAGTATATTACCCCTTAGCTATAGGAAGATACTATTAACCTATACTAGGACTCTATAGACCTCCTTAAGTACCTAGAAAATATATTTATAGACCCTAATTATAAGTAAGTTACTAAGTAGAAATATAACACCCTCTATATAAAGCTATTAGTTAAATAGAATAACTTTATCTCTAAATTCCTATACCTTATAGTAGAAGTAAGTGTCCCTAAAGAGAGCTAGAAAGATAATCTATATAATAAACTATCTCTCTATATATAAGAGCTTACTATACCTACTTATAATAATAATTATAAGACCTTCTAGGAGTTTATAGACTACTATAATTATATAGTAATAAATATTAAGAATATAGAAAGAATTAAGGCTCGCCTAAATAGCAGTACTAATACTTATACTAGAGGGATAAGAGTAATATCCTATACTACTACTCTAGCTACTACTACTCCCTCTATAGATAATACTATCTCCTATAGTTATACTACTACAGCCTCTCCAGCCCCTAGTAACCTTAATAATAAAACTAGGAAGTACCTTATAAATAAGGGTAAATGCTTTATATACTTCTAGGTTAGATATACTAGCCATAGCTGCCCTATAAAGCAGGCTATATAGCTTAAGGTATTAGAATAGCCTATTAAGTCCCTCCCTAAATTAAAAAATAAGAGTGCCTAGGGGAAGTCTCMTTCCTAGGCAAGAAATTAGTTAACTTATATAACTTAGACTTATAGAATCTATTAAGTAATAAGGAAGATAGTTTTAAAATAAAATCTCTTATCCTTATTAATAGATTCTTAGTATCTATAAGCTCCCTAGTTAATACTAAAGTAAATATATATGCATATATAACCACTTCCTTAGCTATCTAGATATCTTAATATTTTAGAATACCTACTATACCCCTAGAAAGGGAGTATATAGTTATAGGGTTTAACAGAAAGTAGTCTATTCCCCTTACCTATATTATTATATTAACTATGGTAATGGACAATTATATTATAAGATAGATGCTATTTCTTATACTAGACCTAGGATACTATAATATTATACTAGGAAGGATATAGCTTATAGAACACTATATACTAGTAGATTATATAGGGAAATAATTAATCTAGTCTACACTACCTGCCTACTAAGATGAGATAGCTATATAAATAAACCAGGAGGTCTCTTATAACTTCCTAATTAGATTACTTATTAACTAAGATTATTAATATAATATAGTGTACTGCGCTAGGTAATAGGCAGGGTATAAAAGAGATATCTTCCCTCTCTTAGCTCTATCTTCTCTTTTCTTATTAATTATACCTAGCCCTATGGTTCTTCCCAGGGTAGTAACTAAGCCTTTAAATATATATAGCTTAATAGAAGAACCACAGGGCTATAGTATAAGGTTATAGCACCCCTTTTCTAGAATGATCTAAGGGCCTCTGCAGACCCCTAAACCCTTATATATTTAGCCTCTAGTACTTCCTCCTATAGCTCCTGAAGAGATACCTAAGCTAAATCCCCCTAAGGAGTCTGATCTAATAATACTAATAACTACTACTTCCCCTTTCTATAAGGCTAGATAATACTAATCTACTAGAATAGAGAAAATTAATCAGCAGCATTGCACCCTTAAGATAGAATAAGCTCTATAAGGAAGAAGTATAGAACTAATATTATAACTATAATCTACTTACCCCTTAAGTAAGACTATAATTAATATTACTATAATAGGTACAGTGGCCTTCTACTAATATATATATAGGAAAGATACTACTATTTTCTTATCTTCCCTCTATGAGCTTAATAAGTTAATTAATAAGAAATAGGGTAAATAGCCTCTTTCCCTCTCTTAGCAGCTAATAATTATAGCTTAGTCTCTAATATTTTAGTTAACTAATTATAGTCTAGTAATTACTAAAGATAAGATTAGTAAGATTAAGTAAGTACTACTAGAACCTTATTAGGATCTAGCTAATATCTTCTCTAAATATAATTCTAATACTCTACCTCCTTACTATAGGGAATTTAATTATAAAGTTAAACTAGAATAAAAGAATGCAGTTAGTTACAGGCCCCTATATAAGATAAATATAGAAGAATTAGAAGTAGTAAGGGAATATATACTAGATAACCTCTATAAGGGATTTATTATATCTAGTAATACTCCCTTTACTTCTTCTATTCTTATAGCAGAAAAGCTAGGTAGAGGACTATACTTCTATATTAATTACTATAA